TTATTACTTATTATATTTCCTTCAATCTCGATTCAATCACATACAAAATAAACATCCGAAGACCGAAAGCTGAGAGGCCAATGAAAATGAAATAACCAAGGAGATTCCAGCGAGGCTTACGCTGGTGCCCATTCCAACAGTTGAGTCTTTTCTCCAAGTCGGTATACGAACCGGGCCGCACAGAAAGCCAGTCGAGATAGATGCAATACTCTTGTTATGATATGGTGTAGATGCAGAGTCTGGAGAAAGGCCAGGCTACTTAGAGCAACACTACGTAATGGAACCAGGAGAATTGTATATATTTTCAGTAATAAATAAGCCATGAAGTAATACACTCTCTGCTTCGTGAACCAGTATCGCCAGCCAATAACGTATTCCGAACACAATGGCTCTACTACCAATATTCAGCATCATTCCAAAGAAAAAGCATGGTCTTCGTTTCTCTTCCCTGATCTAGTTTTAATTTACAATCTTACGGGTATTCGGGGCAAGCTTGACAACTTTTGAGGATACATGAATCTTGTTCGTTGGGTTGTTCGCAGCAACAATCATTCACAGTCATTGGACCACCAGGATTACAAGAAATATATCAAAGGATATACTAGGCATTCCACTCTCATTATCTCTCGACATAGACTTCAATCGCGTGGCTCAGAAGACTTCCAGTCACAAATTTTAAGTTGAAAGAAGAGATTGAGACTAAAAAAATACCTAACAATTACTCTATTCTTTGATGTATGGATAAGCAAGAACCATATCTTAGTTCTTGGCGTCGTTGACCATTAGCTTACAGATAGCTTTGAGTATCGAAAGAAGTTCTTAGTGTTCAAAGTGACTTACGGTCACCATAGTGGATAAAACTTAGCTGTCGCTATTCAGCTTTACTTATTGAAATGAATCTTGGGCAGAAGCGGCTTCCAACTATTCCTACGATAACAACCGTATGAATCGTCCCTAGAGTCCGTAGAGGTCTATACGAGCGAGCTACCTGGCACAAGCGTATAAATAGCGTGGCGGATGCCTTGCTACCTGAAAATTTTGGCAAGTCCCCATCTCTTCCAACATATATCTGATTCTTTTCGGCACTTCTGCTTTATCTTTTACTGCTTCTTAAAAAATCTGAGATTTATTTTGCTTTGTTTTCACCATGTCATTTGGTCTCTCAGTCGGGGATATTATACTCTGCAGTCAAATAACTTACCGACTCTTGGTTGCGGCAACATCTGGTCGGAATGATGCACCTCGCCGGCTCAGAGAGCTTGAAGACATCTTATTCGGTTTAAACTGCTCTTTAAGTTGTCTTCAAAATGCTTCTCTCACAGTATTGTCGACATCCAATTCCGATGCAAGCAACATTCATGGTCAATTGAGGCTCATGCTCCACTCGTGCCGCAGAACTTTAGAAGAACTCGAAAACGCAACAGCAAAGTATCGGGAAGCAGAGAAGTGTCCTGTATCCTCATCAAATGACTATAAAGGTCCAAAGGTATCTTACCGATACAAACTTCAATCACATACTGATTCGATCAATCTTCTTTTGGGCACGCTGATTTGGTTTGTTCCTCGCTATCACTTCCAGGTTAGGTTATTCTTAATCTAATAAATTCTATAGGTCGGCTACCGATCGTATTGAGGAAGATGGACGACGCCAAGGACAGATGATGGAGGGATTGTTACATCTGATGCAAAATCGATACCATCTCGCAAAACCTCATTGCTCATTGACACTTCCTGAAAGGTCGCCCTCCAATGCGTTATAAATGCCGTTCGCTTCATCCCATTCAGGTTTCAAATTGGAAAATGGAGGATGCATCAGGTGAATCATAATTTACTGTTAAATTGGAAACTAAGAGTACATACGAGAGTAAAACGTGTCAGAAATATCAGGCAATAAAGTAGTTATTTCATCACGCAAGTCTACAGGCGCGTCAAGGCTCGTACTTTGGAAATATTGGTCCAATAAACCCTAGAAAATTATAGTCAGAAATCATCACCGGAAGTGATCCATTATCAGATCGATACGTTAACAAATCTTACCCAGTTGCCATCGCCGTCTACTCCAACACACTCCCCGAGGCTTTGCTCAATGCTCTTCCAGACGAGACAAAAGCTCACTATGCGACAATCTACCTTGGCGGCTCCACAGCGCAGCTGATTTACCCCCCGGGCTTCGCTACCAGAGATGCTATCAATCACGCGTGGGCATATACTCAGAAGTATGCGTGTATCACGGCCTGCGTCATTGTCATACTCGCGTTCCCCGCAGTTGCTATGTGGAAGAACTACAATGTCGACAAGAAACAGGTACAGGGTATCGTCATTTAAAGCCAGTTTGAAGGGTGACATTCTTCTTTCCTGTATGTGGGAATCAGCAAATACCCCTGCGCTTGGCTGTTTAGTATCCGTTTATTTCGAATTCAACTTAAGACTGTCATTTAATATTACTGCTCAAGTGTGTATGAAACTATTTTATATCCCACATCTACCGCTACATACTCCATACTGCAATAATTGGACCCTAGTTTATTCCCAAGGGGAATATCTTTAACCAAATAATTAGACCAACGTATATCCTCTCTTCATACTTCATGGTATGCCAATAGATTTGAGGTCGCTTTTCTCCCACGAAATCAACTAACCAAGCGTAGTCACAGTTTTCATAGCAACCGCAGATCCAATTGACCTTCGGGATAACGGTTTTTGCCGATATCTAGTATACCTACAGCTACATGGGCTGCCAGGACCATTTAGAAATCAAGCCAATAAGTGGTTAACTAACTTCAGTATCAAAAATGAAAAAGTAATCTTTCTTGGAGGGTCTTGTTGAGGGCCCCTTGCAGCTTCTTGATAAGCTCACAGGGCATCAAAAAGCCTCGTATCAGGATTATTCCAAAAGGTTCCGGACAAATTCTCCAGCGTCTCAAAATCCGGCATCCACAACGGATCACTTTCATCCTGATCAATCCACGGCGCCAACTGCAACGCCATCCTAACCGCGTGTTCAGAATCATCCGCAGCACCGACCTGTGGCGTAAGCCCGGCATCAGATGCTAAACTGGTCGGATTGACTGGCGGGAACTTGTCACTACCAGACATGCCGGGGACAGTAGTATTCCAGTTAATACCATGCTGGGCAGTCATTAACTCAGCCATTCCGGCATTGCGAGCTGTCTCATTACCCTGCAATTTCTCCATAGCGGCGTTAACAAGTAGCTCGAACGCATCGCGGTATTTCTTAACCCATGCTGCGCGCTCGCCCATGACGAAGAGCACCGTTGAGCAAGCACGGATGTCGTTGCTCATGCGGACGGACCAGACTTGGTCTGTATGTGTCCACAGGGCGTATAGGAGTGTTATCCCTGCCATGAAAACGGTTTGTACGGCAAGGAAGGAGTGGCCATATTCTAGGGTTTGATGGAGGCGTTTGTGGGATTGACAGATGTTTCCTGCGGCGCGGAGGCAGATATGGTAGTATGGGTCGGTGATTGGGAGGAGAGGAAGGAAGGGCTGGATCAGTAGCCGTACAGCTCGGTTGTAGTGGAGCATTGGATAATCGAGATCTGGACCGCTGAATCGTAGGAGGGCTGATTCTTTCCATTCTTCGAGTTCGAGATATAAGGGGTCCATTTTGGGTCGGAGGGAAGATAAAGGTCGGTCGGCACGGTAGATTTTGTGTTGGATGCGTGAATCGATGCGGCGGAGTTTGATGAGGTAGATTGCAAACGTGAGGGAAGTAGTCTTATTTGGGTCTTGGGGGGCTGCTAGTATTGCCGGATCTTCAACGTCATCATCGACGTCCAGTGGTAGGTCAAGATCAATGTGGCGATCGGAGATGCTGAATGGCCGACCGAGAGACATTGAAACCACTCTTTCAAGGTAATACACTGTCCAGAAAAGCCTTCGGCGCATCTGTGTGGTGAATGGGTCCATGTTGATCTCATTTGCCTTTCGGTGAAGACCGAGGTCGATGGAAGTACGCATAGCAAGTCCAATCATATACCACATACCGTGACTGGATGCGGTTCGCAGGTGGTACACGACAAGTAGGATCATGGCTTCGATGTTATCAATAGATCTCGCTTCGCACATTGAGTGAACATGCTGTAGGGCTGTGTTATAATACCGCTGAGGGTGTAAGCGTCAGATCGTCTAGTCTTCCAAAGAGTACTCACGTCAGGTGCTGTGTATGCATATTTCTCACTTAACTGAAGCATCGTTGCCCCGATAGCATATATAAGATTGAGCTTGAAAATAGCGAATCGATCGGACCGAGTAAGGTCTTCACGTTTGGTCTTAGCCAATCGCCATCGATCTTCGTGAATTTTCCAGACTTGCTTCTGATTGAGAAACGGGTATCTCGAATGAAGTCGGGTAAAATAAGTGTCCAGAATTCGTGCCCCCATTTCGTCTGTGGGTGGCTCAGCATTTGCTGGCAAGAGCTGATCTCGAATCCGAGGAGCGGATGGCTGCTCCGAGGGACCATGTACTCGGGCTGATGTGTTTTGAGAAGAGTTGCTGCCAGCATTTGTGTTCGTTTGATTCTGTTGCATTCTTGAGATAAACTGGTTCCAAACACTCGTTTGGACCATCTCCCCCAAATTGTTAGCGAGGGAAACCCCCGAGCTGGCTCCTATGTATGCTGGAGCTTCAGAGGAGCTCAGAGCAAGCAGGCCCACAATTTCCCCAACGGGATTATTGTCAAGGCTCGAAGTAGCTGTCTGTGGCGTTGGATGACTCCCTTGCGGGGAGAGCAGCGAAGGTGCAGCAGTCATACTGGCAGCATTTGGATCTGGAATTGCTGGCTTCGATTGGTTAAGTCTGCGCTCCAGGAATGCCACACGTTCTTCCAGAACGCGAGTATAACTACATTACTAATTAGGGATTTTCTGCCACTCTAGACACCGGAGACTTACTCATTCTGGCCGTCACTGTCCTCTCGCACGCTGGACTTGTCGCACGCGGCCCCCGCCTTCAGGCAGTTGGAGCATGTCGGATATTCATTGTCGCACTGGTGTAACGTAAGACAATATATTCCTAGCAAAAATGCCGTCTGAAACTCACTTTCTGCTTCCGTGTCTTGCATCGAGTGCATGCTGTCCTACCGCGCTTCCGCGGGTTATGATCTCGCGATGCAGGACTGGCCTGCCGTGAAGACTCGGGGCTATGCCCAAGGGCATACATTTCGCATTTTCTGAACTATTGAGTTCTGAAGTTCAAGGCTCCTGGCAGGGGACGCCTATGTTCGTGTGAGGTGAGGTTGCATTAGAGAAGATGCGGTTAGATCCGAACGCCAAGACAACCCAAGGCTCTGAGGACAGCAACGGCACAATGCGACTATGTTGCTTATTACATTGCTTCCACTCTAGTTTTATACCTTTTTTACTGCCTATTCTTTGCTCAACCTCCATCCATTCAAACGCCGAGAATTTTCACCTCGCACCGCTATTCCAAGTAGTTATCAAAAAGGTCGCAGTGTGCAGTCTGACTCACTCGCATTTCATCGCAAGTCAAGCCAGATATCAAACAGAACATATTGTTACCATTCTAAGTCGGGAACTTTCTCCAAAGAGCTCTAAGCTTGATTCCTCGGGGCTTTTTCGGGAGTAAGAGTAGTGATATCCCACGTGGCAACATTCCTAGGCTTCAACGTTAATCTTCTTCGAGGAATTAAAGGACACCGGCTCCTATTATATTCTAAAAGGATACGGCATGTGGGAAGTGCTACTTGAGATGTTGGGGGAGGTTGTGCAGAAGATTGTACAAGCACCTCATGAACGGAGAGTGAAACAATATCTGAATGAAGCTACCCAAGGTCAGCGGCAACCATTCTCTCGACATTTAAGATATGAGAAAACGAGGCTGACTAGTCGAATCTGAACACAGAATCTGTTTTAAGAGATCTTCAAGAAAGCTTAAAGTCAAGGTCGAGCTACGTTAAAGATTTGGGTGCTACATTTGACGCGTGTTCTTACGGCTCTGGTCAAAAGTGTAAGTTGTGATCAGTAGCTCCATGAAGCTCAATAATATTACTGACTGTAACTATAAATCTAGATTGGAATGATGAAAGTCTTCGAAAACACATAGAAAGTTCACATCCTGGCTTTATTCCCTCAAAGGCTTCGCTTCAACTCTTATGGAGATGCTTCCATTTCTATGCATTTTACCCTTTTCCACGTCATGCATCCAATGACATGGTTGATTATGACGCATTTCAACGAGCCGTAACGCTACTAGTTGCTCGAGGTACCGATCTTCTGGGAATGGTGGACAACGAAGGCTTCCACTGGCGATGCGATGAGAGCTATATCCCCCAAGCCAATTTGCAACGGATTATAAGAAGCATTGGGTCTACAGAGAGAATCGATGAAAAGAGTCCTGAGTTCGTGGCAAAATTCGATCCAGCCGTCGATGATACAATGGACGTTCTGAAAATAATTGCGCCTTTTCAGATGCACTGCGGTCCCTGGGAAGACCAGCTCGATCCTGTTGTGCGGAGGCTACTTGGGGAGTCTATAAGGAGCCGGTCGCGCATTTCTTGGGAGGACCTATCGGAGTTACTAAGTTTGGTACTGCGACTGAGGCTGCTTGTAACTAAAAGACCGCTTGGACTCCAATTTGACGATTCTGGAGACCCGAGTCCTTCGAATGAAACGGCGAAGAGAATTTTTAATGGACTCAGAGAAGGTTACACGGAGGACGATATACCTTTGAAACACTATGTTAGGCTTACTGATGTCTTGGTATGTATCAGATGTTCCAAACTTCCGGCACGGCTAACCATTTATAGCCAGATTTCCACGTTCAATTTCAGCAGCTCTGGGCAGACCTACTTCAACCGCCCATGGAAGTTACTGGTAAAGCCCAGGAAAGAGAAGGACGATGAGAACTGTTGAGTCTTTGTACGATTCATAAGTGTATCCAGATCTAGATAATTACCGATGTCAAGTCTGCTTTGATTCAATTAATATAGTAATGCATATCTAATGCAAGGTGTTTTGGTATCATACGCCAGGCATGCAAAAAGGCAAATGCAGACATAATGAGATGCAAATAATGAAAAGCAAAATAAAGCAAGATCGCTACTTCCTGTCTGGTTGCGTCTCTCGGGCGCTTCAATGCTCCTGCTTCTTTTCATGTCCTTCAAGATTTGGTTCCGCACGGGAAGGTGGCATCGATGATTCGGCAAGTGTTGACATAGAAGGACGCTTTTCAATCTGGTCGGATATCTGGTGATGGGCATTTTCCTCCGAGGGCTGCTCAGGAATCGCAGCCTCGGCATCCCTCTCCGCTTGGGCTTTCCTCTTTTCTTCCTCGATCTCTTCTGGTTCCTTGGGCCGTTCCAAGCCTCTGTCACGTATGAAGATACATGCCAGGAAACAAATACCAATAAGCGGGACCTGCAGAATAAAGACTGAATGAGATGCCTTGCTATAAGCCAGCAATATCTGAGCCCATTCAACAGCACTGAGATTCGATTTCGAAGGAAGCGAGTACGATGAATCTGCCAAGTATGCGAAGGTTGCTGGTAAATTAGATCGAAGGGTCGCTTGAAGAAGGGCAGCCGATACTGCGAGACCGCAAGCACCTCCCATGCAACGGAAGAAGTTGCGGTTCGCTATCACGACTGCTCTTTGGGACTTTGTGCAATGGGCTTGCAAGGCGACCAGGGTGGGTTGAAAGGTGAAGCCGATCCCGCTACCCATGATTGCCACTATGACTGCAATTACAGCGGGATGGGTGTGGTTGCCAAATAACAGCATTAACCCCGAGCCCCTATCAAATCTAAAGTCAGTATCCAGACACCAAAGAGTTGAGATTTTTTTAACTTACAAGGTCCACAAGCCAAATCCAATCCAGATAATTTCTCCATATCGCTTCATGCGTGAGATGTATTGCCCTGATGTGATAGAGAAAATCGATTGGGCAGCAACCATAGGACTCGTCATGGCAGCAGAGACAATGGGTGACCAGCCACGGGCATTCTGGTAGTAGAGCGGAAGATAGTAAAGGTTTGCTTGGTATACTGCACCAAACAGGAAGCTCTGCACAAAAATTGCAGAGACGACTTTGTTCTTGAAGAAAACAACTAATCTCAAGTTAGCGATATGTTTTCTTAATGTTGAGCTTAGAAGGCAAACATACTTGGTAGCATCGGCAATGTAGCAACTTTCCACTCAATGAGCAAAAATGCGATAAAGGCACAGCCTCCGATCACCAGCATACTGATGACCATCGGTGAATCCCACGGGAAATATGATCCACCTCCTGAGATGGGAATCAACAGAAAGATGATCCCAATAGAAGACGCGAGAATACCGAACCAATCAATACGGGAGATATTTTTGCGGAAGCTATCCTTATGCGCATTGTTTGGGATGAGGAAATATCCCACAACGGCAGAGCAAGCGGCTAATGGAGAGATCAACCAGAAAAAGCCACGCCATGTTGAACGCATGATGAATGCAGCGGCTAGGAATGGTCCGATGATATTTCCGACACCAAGAGACGCACCCAGAATTCCCTGGTATTTGCCTCTCTTCTCTAATGTAACAATATCAGAGACTATAATCATTGTCAAAGAGGTGACACCACCGCCGGCCACACCAGCTAAGCCTCGGAAGACATAGAACATAGCCGGGTTCACAGACAGGCCACAGAGGAGGTCTGCGATACACAGTAACACCAGTGCGGAGATGTACACAATCTTTCGACCGAATATATCTGACAATCGACCATAGAGCACAGTGAACATGGTATTTGCAATCAGCGACGATGTTCCCGCCCATGAGATAGTATTCTCGGCATTTAGTTCGCGTGAAATTGTTGGTAATGTCACACTAATACCGTTCTGATCCACCATGCAAATCAGTAATGAGATTGCCAGGCCTGTAAAGACAACCATAAGTTGCCCGAAGGGTAGAATGTTGGTTTGATCATGTAGAGCCTTTTCGGCCTCTCGTTGTCGATTCATAGCTGGAAGTATGGCAGCGCCAAGCTGGCCCACTATGGATTTCTTTAAGATGATCGAAAAGCTTGGCTAATAGCCATGAATGTCAAATGTGGCGCAGAAGAGTCCCTTGCAAAAGAATGTGAATTAAAGGTACAATGCTTGATGTGGGCTCCTATGCATATATGCCGAATGTTGTTTGACGAAATGGCTAACCCCACGGTGGCAGAGTGTCATATAAGAGTCATTGGATCGATAATAAAAATTTTCCCTGGAAGCAGGATTTAGTCCCCTTCGATCCATCGGCGACTGAGTGCTAGCTGTCGATTGGAGGTTGAGCGCCGCTGTGCGGGTGTTGCGTCGGATGTAGGTCCGACACGCTAAAAAGTCTTGTGGTCGGCTGCCATTTTGGCCCAAGACTGCGCCGGTGGACATGGATCCAGACATTATGTCGGCTCAATTCCGCGTCATCTTTTCCTTTTCGGTTGGTGAATGGACTTGCGGTGGATCAGCCACTCGGACTACCGATCGGATCTCCGATAGCTGACGCACCACGGTCCGATATACCGGATTCGGCGATTATTGTGTTGACCGCCGGAGTATCCTCCGATATACTACAGAAGCATCAGTAATTTAGGCTAAATGAAATGCAATGAATAGAAGAGGGACTGCGCAGCTATGCTGGCTTTTCGTAGTTGTATGTGTTAAGATTTACGAAAATACTTACAGTACTCCCTACTGACTCAATCTTGGTTGGCAAACTGTGAACAACAACTCGTGGTAATTTGCTCCTTGGTGGTCACTTGGGAATTGGGGCCGCTAGATTGTTCTAATTGAAATATACATGATTGCAGTTAGTATCACGTCTTTCCATGACCGTTGGATATTTCGATACTAATTCGTCGCACGACAAAGGTATGAATTGACAGCCCTGGGTCTAGCACATCTCAATCGCGCGGCTGTTTCAGTCATGAAAGCGAGAGTCTACCTAGAGGGGGCAAACCGTCCATTAGTTCTGCAGTTTGTGCAGTGCATGCGTATTCCTTCATAAGTACACAATTCTCATTGGACTGTTCGGCCTGTATCTCCTGGATAATAAATACTCGCGTAAGCGCGAAATGTGACCTAGCCGCCTATCTCATTCACAGAATGTCGTCTCACCTTACCCATGGAGTCGCCCCAGTACAACAAGGTTGTATTAACAAAGCCATGTTTGACATCGGGTCAATTCCGACTTTCTTCACAATTTACTTTCAGTGATCGTGCAGTTTCCTTCTCCAAGACTAAGGCAAATCGAAACTCAATAATTTGCGTTTCTTAGTTACAAAACCACGCCCACTGTAAGTCCTCTCGGCAATTTTCCAGCTTTGCATCACATTAGTGTGAAGGTGTTCTGCCACACTCAACACATTAGACGTTGCTCCAGTAGTTTTCCATGTACTGCCGCGCTGACATAGGAATAACAGTAGGGCAGAGTCTATTCACCACAGGCTGCAGAACTACCTCATCTTCAAGATCCCGGGTATAGGCTAATTTGAATTCAGCCCACATCAGGCCCATGAAGTCGTCCTGTACGGTCTCTCCGAGCTTCATTTCAAGATCCCTAGGCTTGATTACATCGACCTGGAACTTCTTCCCCGTTACAGCTTCTGCATGGGCCAGCAGCTCGCCCATAGTGAGAGTATCTCCGACCATAGTCATGTCTTCCTCCCACTCTGGCAAGTCTAGAGACGCCGCCATAAATCGGCCCACGTCTCTCAGAGATGTCATGCTGATCCGCGGCCACCGGCCGTCCTCGGTCTGAGGTAGCTCGGCAACTCCATTTCTCAGCCCAACGAGAAATGCTCCGGAGTCATCTTTCAGATCTCCTTGCCGCTGCAGACCCTGGCACGCTTCGTCTTCGCCAGTGGCGTAACCTTTCCCAGCTGCCAACTGTCGAAGCATCGTTTCCTCGTTACTCGTTGGCGATGGAATTGGGTACATTCCGTGGCCGATGTAATTCATAAAGGACCCGATGTTAAACTTGGCAGACTCGATTTTGTCCTTGTGCTTCACGCACGCATCCCACACACCCTCATTTGCCCACTTGAGAACGGAGATGTTCTCCGACCCCAATGGCCCAAAGCCCCATTGCGCTGGCGCGAAGCGCTTGCAGCCAGCTTTGACCGCGGCCTCCAGCAAGTTGATTTGTATTTTTGCCTGGGACCCATCCACAGCCGATGTAACAGAAACAACGGTGTGGACACCTTTCAAGGCGGCTGCAAGGGAGTCGACGGAATGATAATTGATCGCATAAATCTGGGCACGCGTTCCGTCTTTGTCGATGGCGCGGAGCCAGAGGGGAGCACTCATGTTGCGTGAGAGAATCACTATGTTCCAGAAACTTTGCTCAGAAGAGATGACGGCGGTGATAATGGCGCGGCCAAGGCTGGCAGATGTTCCTCCAGCAATGGCTAGGGTAGGCATGTTTGACTTCTTTGCGTTGGGTAGTGTTTGATAACGACGAGGACACCGAAAACAGATTGTATAAAAGGTGCAGAGATGTTATGTATAGGGTTATAAATTGTCAGGAGTAGCAGATGTGGCGATTCCCACGTCTCTTGTTTCATTCCTATACGCGAGCCCGGCAGTCTTGTTGTCCTTGAATTCTTGCCCATTTATACATTAGCCATCGGATTGCTTGACCATCTTGGCGCATGGCACCAAGTCGCCGGAACCCGCGGGAGCCGCTCCCCAGACTGGGGCGCTTGGAACCAAGTCGTCGGAACCCGCGGGAGCCACTGCCCAGAGGGGAGTTTCACCATATGCCCAAGTCCGTGTAAGGGGCGTCAAATGCTAATCCACCCGCCGAACGCACTCGCGGGAGTGGAGAGAGAATCTGATAATCTCATAACTAGAACTCAGTACCGGTAGACAATAAGCTAATGAAATGAATGAGTATAAAACAAACTATATCCAGAAACGGTGTCCTTGGTCCTAGCCTCCGTCTTTCCTGCCTTTTATCAGCTCATTTACAGCCGCAAAAGCCCATAATGGCATCTCTGCTCCCTACAATTCCCCGCTATTTCTTCTGCTTCGTTGAACCCACGCTGCTTATTGTTACTTTCGCAACGACCTCTATCTTCCCATCATACTACGTGTTTACCCAGTCAAAGCACACACCACGGCATCGTCTGCTGCCAACCGAACAAATCCTTACATTCCAACTTAGCAATCTCTTCCTCCTGATTGCCGTTATTGAACTCTACGTCTTCTCTTCAACAACGGATACTAAGGCAGTCCGTGCATTGATAACAGCCCTTTGGTGGGGTGACCTAGGACACTTAGGAGTTACGACGTGGTGTATGGGTGCTGCCGTACTGCGCAACCCACGATTTTGGAGCTTAGTGAACTGGGGAAATATTGCCCTCCCTACGCTTCTGTTTACCATGGGATCGCTTTATCTTGTCGGATTTTTTTGATAGGGACACATACGCAAAGCGTGGGGAGTGGTCATAAGCACTTGTTGGGCTCTGTTGTGTCGGAGCGAAGACATATTGTATAAATTAGTTAGGACACTCTAGTTGGCAATTTCGGCTTTCATGTTCCCATTAAGTTACCACCATGCCTGCGCCACCTCTAAATCCAGATTCGAACTTCACTGGAACCATGATGTCTGCGCCCTCTCCGTCTTTGACATAGAGACATTATGCTCTCCTAGTTATATGCGAAATTAGCCTTGTCACACTTTTGAAACAATTACCATGGCGTAAATAACATGTTTGGGAACTCACCAGACCCAAGGTTAACTTCGACATGCCATCGATAGCCTTAGGTTCGTCCCTTTGATTGATGCCAAGATATTATCACACGTAAATAGGACGCTTAAAATGGCGTCAAACTAAGCCGTTTTCGGCACCCAGTTTACCGTCACATACCGTTGTGGTGTAATGTGACGATATAAACTGGCTAAAGATCCTGGAAAAGTCTAGTAGGCATTGAGGCATAACTGCATACTCAGAAGCGGGCATCAACCACCGTAACTTCAACGCCTCCTTATATTTGTAAAAAGACAATAAATCAGACATTAAGACAGTGCTTATCGTGCATGATCTTGCATAGCGAGGTATATGTCAGCTGGCCCTCCTGTCAACGCGGGCTGCAATGTAGCAAGGAATTTTCATCAACCGCATCTCCCGTTCTCGGCCACGTCATTTCACCTTTAGCATCGTCCTCTGTATGTGATATGTTAGGTGTGCGCCGGTCCAATGGGAACTCCTAGGCCACCAGCAGCCCAGGCATTCTGGATGGTCGGTGTGGTAGCGGCATTAACATCATACGCTGCATCTTCACCGACTGTGTTATTATTATTACCTACTCCGTTCTGGGGAGTGGGCACAGGGTGTCGCGTGACGTGACCGGGGTTTGGTACAGCGTGGTGAGGCATATAGTTGGCACCGGTAACGTTGCCCTGATTTGGAAAGAAGCTTTGATTCAGTGACCCGCAGGTAGTGCAGGTAAACTCAATTTTGAAGTTTGTAAGAGTCATTTGGGGGATTGCAGTGTGATCATTGCGCTGAGTGTAGGGCTGGTTTTTGGGGGGCTCAGCTACTGCTACTGGCAAGGAGGCAGTGGTCTGGTACCCAGCTCCTGGTTGTGATAGATCCATTGGGTGTGTATTTTGGGGGAGTAAAGGCGGATTGGCGATATGAGGATGCTGCACCGTGGGTGGCGGTGGCAGAGCTTGTTGGCCAGACGGTGGAGCAGGTAAGTTGTTGCTTGATGCTTCATTCGGTTGGATGTTTCCATCGTCAATCAGTGAAGGAAGATTATCTGGAAGCCACCGATTCTCAGACATCTCTCTGAAGGCTTGTGCCACTTCTCCCTGAGATTCTGAGGGAGATTGCTCTGGAGACTGCGGTTCTCCAGCACTCATATCAAGATCAAGCGACTGCTCGCCCTGGCTATTGGTGTGCCGTGGCTGAAGCTTGGTAAGTGCGCGCTGTGCCTGGCGCATCGAGATGTCATATCCATGGTAGCGTTTCACAGCATCCACGACATCTTGAGCTTTGATTTTCGATTTCATATCGAACAATTTAGGGATCTCACTCAGCAAGAACCGTACATGGGAAGCTTCAGAGCGAGCAGGTGTAGCCGAAGGAGACACTGCACCACGGGGACAGCTATGGCTATCCTGGAGACTGGTGATGTAGGTCGCGTTCTTGTTGGACCGACAAACGACGCGGAAGAAGCAATTGGCCGATGATCGACAACCGATCACCACGCTCTTCTTATTACTCCTAACTACACGAAGCTCCCAGTGTTGTCTGACTGATATGCTCCGTATCACTGTTTTGAATTCCTCCAGCGAGGAGAATCGCTGGCCCACATGGAGCCCCGAGTACATCTCCGTCATAGTGAGGCTAGAGCAAGTATAGAAGGCGCAAATAAGGCAACTGGTACCGCAGTCGCAGACTGAGCGACAAGCCCCATTAGGTCACGGAGCACTGGTTGTGGCTTCGGTCGAGCTTAACAAGGTGGAAGATGAAATGCGGAGAACGGCGTGATCCCAAGCACGCACCCGGTCAGTCTGCGTATTCGCCGTTTGAGCATCAATCAGCCGCTAAGGGCCCGTAGACAAGACCGAATTATAAAAACAAAGAACAATTGTCTGCGTAGTGAAAGTCGATCGTTGGGAAATCGCAACAATCAGATCAATAGAAGGCGGAGTCAAAAGTGCCAGACCGCTCGGCTTCACTTTTCATCTCCCTGCACGATCGACACTTGAAGCCGCGTAGAACGACCGCGGTCTTTTTACCTTCTAGATCTTCAATTGTGAGCTTCTTGAGATCAAACACTACAATTAGATCACCAAAATGTCTTCCTACGGCCTTCTGGGTCAGCCAGAAGAAGGTCCAGTCTCCTCCAGCTTGTCTTCTCAGCTCAAAGCTAACATTCCCGATCGCAGATGCCCTCCACAAGTCGCGCCTCTTAAATGTCGAAGAAAAACCATTCAAGCGCATCTCAAAGCGCCTCCTAAACCCCGAATCCCTCATTATAACGCAAGCCTCGCTCCCTCTCACTCCTCCGCCCGAAGACACCGACGCCGACCCAACCATCGAAACGGAAAAACAGAAAAAGCTCGATGAATGGCGCCACTTCCGCGAGGATGTCTCACTCGACTTTGCCGCCTTCGAGGGCAGCATTGCGCGCGTCCAGTTCCTCTTGACCAGCAACGAGCATGAACGCAAGCGCTACGCCACCGAGCGGGTCCAGATCTTGTCGACAATGCAATCTGTCCGGGAGAGCACCGCCGACCTCCGGAGTCAGCTTGAAGAGGCACAGAGACTCCTCTCCCTGCGGAAGACCTACGATGAGCTGGCGGATAAGATTACAAGTAACCGCCTGCTCAAGCCGCGCGAAGACCAGCAGTCGAACCTTCAGAAGTTGCGGATGGAGATCTCAGACCTGGAGAAGGAGAGCAAGGATTACGCCAAGACGTGGGCTGAGCGACGCGAGCAGTTCGGACGTATTGTCGAGGAGGGCATGCAGCTCCGCCGCCTGATCCGCGATGAGAAGGAGGAGGTCGAGCGCCGGGAAGGTATGCAAGAGGGCGAGGATAACGACGAGGGCGATCTTACGTCTAAGGGCAAAATCAGCAATGCGAATACCCCCGGCCCGGACAGTGATGTCTTGACCCCATCGCAGAACAGCCAGGATGAAGGTAGTCGGCCATCTGCCCTGCAGATTGACAAGACTGGTACTACGGGTGCTGCGTCGCCTCTACGACAGGTCACCAGTGCACAGGGTGATGGGGCCGACGATGCCGACATGATCGATGAAGGCGAGGTCTCTGCAGACTCTGAGGGCCAGCTATCGGAACTCGAGGAGGGAGAGGAACTCCCTGATGACATGTACAATGAGAAGATGGATACCACCTAGTGCATTTTGTTCTGCATATACATTACTAGCAAGGAGTTTGGGTGGGCCGGGGCGTTGAGCATGTTTTAATTTACATTCATTGATATTTGGAAGCTTTCATCTGGGTATTTTGTTTTGGTAATTCGTGTAGGCTTTTTCCTTTACGAGATCTCTCGCTCGGCCGTCTTAGCTTTGGCAATGGCTTCTTTGGCGGCAGTGATGTGCTCGACGTTACTATCCATGCCCTTCTTGCCCTCCTCGGTCTATAGAGCAGTTAATAGATGCCGATGGAGTAGCACACAGTCTGGTACTTACGATCAAAGCTTGCAAGTTGGAGACAGTCTGGACAATCTGCTGCTTCAAGCTGGGCAAGACCTTCCTAGTCTCCTCAAGTGCCGCATGCTTGATTGGTGTTAGCATCCAGGATTCAATTGGCATAAGCAATAATAGTAGAGCAGTTGAAATCAATGCTCGAGGTACATACCTCCTGCTTAATAGTATACTCGCGGTTCTCATCATCGCCACCAGTTTCGGCCTCGAGCTTCTTCACACGCTCGGTCTGCTGCTGAAGCTCCTTATGGTAGGAGGCCTCCTCCTTGACCAGGCGGAGCACGGAGGATGTGACAATCTCTAGCTGTGAGCGAGGGGCCATTTTCGATTTTGAACTGAATTGGAGATCCAGCGGATGTTTGATATGCCCCTCGATGATGCTATGGGGGGTAATGTTTGTGTTGTTTGCTGTGCACGTGATAGCTAAATTGGCAGAATGATTGGATGAGAAGAAAAGAATATTAATTATTTTGGAGGCCTATGAGTGGTCTGCTTTGGGGCTCTTTTTTACTCTCGGCCAATCAAAATCGAGGACAGCGCCCAAATGGCTCGACAGTAGGATCTGAGGGTGATTCATCCTAACATTGACTGACGTAGTTGGACTTGGATTGGACAATACAGCTTATTTTCTATAGAACATCAGATTAATAGAAATGACAACAGAAACAGAATAGAGAATCGATATTGCGTATAGAAAGGGCAGCCAATAAACACCCACCTTGAGGGGATCATCCGCTATTAAAGACTGCGGGTCATCCTCGCTTTCTCATCTTCACATCTTCACATATTCGCATCTTCATTTACTTTTATCTGCTGCTCCATTTTTGTCTCATTTGCGTTCATTACGACATTTCCTATGCCACCCTTGCGGCATCGCTCATTTCGGTCGAGTCCTCTTCCGTCATAAAGCAATGCCAGCCCCATCTCTCCTCCGGCTGGCTACCGCCATGGCGATTCGTCATGTTAAGGGTATGTTATTATAAGGAGACAATCCTCCGCATATTTGGCGCATTTGGTCTGATCTCAGTTGTGGCTATGTCACTGTCTGTGCTTGGCTGTTTCTAAGCGTCAGTCGCTTTGGTCGCATTTTGGGCGGACTCTCAGTACAAAGCAATTTTTTGCTGACCTCTTCACTTATGGACCGTCTAGTTCTCGATAATTTGGGCAGCCTTCCATACGCCCTCGCACGTCCCATCCTCCTCAAAGTCGACAACCCTCAGAAGCTTGTACGTCATACCCCCCCTGGCTCTTGCGCGCAATGTTTGCTAACACTCTCTTTGTCTCTTAGCATGCCCTCGAACTCGCATCCCCCCAGTTCGCTGAACACGACAAAGAGCTATGGATCGAGTTCATCAAGCGCGACATCCCAAGTTGGGACCAGTACGAACTGCCTGAGGAATCCAACGATTGGTATCAGGTGTACTGCGACCTCGGTGCACAGGTCGAGCGATCTCTCGAGGCCGATGCCGAGAGAATGAAGATGGCCCTCGACGGAATTTCCAACCAGCGCGCCCGTCTCACCCCCAAGATTCTCGACCAAGGCAAGAGCGCACGCATGGCCGGAGCACGACCCACCACCAAACAACGCTATGCCTCCTGGGACCGCAAGATGGGCGGCGTTGAGACTGTCTACGAACCCAACCCAAAGACACCCATGGCCGGCTGGGTCTTCAATGTTCCAAGACTTCCCCGAGAAGGTTTCCCCAAGAAAAAGGGCATCTTTGCGCCACAGAAGCGCAACAACGCGCTATCCATCCCCAGCAACAAGCTTAATAATCGGGCTTCGCAAGTCACCCGTGCCCCCCAATCCCTGGTCGAAGAGCACCGCCGCCCCGAGCATGCACCAGCATCAAAGATGAAGACCAACCCTGCCATGATCGGGTCCCGCCAACCTTCCGCTGCGACCATTAAGCACCCCTTGCTCCCAGTCAGAGAAGACCGACTGCGGGGAGAGGACCGACTGCGGGTCTTGACTTCAGGAAAGCCAATTCCGTCGTCCGCTGTCAAGAAGGCTCCCGCGACGAAGCCTGATCTCAAGCGGCCTGCCTCTCCTCCTCAGTCTGTCGGCAAGGCACCCGCCCCATCTCAGGGATCTCCCCCTTCCTCCCGCCCGTCGTCATCCGGACCTCCTGCTCTCCGTCAGGGCATCATTCGTCGACGCCAAGAGCCGAGCATCTTCATGCCGGCGAAGCGAAAGCGGGTGTCATGATCTAAGGATCACAAATCCTTATATTTATCTTGAGGCGTTTTGCTTTGGTGCGCGGGCGCGCCTTCATGTATATTTTATCTGCATATTTATGGCGTTGGGGGACATGCATTTTGATATGGGAGCGTGGGGAGTTCCGGCTCTAAATTCTCATTCCACGAGGTCGGGGAGACCTTACTTGAATATCAGATTGGCGACAAGTTCGCCTCACTTGACGCTCGCTTACCTTTCACTCCTTTCGTTCGTAGTCTATAAATTAACTTTACCTTCATGGGTTACTTGTCTTACTTTAGGTCGATAGAGATACCAGAACCAAGGGCTAGGATGTCATGCTTAGGCTTGCCTCTCTTCTTCAGCCACTTGAGCAGCCCTAGAGATAGGCACATTCATGGCTATAAAAGACCCGCTGCGGGCATCTTTCAGCTCGATCCTTCTTCCCTCCTCGCCCTCTTCTCATCCTTTTTCATCCCAGACATGCTTGATATGCTACTCTCTGCTGGTTTTCTGTTTGTCTTCTTTTGTAGCGTCCTTCAGTAGTCTCAGGCTTCGTAGCTATCAGATGCTATCATCTATCCTTGATAGGCTCCAAGATTGGCCAGTGATCGACGGTAGAGATACGACACAGTAATGTAGACATCTTGGAACTTGCTTAGGTGAAGTATGAAATTTTGTGACTTCATTACACTCATGGGGAGCGGGTCCAGCTCGTCACGAACTCCATCTCTTCGGTTGCAAGCTAGGTTCCATCGTTTTTCTCCACTCTACAGCGGGTCAACATAGGCCGTGTTTGAAATGGGAAAGGTTGAACCTAGTGAGTATGGCAGCCAAGTCTGACCTGAGATGTCATCGCATAACCAATGATAATATTAACCAAACAAACTTATCGAGGACGTCGAGTATGCATATTATTGTCAGTCAAGCGCAAACTTCAGCAGTGCATCTGTCAAAGATAGTCCTCAGCTAAGGGCTCCATGTGTAGTGCACGATTTTTCCTCAACGTAATCTCATTGCTGTAAAAGAGTATGGTATCTAAAAAGAAATGCAGGACGGTTCAAAGGGCATCACATCCTCCACGGAGGGCAAGCACGAGATGGAGTGTGGCTCCACCCTCGAGGTTGTATTCTGCGGCTGTCTTGTCATCCGCCCTGTAGATAAACAATTATTAGATATGTTCTTGTTTCCATAGAAGAGCAAAAAGGAAACTCGGAAAGTGCAGTTTCACTCTCCGGGTATGGTGTCTTACATCTGCTTGCCGCCGAAGATAAGTCGTTGCTGGACAGGGGGGATACCCTCGCGCTCCTCGACACGCTCCTTTATCCGGGAGACCTGCATGAAGCCGTTCACATCAGTATAAGCGCAATAATAGGTGAACGTGCAGATATTTCTTTGTAGGTCTACCGAATCGCGGGTAGGGACAGATCCCGTGCGCGGGAGGCCGAAACGCGTTCGTGCTGGGGAAGTGGCGTACCTTGTAGTCAGGCTCGATGTCGAGATCGATCTCCTTGCCTGTGAGTGTGCGGACTCTAGTTAACATGGAATGTTAGCGCGGTGCTTTGCGGTGGTCTTTGTGTTGGGGTCATGCGATAACGCATTGGGAACGGGCTTGTGCCAGAGCCAGATAACGTACTTGATCAACATTTTGAAAGCGTGGGTGGTTTTGTGATTTGGAGAGGAAATGTAGAGGAGTGGCTAGTTTAAGTTGGAGGTACGGACAAGCTGGTGAGTTCGGAGAGAAGATGTGAGTCGGTGGGGGTTTGGTGGGGCTTGTGGCCTTGTGGCCTGATTGTGTCAGAGCCTCACATTCGAGATTGTTTGCGTGCAAATTGATTATTAGGTACAATTATCATATCTGGCTTGTGAAGTGTTAGTCTAATATTGTAGTTATAAGAATGGTCTCGTTTTAGTAGCGATATTCCGGAAAACCTTGTTTGCACAACAGCTTCCCCGGATTCTAGCAATATATATCTTAACGCATACTACTAACTACCACCATAAACTTCAAGTACCGAAATGTAGATTCCAACTCGATAGTCAAAGAAACATTGTATCTCTATAATCTCATCCTTAACCATTTGCCTGACTGAAAAAACGACCATATTGACTTACTGTTCTGTATACTTCGACCGCTCGGTTGTCGCCCGCTGACTTTTCTACCCCGACTACCCCGCTGAAACAGCTCGGCATCAACAGTCAAATCAAGTCAAAGTCGACTCAAAATATTGAAAAAGATGAACAATGAATCGGTGCCATTTGCGCCTCCAAATCCATTCCAGGGTTTAATCGATCAGCACAATGATGATCCAGTAAGTCCGAGTCACTCTTCAACAACGAAGCAGTAACCAACCAACCAGAACCAATTGCAAATTGCCTATACCGTTCATAGATCAAACAGGAATGCCGTCTTCCGGACCCAGCTCCTGCAACCTGGATTTCGTGAGTGGAAAGACGACGAAATCCTTCGCCAGGTTCTTGAAGCAGAGAAAGGATTGACAGGCTTCGTCGATCCAAGACATAATATTGCCTTCTGGGCACGTCCACCGCAGCATATCCGAGACTTGGTCTACAATATCCAGCAGGAGGTTGCTCCCTTAGCTGGACCAGGTAATGGTTGTCTATGACCCCCCACAGGCAGCATACTAACTGCCTTTAGGCCTCTGGCTTGTCCCATCAGATTATCTGCACATGACTACACTCGAAATTAGATCTGAACTGACAGGATCTGATGTTGATGAGATCTGCTCTTCTCTTGAGCAGAGTGGGTCTCTCCAAGAGCTGATAAACTACACCCTTACCCACCGGGCCCGACTAGTCAAGCCAATAGTCAGCATTGATACTTCTGCTATTGCTTTGAGCTTTCTTCCAGCAGCTGGCGACGAGGAAATTAGCCCGTATAGTGGAAAAGATGATACATTTACGTATCACCACCTGCGGCGCGATCTCTACGATATCGTGACTCGTTCTGGCTGTTCAATCGCAGCTCGATATACGCTCCCATCTGCACATATCACTATTGCTCGTTTTGTTCGGACTGATGGTTCGCAAGAGGACCCGAGGACAACTGGGACGTATGCTGCAAACCTCGTTTCCAAGATCGACGACATCAATGAGAAGCTTGACTCGAGTGAGAATGCGTTCAATGCAGAATGGGTGATTGGGCATGAGAAGGGGCTGGACTTGATGAAAGGTCGGACGTGGTACGGGAAAGGAGACAGTGTCGCAATTGGAGAGGGGTTTCCATAGAAAGACACACATAGACGCATGTAGACAAACAGCTACTTCAATCAACTTTGAAAAATGATGTCAAGTATGCCTCAGGCAACAAGGGCATAATGACTCAGCACCACTTGGCGATTTACCCAAAGCGGCTAGCGCCAACCCGATAGGGCCTAAGCGAGCACAATCCCACAACCCAACAATCGATCTTGCTCTCCTCCGACAAGCGACAATCCAACGACCACCACCCAGCTATCCGGCCAAGTCAGTCAAAATGGTAAGGAATACCCTTCTGGATAATGTCATACTCTGTTCCGAAGTCCTTCGAAGTTCCCGCCGGAGATATTGTGCGTGATTCAACTGTGCGGCCCAACTGTGCGGCCAAGCTCGAAATCGTCAAGACCACCGACCATCGCGAAGTGCTACACCACCCGCCACCCAGACATCTGCTTTTTACCGAAATTCTGCAGGATGATTCAGGAAGTCGACGTTGAAGTGAACAGGGGTGGCGAAACCCCGAAACAACATTTCATGATGGGACTGAGGGATCCAGAAGCCGGTTGAAATGGTGCACAATTTGGTTCTTCGAATCTTTTGCCTGCCCACTACGCCCGCTCTACGATGAATACGCGACTTGATCAGAAAAACGACTGATATCTCCGTGACCGCACGAATTTCGAATCGGACTTCGAACACGAACCTGACATCCTCTCATTCGCACAATTATACCAAAAACAAATGCTCATTAAATCTCCGTACAGGTCAACATCCCCAAAACCCGCCGGACGTACTGCAAGTCCAAGGACTGCCACAAGCACACCCAGCACAAGGTCACCCAGTACAAGGCTGGCAAGGTACGTGCCCTCACCACACCGACCGACACTCACGAGCCAATTTGCTGATTCGAATCTTTTGTGAAAATAGGCCTCCCTCTTCGCCCAGGGTAAGCGCCGTTACGACCGGAAGCAGAGTGGTTACGGTGGTCAGACCAAGCCCGTCTTCCACAAGAAGGCCAAGACCACCAAGAAGGTTGTTCTGCGTCTTGAGTGCACTTCTTGCAAGACCAAGAAGCAGCTCGCCCTGAAGCGCTGCAAGCACTTCGAGCTGGGGTATGTTGATCCCCATGATCTGGACTGGCTGTTCAATGCTGACGTGACTTTTTCTACAGTGGTGACAAGAAGACCAAGGGTGCTGCTCTTGTCTTCTAAGTGCGATTTCCTTGTTCGGCTTCTGGGTTTCCTGCATTGCACAACGTGTTCCGCTGCTGCGGAGCATCTATGACATTGGCAATGGAAAAATGAAATAGGAATTCAACTATTCAAAAACACCATCTATGACTACCGGATACGAGTCTATTGAATGATTATTCTGTTTCACTGTAGAGCTGCCAGTGGCTGCACGTAGTATTCACCTTTGTGGTCATGCCATCCCCACGTTGGGCCTTGACGCATTCCCCCAGAGTTTCTCTATCACAGTGCTCTGACCATGCGGGTTTGATGTTCCAGTCCCAGCCAAGTCCTCACAAGCTCCTGACCGGGCCCACAGCCGGTGGACTTGGATGTGTCGCTCCCTCTACATCGTTTAATTGGATCTTTGCTTTGGAGATCCGCCTGCCTTAGCACTCAAAGTCCATATAGACGGACCGTTATGCCTGCCTTCTATTGGAACTCAAGCCACCTTCTCCATCGGTATCCTTGGTTTCTAGGATCACCCCGTCAATGAGTCCCACCTGCATATTATGCAGACATCCATTTTCGTCCGACTGGCACCCAGATTCAGATTTATTGCCCCCTCAACAAGAGGACAGTATGCAGTAACACCCAATCAACAAAGTGACAACAACCTGTCCAACAGATGGAAACCTAGAATACTCATCGGTGCCTCCCCGATCTCTACAACCCTGGTCTTGGAGCGCCACTAAGCAACAATTCGCCTGCAAAACTCAGAACCTCTTTCTTGGCTTGAACCAGGATAAGCCGCCAGTGAAAACAATGAATGATCAGTGCAGATTCTAGCCGGACATAGAAGCACCGAAGGGCGAGACTTGAACCAAAGTGGCAATCCGAGCATTTCACGACATAAAACGATTGGACGGGAAGTGAGCAGAATCCCCCTATCAAACCCCCATTCCGTAGATCCAACCCCACGCATTCCGGGGGATAGGGATGAAAACCCCCAAATGAGAATGTCACAAAAGCTAAAAGGCTTCCCCAACATCAATCAAATGATTCGAGAAGACTGAGTGGAGACTCGACTCGTATACAAGATTTACTTCCCCGCTTCCCCAGATCATTTCCTCTCGGGTCTTCTCCGACCTCTGCTTTCCAGCTTGTTTCGCTACTGTGACGCCCCCCTTCCTCGGCTCATCGGACGTACCCCGGCGGTCGCTCAGATCATTCTATATCTGGGGTAAATTCTGGGGTTCTATAAGCTGTGGCTTTGCTGCTGTTTTCTGCACTTTTGATATCCCTGTTCAGTTATTTTCATCGTTACTTTTATTGGATAGCGACACTGAAGGGTTTACATCCTTATTCTGACCAAGATGGCTATGTGGTATGCGCTTGGTATTGCGTTCTTCGCCGCTATCGGCACGTTCTTGTTTGTATGGTTGTCTCTTTTCCCATCATTGAGAGTTGATTCTAATGTGTTGGATAGGGCTTTGATACCGGCATTGCCACGACAAGTAAGTTCCAACCGCCATTTATCCAGGACTCAAACTAATAAACCCAAAGCAATCGCCCACCAAAGCTGGATCGATTACATGGATAAGCCCTCAAAGGGCTTAACAGGAGCTGTACGTCCAACAACCCCACAACCATCTAGCATTCCCCAATCTAACACACAACCCAGGTCGTCGCAGTCTACATCGCCGGCGAAGCCTGCGGAGCCCTAACGCAAACCTTCATCGGCGACAAACTCGGCCGCATCCGATTCATGCAACTAATGTGCATAATCGTCACAATTGGCACAGTAATCCAAACCGCTTCCGTGAACATCGGCATGTTCCTCGCCGGCCGCGTGCTAGCCGGCTACGCCGTCGGCGGGCTTGTAGCCACAGTCCCAATCTACCTAAGTGAGATCTCCGACCCACGCTACCGTGGCCTGATCGGTGGTATTTCTGGCTGTGGTATTTCCTTCGGCACGATGATGTCGAACTGGGTTGGCTTTGCGTGCGGTTATGCGCCGTATGGGCATGTGCAGTGGCGTTTGCCGCTGGGCATTCAGATCCCCTGGGGTATTATTCTGTTTATTGGGCTTGCTACTTTTATGCCAAATTCGCCGCGGCAGTTGATTCGCGTTGGGAACATCGATCTTGCGAGGAGTGAGTTTGCGAGGATAAGGAGGGGTGTGGATTTGGTGGAGATGGAGGAGGAGTTTGGATTGATGAAGGCTCAGATTGAGTATGAGATGGAGAGGGAGATTACTTCTTATCGGGAGATCTTTAGATTGTTTAGGCATCGGGTTCTTGTGTGGGTTTTTCTCGCTTGCTATTTTCTGCTTGGAGTTGAGACTAACTCGGGTCATAGGTCTATTGCTGTGCAGACTATGACCAGTTTGACTGGTGTCAATGTCATTCAGTATTATCAGAGTGAGTTCTGAGAGTCTGGGGATTGGATGTCAGATGAGACGGATACTAACATCGAACTCTTTTTTCAGCTATCCTATACAAAGGTCTCGGCATTGGATCCCACACCATTCTCGCTCTAGCCGCAGTCTACGGCACCGTCGCCTTCATCTCTAACTCAATCACGACTAAATATATGACTGACCAATGGGGTCGCCGAAAGTATGTATACTCCTTTGGTTGTATCTTGTGTGGATGCTAACAATCTGAAGGATGCTCATCACCGGATTGGCCGGCATTGTCTTGATAGAAATCTACGCTGCTGTGATGCAAAGAGAATTCCAGCACACAGATAACAACATCGGAAAAGGATTCGCTATTCTTGGAATCTACCTCTTTGTGGTTTGCTACTGTAAGCTCACTGACTTACTTTGGTTTTGCGGGGATTTGCTAACCTGGTTAATAGACGGCATGCTTAACAGTACTACCTGGCTGTATGGCGCCGAGGTCTTACCCATTGCTCTCCGTAGCAAGGTTATGGGTCTTGCAGCAGCATCTCATTTCATTGTCAATGTTGCAGGTATGTCACTTATACAAAAAAAGGTGCCTGGAAAAAGAATGACCGCTAATGCATCACCCCGAACCAGTCACCGAGGCAGGACCCAGTGCATTTGCCAACATCGGCGAGAACTACTACTATGTCTTCGTGGCATGCTCTTCTTTCTTCCTAGTCATCGCTTACTTCTTCTTCCCGTATGTTACTGATGCTATCCCATCTGTCTATAACAACGCTAACCCAACATCCACAGGGAAACCAAGCAAAAGACCCTCGAAGAAGTGGCAGCAGCATTCGGCGACCGGGTCGTCGATCAAGATGACAGCCTTAAACGTGCAGCTAGCTTGGTGGGCGACACGAAGCATGTGGAATCGACAGAGGAGGTAGTTTAAGCAGTTTCGTTCCAGAACTTATTCACATAGGCTCAGTGGAGACGAACCTTTATCCAGTTTACATTCCTACTTCAGTTTCAGAGACCTAATAACCACAAACCTACCAGCGTAGTGAATTGGTATAGCATTGGAAAACACTTCCGGTGCAAAGCCTACAGTATGTCAGTATGCATGTGCATGGCCATGGATCCATTTCCCTTGGATGCGCAACGCAACTCTATATTATGGACACATGTAGATTCTCTCTGAAAAGCCGTCCCCCACATATGCAATGGATAAGGGGGAAATTCAGTGGCTTTCTAGACGCCTTCCATGTCAAATCTTATGTCTATCTGCCCGTGCTCGTGCCCTTTTGTTGGAGCGTGCGTGGCTTTCCGGCATATCTCGGATTGGAGGTACTATGCGCTGATCAGGCTTTTACATAGCCAGTGCGATACTTCATTGGATGCCGAATATAAAAAAAATCTTGTTTTCGTCAACGGACACAGTTGTCTTCGTATTAGTGGATCCTTGGCTGTAACTATAGCGGATACTTGCAAAAGCCACTGCCAAGTTTAAACGCTCCATAGTAAAACTGTAACAGAAGTCTTCATAGTGGTTTCCAATCATCGTTGCCTCCCGTCCGTATTACTGGTGCTCATGTAGCATTCACATGTCTGGGCGATGACGAGATCTGAGCTAGTAAATTCCAGGTGAATGAGATTGCTCATTGCCGATCTCAGTCTTCTAGAAGAGAAAGGACTCTCTCCACGTGCACCCCAATTCTCCCAAAATTCGATACATGGTTTTCGGAAGCCTCTATCGCCACGCGACAGGATGATCTTTTCAATGATCAACACGCACGACAAAGTTTAACGTGAAACGGGACACTCAGGGAAAAGCAAGAAGAAAAGCAAAAAGCAAAAAGTAAACTGATATACGCCCTTTCTCCGGGTAGCAGATATTCGGAAACATGGAACGGAGACTTTGCTCTGTGTGGATGTGTGTGACGGGGAGGAGGTTGTTTGCCACTTTGTTCTTCTGACAGATCAGCTCGCACAAGTTGATATCGGGCTTCTTTCGGGCTTTACTTCACCGACATTATTATTAATTGCTTTAGACTTAAACAAAATTTACTGGAATGAGTAGATGTGCGTCGATATTTCCATGTGTGGTTACTGCGATCCCAACAGCCAGGAACAGGGGTCCGAGCCCGCTAATAAGACGATAGTTCGCACAATGGGGTTGACGATCGTACCATGTGGCAATTGAGAGCCTCAGTGGAAATTTTTGGCGATCTGAGTTAGATTTAAAAAAAGAAGAAAATAGAGTAGAATGATCTCACTCTATTAGAATATATACCTCGGAACCAGACGGTCACCGCCCATGGGTTCGATGTATAGAAAATAAACAACATTTCAAGGCTTCTGTCATTTCCACTGATGTCTCCGAGGAACTGGTACCTGCAAACTCAGTCAGAATTTTCTCACATGTCGGCTTGTTCAACGGTAGTTATCGCCGCCAGGGCGTCCAAAGGGGATGGCTGGCAGGTGTGGCTCAGTCGGGAGAAAATAGCCGTGGCCAATCCACAGTCAAGATGCTCCACAGGGTTTCGGCTGAGATTCCAAATGACAATCCAAATGACAAGTCACGCAAGGATGCCGATCGGCATCCTCTAGTGGCGTGGACCTAGTGGCAACGGCAAGCCGGCAATTCCTGAACATGAATCATCTCTTAGTTCCTTGCACGATCTTCCGATTTAGGCACGGAAAATGGCAAAAATGTAACAACCTGCATATCGGCATACTTGATCCCTTGAAAAGAATTCCAGATCAAAGAGCCCAAGACCGGTACATGACAGGGCCCAAGCAACATGCAATCCATGGATGCAGGGAATTAAAGCCAATCCAGCAAACCTTCTAAGACTAAACAATTCACAGAGTTTCCACTAAATACCTCATTCTGCATAGTCTCATCTGAAGTGGGACTCCACGCTGAAACAGAGATCCGCAAGGACCCATCCACAGAACATTTTGCTCCCTTCTAGAAGTGCCATGCATCGTTACTGCCTAAGCTATGCTCTCCTATGTCATAGCCTACTATATCCTAATTCATTATTTTCATTTATTGTTTCTCTTGGCTTTCTTGTTTGGTCCGCTTGAAGATTGGGGCAAAGAATTATGCGACCTTCAGCTGTCGGCTAACATTGGGAAAAGGGTTGCCTCCTGATGATTATATTTTATTATTATAAATCCGAAAATATATAGAATAGCATTACTCTTCAACTGGATTTTTTTTTAAACGTTATCTTCCCCTGGCCCACTAGGTTTTGACCTTGTTTTATCACTCCGCGATATCTGGAAGTCGATGGGTCCGACTGAACTCAACAAACCATCGGTCCACAACGTGTATCGCGGAGTACCTGTTTCCTGAACGACTTCTCCTTTATCTCAAAACTGGTCCATGTGTCCTTGAACATCTCCGCACTCCACAGTTCCACCCAAAAAAAGGGCATTGTGCGGCATTACTCCCATCAAGTCCAGTCTATACTACCTACTCAACCATATGGCTTCATCATCCCGGTCAACAGGCAAACGCCTCCCTATCAGCTGCCAAGCCTGCCGAATGAGAAAGATCCGGTGTTCGCGCGATGGCAGACCCTGCCAAACCTGCGTACGCCGTGGCCTCGGCGCCGAAGACTGCATCTACCTCGGCCAGCCCCGTCTGTCAGCTGAGCAATCCTCACCAGGCGACAGTGCAATGCAAAGTGAGCTACTGGCTCGAATCAGGAACTTGGAAGCCTTGCTTCAGAAACAGATGGCTTCTCAAGTTGGAACGCCCACCGGTGGCGCGGTTTCGCCACTGGGTGGGACGAGTGCTACTGGCAGTTTCTCCGAGTCTGATATTGGTCCTGGATTCGAGACATGGGACTCTTTAGGTCCCATGCTGGGTAATGTGGGCTCTTTGCATACCTCGCCTTCCGGACATGTCCGTTATGTGCCTTTTGCTTCTCAGTGGGAGTCGATTGTTGCGAAGAGCCCCGCTGCGGAGTGTTTGAGAAATTTGGATTCGGAGATCGCGGATGATGATGATGATCTGCAGATCCCATTAGTGAGGAATGGGAGTGTTTCGAAGGCCGAATTGCTTGGGGTGCTTCCGCCTGGGAGGTACTGTGATACGCTGAAAGATGTCTATTTTCAGGTTTTTTCTACGGTATGTGATTTGGAAGAGGTTGGCTAGTACTGGCTAACAGATTAATAGGTCTTTCATATTCTTCATGACTTGACATTTGAGGCAGAATATCAGCAATTCTGCCATGATCCTAGCAGTGTTTCAACGTCATGGCTGGCTCTGCTATTTGCTATTCTTGCCATAGCTGTCAGCGCTCTTGACGATGATCATCCCCTATTAGCAGATCTCGGGCGTGAGAGAACAGTCAGTCGAAACATCAAAGCACTATCAGCACGATATCGGTCTGCTTCGCTGCGATGTCTAGCTGCAGATGGAGTCATGTCTCGTCATTCTATCAACTCCCTACAAGCCTTAGTGCTCATATGCTACGCTAGACTTCATCGAGGTCTTCCGGTATGGACATTGCTCGGATTTACACAGCATGTTGCCATTTCAATGGGCTGTCACCTCGATCCAGAGCGATTTGCTCTAGGTCCAATCGAGCGCGAAGAACGACGACGTGTCTGGGCCGGATTGATGATGCTTTACACCATCCAAAACACATCATTTGGCAGCCTTGATCAGCAAAAGTTAACACAAGACGTGAAAATGCCCGCCGACATCGACGACGTCGACCTTTTAACCGGATCCAACCCTAGATCCGCACCTTCACCTTCTACCTCTCGCCCAACGCAAATGACCTACCTTCTCTTTAATTACCGCCTCTACAAAATCACATCTAAAATCACCGAGTCAATATTCACCTATCCCCACGCCTCCCGCTATACAGTATCTAATCTCGAAGCTGAACTAATATCTGTACGAGATATGTGCGACGCCCGCTACCAGCTCGACTCCGAGCGTCTGCCCATTCACCACCAGGCGAACCTCCACATACTTTATAGCCAAATCCACCAGCTCCTCCTCCTTCTATTCCGCCCAAGTTTATGCCGCTATATCCAGGGCGAGATTACGCCCGAAACATGCGTCTCAAGGGCCAAATGCATCGCCTCTGCAAAAGCCTCACTGGCTATATTCCAAGCTCTCCTCGAGTCCGCTCAGTTCAAACCATACAAATGGTACACCAGTGGTCTAGGAAGCTTCCACGCTTTCCATGCTGCAGTAGCACTAGCAGTAATGCTCCTCGTTCCAGAGAGCCAGGCTGAGTATGAAGAGATGAAAGAGATTCTCGACCAAGCACTCGAATCATTCGCTTCGCTCTCAGTCCGCAGTGTCTTCTGCAGCAAAGCTGTACCCGTTCTTCGACAAATTCTGTATGTTCCACGAAAGCTTTCTACCATGATTCCACAAGTGAAAACGACTAACATACAAACCAGCGACGTCGCAAGCACAAATTACAACAATCAAAAATCCCACTTCCAATCCCACTCCCAAATCCACCTCCAGGCCCATGCCCAGGCCCAGGCCCAGACTCCCGTTCAAATGCACAATCCGCCTCTCAGTGCAGTCTCAACACCGATATCCACCATGTCAAATCTCTCCCCGGTGGTCACGATGCAAGATACTTACGTCCTTTCTCAACCACATCCGCACTCGAACTCTGGATCTCCAGTACCGACAATGGTATCATCGTCCAGTGAACCAATAATGCATTCTAGTTTTGGCGCCCAGCTTCATCCGCAGAATTGGATTGGTCCTACCTCTGTCCCGTGGGACGCGTTGGGCTCTGTCGTTGAGGGATATGGGTATGGTCCTAGACCTTAGGGGATGATCTGGCGGGCGGTTGGCTTGCTTCCTTTTCAAGGTTATAATGTTGGTCATGAGTCATGTGTGCTATGAACTGATGAGATAGAAACGGCTTTTTTTTCATTAATCTTCTATAGAAAGAATGTTGTATAACTATTATTTCCTCTACATTTTAAAAGAAACCAACGAATACCTAATTCTAGTAGCTGATAAGGACATTCCGAATCCCAAGTAAATAGATATAATGTAATCACCCCATCTAAGTTAAAGAATCCTCCACAAAATCAGGATGTCCCCTAAACTTCCTCATCATAACAGCTAAACCCTCCCCATCCCGCCCACCAGCCGGCGGCCTACATTCAACCACATCGACCCCCATAGTTCTCTCATAAAACGGCACAGAGCGTTTCCAATCGCCCGTGAAGAGAAGCGACCTCCTCAAATACGGCATAGTCTCAATGACCTCTTGAACGCAGCTCACAAGCCATTTGCCAAGTCCACTGCCCTGATACGTGGGTAGAATGAAGACGTCTGTTAGGTAGATGAATGTCGTGGTGTCTGTGATGCATCTTGCAATACCGATGAACTCCAATTTTTCGGCTTTAGAATCCTTTGTTCCATTTGAATCTTTGTTGGGACAGTGATACAAGCCAAAACAGAGGGAATTTTGAAGTGTTGCTCGCATGGCATCTTCGGGCATGGGTTTGGCCCAGTAGACTTCTTCGGTTGCGAACCAAGTGTTTAGTGTTGGGATTGGGATTAGTGATGGGTCGGTTGAGATGAGGTATGGTTCTTTTGTCCAAGTTTTATGTTGGGATGACTCGGTAGTTCCCATCTTGAATGGCTATAGATGGTGTTAGATGAAGGAAGGGTATGAGAGTTATAGCCGATGAAGGTACTTACATTATTCAGTTGCCTTGAACGATCTAGTTTGAATTAGAGAGAGATTTAAAGATATTTCAGTATATTCTACTTCGTATGGGTTTATATGCTCAGGAGCCCACCGGTGCAACATTTTTCCAATGACTCAGAAGCGGCCCGCGTCGAACTTGTGGGGTGGATCCGCATCTAACGGGCATCTCCGTAACTGCATCGAATGAGCCAAGTTATGGCTTGACTCATTATAAGAAGCTTGACAATTGTGTATGTTTTTGAATCGCAACTTTCTCGGCCGAGTTGAGGCATCGTGGATACCACGGAACGAATAGTACAATCACGATGCAAAAGATATTATTAGACGACATTATCCGTAATCATATACATGTAGATGGTCATAATCACTTTACTCATAAAAGACCAAGCATCTAACCTCAATGCTCTGCCGCCCGGGGGCTCCCGCTGGGGTCTGCGGATCAACGAAAGCAGTATGGCACGTAGCATGGGCGATATCCGTCTTCCCACCAGTCATCGTATGACTCCGCGAATCAAAGCACTTGATCAACATAACCTCCTCAGGCGTCATATCCTTGGCATAGAAAAATCGATGGTTATCATTCGGAGCCACACCATATGTCTCTCCCTTGACCTCATACCCATCTGTCGAAAATGCTGACTCAGGATTAGGCGCCACTTCCCTGGATTCCTCTCCCTTCGGATATAAGAGGTCGACTTTCACATAGTCAGAAGGATCGGTACTCCGCCAATCGATAACAGCCAGAGGGAAATCAGACGCCGGGTTCTCGATCGGTCGCCAGACATTGATAATCTGATATCGACCCTTCAACAGCTCTTCCGCTTCATTTTCTGGTACATGACGACGCACACGCACTTCTGCCGCGCGGGGAGTTTGGTCGACGTGTACCTGCTGGACCGGGGCACGTGCCGATCCCGGAGTTCGGCGTCTGATGGTATGGTCGAAAATGACGACTTTTTTCACTCCCGGAAGTTTCTTTCGAAGGAGATCTTCTACTTCGCTGTAGTATCCCTTCTTTACTTTGGTCTCGTCTGTGAAAGCAGCCTCTTTTGCTAGTTCGTTGTACACGGCGAACCCCGCGTTGTCTATGGAGAATTCAGACTCGCGGCCTCGGATATTCTCCACGGAACGCTGGTAGCTGGTAAGCTTGTAGGATTGCCCGGGCCCGTCGACTTTGCTCCAGGGCTTTTTGAACGCCTCTGTTGCATTGGGGTCGTATGAAGACGGGTCCATGTAGTTGAACGCTGCTGTCGTCATCCCGGGCAAGTTTTGTGTGGAGAAAAGCCGACTGCTTCGCGAGAATAGAGAAAGAAATCTGCTCATGTATATTTCAAAGTGAGTCGAATTAGAGAATGCCAAAAGAACAGTATAATATATAAAGAAGTGAAGTGTACCAAACCCCGAGGCTTGGAAATCACGTCATTAATAATCAGAGTGACCAAACCCCGCCACATCTCGGAGACATTTAATTAGCCCGATGTACTGACAAACTATTGGATTTGAAAGCACATCGAACACATCTTGTCATATTTGCATCTTATACTATAATGGCGACTTCATATGACTTTTCGGGGAAGATCATCGTGATCACCGGTGCCGCAAGTGGAATTGGGTAAGTACCAGTGACTTCTTGTTATTGCTTTCGGTTCTTATCCATTATTTTGTGTCTCATCGTCACTATATAATGTATATGTAGGCTAATGCCCTGCAAGATTGGCCACTGCCAAGGCATTGTCAGCCAGCAATGCTCGACTGGCGCTGTGCGATCTAAATGTGAAGGGACTGGAATCCTTCGATCTTGCTGAAGGCAAACACCAGGTCTTCAAGCTAGATGTGACATCATCGTCCAATGTAGCGAATACCGTTCAGTCAATTGCTCGAGAATTCGGGACAGTCAGCCATCTGTTCAATTGTGCCGGTGTGAATCCGACAGCATATCCATTGACCGAAACGACGGACGAATACTGGAATAAAATCGTCGACACGAATGTGAAGGGTACTTACCTGATGACTCGAGCCATCATCCCTCATCTGAAAGCTGCATCATCAATTGTCAATGTTTCATCCATTGCTGGATCCCGTGCTATGGCGGGATGGGCAATTTACAATGCCTCCAAGTTTGGCATCGTTGGATTTTCAAAGTCCATGGCACTGGAGTTGGGCCCGAAGCAAATTCGTGTAAATGTGGTGGCACCTGGGCATATACACACACCAACGAATATTGCGGTGAAGCAGGGTGACGATGCTGTCAAAGCTGTGGGGAAGCAGGCGAGTGCGATGGAGAGGATTGGGACTATGGAAGAAGTGGTTAGTGTTGTCTTGTTCTTGATGAGTGATGCGGCAAGCTATGTCAATGGAAGTGTGGTGGAAGTTGACGGTGGAGCGAAGTGATTATAGCCAGCGATCTGAGCATGCATTAAGTGATGTATATAATCGCCGACATATGCCCTTATAGGGTTGAATGGTACATAGACGGATGCCTTTCAGTATACCCTACACTTTGAAAGCTATGCTCAGTAAACGGAGCATAACGTAATTTCACCACAGCACAAACTTGGCACTTACAACTCTATTCAATTGTGCAACTGTACAACATTTATATCGCACCGAATGCTACATGCACAAACATTGTTCTGACCTATATCCTCCAGCCAATCACCGCCCGCCCCTAAACCACGATTTTGCGCACCGGCGATTGAACTCTCCAAGCTTGCCTCTTTATAGACCAAATACCACCTTTCGTGATGATCGACACTTCTTCTGCGGCTTTCTGGAAGTCGCGCTTCATCCCGACGAGTCCGGCCTTTTTACCGACGTGTTGTCACTCCGTGCTCCATGGGGAATTCCACAAGGCACGAAGTGGGCCAAACACAGAAATAGCTTAGCTTGCTGCAAGCCAGCATTGCTCGTGCAACAACCTCACGATCTGATTTGAAGGGGTTTCTCACTTCATTCTTCACACCCCTTTCTGTGGCTGTCTGGGCGAATGCTTGGCGTGGTCGGAAACACCCCATGGAACACGATGTTGTATGTTCAACAGGATCGTGTACCTGTCTATCCCTCCCACATTGCCCAATCATCCCCTGGGTATGGGGCAGTCTGGACAATGCAGGTCCCGACAGGAGGGGTAGTCGCCAATCGGATGCCCTTCATATCAACGTTATCCATGCTGGACAGATGGCTGGCCTTGTCGGAGGACCAATTCCGAAGCTGGAGGTCATTCTCATACCCATGCTTCAATGCAACTTGACCGGGCCGATGGGATCTAGAGCAACACGTGGGAGGGGGTGTTGAGAGATGCGTTGTTCTGAGGAATGTCGGGGATTCTGGAGAAAGTGCGACAGGCCGGGCAGGAACGTATAAAAACAACGCCAATTCCGGCATTGAAATGTAGTCTGAGGAATCAAGCACAGGCCTTGGACATCATCTCACTGATTCAATATGAATCTCGCTGCCCTTCTCGGTCTACTGTCCCTCGCGGCCGCGGTCTCCGCTGCTCCCCCCAAGGCTCACAACTCCCGATCTCATTCTTCGGCTTCTATCAGCAACCTGAAGAGCAAAATTAAGAATGTTGTCATCCTGGAGATGGAGAACCGCTCTGTGGACAACGTTCTCGGTGGTCAGACTATCAAGGGACTGGAGAACCCCATCAACAACGGTCCCTTCTGCAACCCATACAACCTGACGGACGCCTCTTCTGGCGAGGTCTGCAGTTCCGCTAAGGACTTTGACTCAATTTTGGATGATCCTGATCACTCGGTGACCGGCAACAACATCGAATTCTACGGCACTTTCGCTCCGAGCAATGCCGACATCGCTCAGGGCAAGCTCACCCCTTCTCAACAGGGCTTCGTGCACGAGCAGCTGCGCCGCTATGGTGACGATGTCAACAAGACCGAACTTGCTAAGCAAGTTCTCAACTATTACACCGAGGATGAGGTGCCAGTCTTGACCTCTCTGGTCCAGAACTACCTCACCTTCAATCACTGGCACTCTGATCACCCCGGTGTAAGTGCTTATCAAACCCATTATCTATCCATATATAGCAGACTAACATAAACCAGCCCACCAACCCCAACCGCGCCTATGTCCTGTCCGGAACATCAGCCGGCCATGGCACCAACGACGATGCCTTCAACTCTGATGTCCACGGACTAACCCAGCGCTCAATCTTCCAGCAACTCTCAGAAACCAACCACACCTGGAAGAACTACTACACAAGCACCGACATGGTCGACGCCTTCTTCTTTGACTGGACTTTCACCAGCAACAACACTGACAAGGCCCAGCCACTGACGAACTTCTACGCCGATGCCGCGGCAGGCACCCTGCCCGAATTCTCCTTCGTCGACCCCTCCTGCTGCGGACAAGGCACAAGCTCCATGCACCCATCAGGCCTGATCTCCGACGGAGAGACCTTTATCAAGAACGTCTACGACGCACTCCGCGCCAGCCCCCAGTGGGAGGAGACCCTCTTCATCCTGACCTTCGATGAGACAGGTGGTTTCCATGACCACGTCCCGCCCCCTCTGGCTCCCAGGCCTGATGACCTGACTTACACCGAGACGGCGCCTAATGGCGAGTCGTACACTTTCACCTTTGATCGTCTCGGTGGTCGTATTCCCACTCTGCTTATCTCGCCGTGGATTGCCAAGGGTCAGGTTGAGCAGAAGGGTACTAACTCGGAGGGAGATGTTGTTTCTTACTCTGCTTCTTCTATCCTGCGTACTCTTGGTTATCTCTGGGATTTCGAGCCTTTCACTCCTCGTGTTGGTGGTGCTGCTTCATTCGAGCATCTCATTGAGAAAAAGAAGCGCGACGATACTCCTGCTCAGTTGCCGGAGCCCAAGGCCTTCAGGGCTAGGATTTAAAGTAAAACTGTAGTGGGATGGGCCAGTTGGTTTGATATCTACAATCTCGCCATGTTAATAGATTAAACAGTCTTCAATGGAAATATAGATCATGCTCGTGACATCCTTGTATGGAATATCCCAAATTAATATCTATTTGGAGATGAGTCTAATGTACTATAGCCTTAATCTATGATTTTGACAAGCTTGCGGCACTTTTAAGACCTTAATCCATTGGCATTAACATCTATAGCGATGTCTGATATGATGACGTCATTAATAACAAATTCGGGGTTGAAACTAAGCCCGAGCCGCCACTGCATGACAAACGTCGCGTTCATGGCCACGAAAGGGCCGAGATTTTAGAATCACTCTGGAATAATGTTCCAATGAATATTTAAAAAGGCCGCTTAGCACCAATACTTGCAAGTTTATCAGAGTATCGTCTTTTCTACCCTTGAACTTAACCTCATTAGTCGGCTTCTACATCTGCAACAATGGCCACCCTTCTCATCACCGGTGCAACAGGCAAACAAGGAGGCTCTGTGATTAACAATCTCATTGAAAAAGATGCCGGTTTTAAGATCCTCGCTGTGACGCGGGATGTCAACTCGGCTTCGGCAAAGAAGGTCGCGCAGAAATCATCCAATATCACACTCATCCAGGGAAACCTCGATGATCCGGCTGCAATTTTCGAAAATGTAAAGCGCAAAACTTCAGAGCCAGTTTGGGGTGTATTCAGTGTTCAAGTGAGTGACTCATTCCGAGAATCATGTACATGCCATGAACCCCACTAACCATCAAAATCAGAGCGCCAACCCGGGAAAGGACGACGAAAGACGTCAAGGAATCGCTCTAGTAGACGAGTCTATCAAGCAAGGCGTCAAATTCTTCGTTTACAGCTCTGTCGACCGCGGCGGCGAGAAATCCGACAGCAACCCTACCCCCGTCCCCCATTTCATCTACAAACACGAGATCGAGAAGCATCTGAAAGAGAAAGCAAAAGGCACAGGCATGGAATGGACAATTCTCCGACCTGTCGCTTTCTACGAGAACTTCACAAACAATTACTTCGGCAAGGTATTCACAACCGCGTGGAAAATGGTACTCAAGGGCAAACCGCTACAACTTATCGCGACGAGCGACATTGGATTCTTCGCTGCTTCCGCATTCATGAATCCGGAAGCTTCGAAGAACCATGCGCTTTCGCTTGCAGGGGATGAATTGACATTTGGTCAGATGTCGGAGATCTTTGAGCGGTCGACTGGCAAGAAGGTTCCTACTACCTTCAGGCTGCCGGTTTGGTTGATGATGGCTACTGTTAAGGAGCTTGGTGTTATGTTTAAATGGTTCCATGACGAGGGATACGGGGCTGATATCCCGGCTTTGAAGGATTTGAATCCTGGTTTGAAGGACTTTGGGACTTGGTTGAAGACGGAGAGTCAGTTTGAGACTCGTTGAACGGGTTTTCGTTATTTTTGATTAATTGGGCTAAGGGAAAGGAGCTGGGATCAGGAGTTGCAAGGTGCTTTTTTTCTTTTGTCAAAGTTACTAGTCTGTACAACATGTTAATATTAATCGGTCGAGTATAAAAGTATTCAGTACCATGTCCGTAGTTTATCTGACAACCAGCCGAGAAGGAATTAAAGACCAATTTCCGTCAAATACGGCCTGAAAACTGAGCCTTTTCAAGGTTGACTTGTGGTATAAAGGAAGGTTACGTAACAATTTCGAGAGATCATAGACTCCTACCTAGCCCTGGAGCCCTTCAACCTTCATATTTCCATTCAGCTTCAAGGGTGATTGGAATATGTCTGATAATCTCGAAAACAAAACACCCCGGGTCACCTCATCTCATGTCGAATTCAAGAAGCGCAGCTGTTTCCGTTGCAACACAAGAAAAGTGCGATGTGATAGAACATATCCCTGCGGTGCATGCGTGAAGGCCGAAGTGGAATGCGCCTTTCCAGGGCCCAAGAGAGCACGCCGAACATTAAACAGGCCACCAAGTAGCGAGTTACTTGCACGCTTAAAGGATCTCGAGGAAGAGGTCTCACAGCTTCGCTCAAAGCAACCCTCACCTCGCGACTCAGATGTCAATCCTACATCAGACTTGGATGCCCCTTCCAGCCTAGCAAAGAAGGCGGAGCTACTGGTTCTAAAAGAGGGCAAGAGTCGGTACGTTAGTGGTGAAGCTTCTGTGACTCTTGGAGAAAAGGTAGGAGATGAATATCGCAGGGATAGCATGGTAACGAACGATCACTAATTGCTCGACAGATATCTGAACTTCGTGACATTATCGAGAGTGACTCAAATGAGGAAGATTCCTCACCTCATGAGAACTCGAATTTCACCGTTCTCCCCCAGGGCGGGCTTTTCGGAGGTGATAAATCCTACTACAGCTGGTCTCTTGAGTCTTTTCGAAGTCATTATTCCCAAGCGGCGAGAATTGAGACATTATGGAAATTATATCAACCGAATGTGGCACCGTTGATTACCATCATTCACAGAGATACCATAGCAAAGATGTCCAAAACGCCAGTGCGGGCGTCGATATGACTCCTTCAGACGAGGCATTGCTGTTTTCCGTTTACTATGCTGCTGTGGCCAGCATGAGAGCTCATCTTTGTCATTCCATACTCGGTGTCAACCACGATACAGCCATCCAGGACTGCAAAAGAGCAGTGAGCCAGGGGCTTCGCCGCGCCAACTTCATCAAGTGCCAGAATATATCCGTTCTTCAAGGTGCTGTTCTGTTCTTGCTTTGTTATCGAGTGGGCGGTGACACTCGTCTTGTATGGGCCGAGTCAGCGGTTGTCATACGTGTTGCGCAGGCGCAAGGGATTCACCGCGATGGGCAGAACATTGCATTGCCACCCTTTGAAACCGAGATTCGTCGTCGATTATGGTGGCATATCTGCCTATTGGATATGTTATCTTCGGGAGATCAAGGTGTCGATACTCAGATCAGACCTGGGATGTTTGACACACAGTTTCCGACTAATGTGGACGACGACGACCTTATTTTGCACATGCCAAATCTGCCAAAGCCCAAGTCCGGCTTCACTGATAACTCAATCTGCATTATGAACTCCCAGATCATGACCAATTTGTATTGGCCATGTCATTCGATGAATCAAAATCCCAAGATGTCTTCACATGCCCGAGAGACCCTCGTCACAAATATGGGAAAGGACCTCCATAGAGAATATCTGGATCATTTCAACCTTGATATTCCAATCCATTGGGTGTCGGCAACCATAGTCCGACTCCAGCTCTCGAAATCATGGCTGGCAGCTCATTTCCAGTCATCCACAGATCCGTATGGGACAATTTCCAGTCACGACGTTCGTGTTTTCGAGATGGCAGTCGAAATAGTACAATTTGCCTATCTCCTGCAGACAAACGAAGCCACATCACAATGGAGCTGGCTATGTCAAAGCTACGAGGAATGGCATATCGTCGCTTTTATCCTTTCTGAACTGTGTCTCCGTCCTCTCAATCCCGACACCGACCCCGCGTGTGACATCGTCAGTAAAATGTATGAGTTATGGCAGCGGGGTATCCCGCACACTGATGCCATTCTTCACAAGCCTATGGACCGGTTCATGTAGCGCACAGCTGCGTCACGAGGGGCTAAGAGGCTGCAACATAATCGAGAGCCACCTGTCCAGGAAAACCTGCCTTATTCGATTTCTCTGGGATTCGGGGAGGATACAGATCTCGAGTCGGATGCAGTTCCGGAACAGTCCGGTCCGGATTGGCTTTCTGGATCCTTCTTTTAAGTTGTTATCCTGAGGCCTAGTACATGTGTGATTACTAGACTTTTGAAATATTTCTCTGGTGCTTCTCGGCATGCGCAATTAGCCGAACTTCATGTTGATGTTCCGGGTAAAAAGTACCGATGTGATCTTCCTCGAAATCCGTCATATAGATCGGAACCCGATTGTGTTCGAGGTAATCATTCGTGGATAAACATATGTAATGAAACTGGTAAAGGCTTCTGCAGTACCTTGTATTGGTCTTTACTAATGTCTGTTGAGTCCACAACTGGGTACGGTACACACGAATATTCAAAACAAAAACATCAGTTATAACCCTTCTAGTAATGAATCCACAGCCTATCACCAACTAGAAACAGAAGGTCTCTGCGAGCGAGGACTTGTTCCAGACTTTTATGGAACCATCACCGGTACTCCAGCCCTCCTTCGGATTTAAGAACTAGCCGAGAGGGTATCCCGTTTAGGAAATGTCCGGAGTAGAGTTGAGGACAGGTAGCAAGAGTATTATTACCAGAAAGAAAACGTACCGAAGAACAAGAAAGAGGCGAAGAAAAGGGCGTAAAAAAGAAGTTAGAAGCTAGGAATTAAATTTGGACCTGATAAAAGTTTGAAAGAATGCTTGAAAGCAAAGGTTTGACCCAATAGTGATCTCCCCCATAACCCGTCAATCCTGAAATGGCCCAGGCTTATCTACTAATGCCAATGAATTTTTTTCCGAAGCGAGCTATCGTTGCCTTACAGTGCTTTTTGGCAGTCTCTTAATTGTACCTTTTTGCCAAGAATAAATATGCCATAGCCACCATTTTGTGCATTCAGCCTTTCGCCCCGGAACTTTCACCTTGGTGGCGAAGTCCAAGTGCCGAGAACGCTAGAATGCCCCGCGACCAGTATTGACGTCATGCGGGCAGAGACAAAGACCGGGGCGCTCGCGGATGTCGCCCTCATATCCCCGTCAATGATGTGATAGATGTAATTCCCAGGGGGCGATATCGAGGGTAAGTGCAAGGTATATGTGGTCCAGGGTGGAATATTTGTCTTTGTCCCCTATGTTCCCTATGATGTCAAGACTTGGACGTCTCGCGGGACAAGTCTAGCCCCAAAATCAATAATTCGGCTACCTAGCCCTACACTGGAGACCGAGATTAATCTATGCATGGATCGCAGTTAATTTATTATTGTGCCCTATCATTACTGAAACTAGAATGAAACTTGGCCTCCTGACCATGTAGCAGTTAGCGCCGATCTCAACTAGTCTCTGCAGGAGTGAGAGGAATGACAGGCGTAGAACAAAGATATTCTGTACGGTGTATAGCACCCGAGTATAGATGAAGTTCAAGCATAGCCACTGGTTCCATGGATGAGAACGGGAGGAACCAAACATCCCTGTAAACAAACATTCAACCTCGTCTCTCCTCTCTTTCTCTCTCTTTTCATCTCTCCCCTCTCATCTCTGCCTCGTCTCATCTCTCTAAGCCTCAACACTTCGTGTCTCGTCACACCCGGGCAAACTGCTCAGAGCCTCACGTGGTATCTGCCTTATCTTTGCCTTCTCTCCTCGGCTTCCTTTTCCATCTCTTCATCTCTCCATCTTCTCTATTTATCTATCACTTCTGATTTGCCATCTCAGTCTTGCACGCTGATCCTGTGAGGCTGAGTCGCAAGGCTCCGCTTTCTCTGCCCTATGACTTGACGCCCAACTGAAGTTTCCGTGTCTCTCATTTGGTGTGACTGTTACCAATCAGGCTTCCAGAAAGATCGTCACTAGTCGATCACAGCCTCTCTGCAACACCCCACTTCCCTGCCCTGCCGCCCCCCTCAATTTCCTGCATTGTGCATCTCACTTTTTCTGGGCTTTGGCTTTCTTACAACTTCCCTCGGTTCTTCCCTTCTCTCTCCGTCACATTTCTCTCCTTTTGCCATTGCGTCTTATGTCGTACACCTACAGCCGTGAACGAGACTGGGACGAGTCCCGCCCTGTTTCCATCAAACGTTACGTCATTCCAGCCGAGGACGACCGTCGAGACTTCATGTCGCGACACGACGACTATGCCGGCGAGCGCGAGCTTGTCATTCGTCGCAAGGCCGATCGCAGTGAACCCATGACTATTTCGCGGTACGAGCGAGAAGTGGACTACGAACCACCCGCTCGCCGCTTTGATCGAGATTTCTATGAACGTGAGTCCCTACACCCAAGCGATGCCCTTCTACATTCCCACCATGCCCTTCGACCCCCCTTGGACACCCAGGAGCGAGTGAAGCCCCGTACTTTTCATGCCATTCGAGAACATGTACTCATTCGTCAAGCCCGCGATCCATACTCTCCCCGCGAATCCGACTACAATGTTGTGCGCCGCTCGGAAGCCGACGAGGATCCGTACTACTACCACAGACATCGTCGAGTCCGCGAGTACGATGACCGTCGTTCTCGTCGCGAGCTGAGCCCAGGAGATTCCGTTTCCCAGGCAAGCCACCGCCGTGGTGATCGCGACCAAGACTACAGCAGCGATGACAGCATGGTCTATATTCGCAAAGAGACCCGCGACTACGACGACCACCCCCACCACCGCCGTCACCTCGCTGAAGGTGCATTGGTTGGTGCCGGAGCAGCAGAATTGATCCGCAGCCACCGCAAGCGAGACGGTGAAGAAGTCAGCGACGGCGCCGGCCGTCTTGGTAAGACTCTTGGTGCTGGTGCTCTCGGTGCAGTGGCTGTCAGCGCTGCATCACATGCACGCGACTACTACCGCCGCAGTAAGAGTCGTCACCGCTCGCACTCCTTTGACGATGACCGTTCGTCCCACCATCACAGCCGCCACAGCCGTGGTCGTCATCACAGCCGGAGCCGCAGCCGCTCTCACTCACACTCTCGTGCCAAAACCCTTCTTGAGTTGGGTGTTGGTGCCGCTGCTGTGGCTGCCGGTGTAGCTGCATTACGCAGCAAGTCAAACAATGGCCGCAAGAGCCGATCCCGCACTCGCTCCCGTTCTCGTGCTGCCAGCAGAGGTCGTTCCGTTAAAGATGGCAAAGATGCCTCCGAGCGTAGCATGTCAGAGCGCCGGAAACACATGGCTGGCGCGGGTTTGGCTGGTGCAGCTGTCGCAGGGCTTGTCGAGAAAGTCCGAAGCCACTCCCGCTCTCGCAAGGGCGAGCGTTCCCGTTCCCGCAGCAAGTTCAGACAAGCCCTCCCAATCGCGGCTGCCGGTCTAGCCACCGCTGCAGCCACCGGTCTCTACGAAAAGAAGAAAAGCGAAAAGGATGAGAAAGATGGTGTGAGCCGTGGCCGCCATCGCTCAAGATCCCGCAGCCGTGCCCCCTCCGAGTCTTTCCCAGACCCTGCTCGGGACTCAGCCGGCCTGATCGAGTATGGGAATCACCCAGTCACAGGCAGCATCCCCGCTGAGCACTACTATGGTGCACCTGCCAGCCCTGGCGCGCCGTACTACTCCGACGGACACGAGGCGTATCCTCCACGTCGCCATAGCCGAAGCCGCAGTCGCAGCCGTGGTGGCCGCTACAGCAGCTCCGACGGCTCTGATAGGGAGCACCGCCGCCACCGCAGCAAGAAGCACCGCAGCCGCTCGCGCGATATTGCATCGGCCGCCCTCGGTGCCACAGGACTTGGCTATGCAGCCCACAAGTACTCACAGCGCAAGGACCGCGAGAAGTCCAAGGAGCGTGAACACTCCCGTAAGTCTCTAATCCCCCATGGTGCCACTGAGAAATATTCACCCTGACTAGTGGTATACTAGGGTACGACCACGATCCCAATCGCGATCCTTACGAGGAATCCTATGACCCCGAGCCCTACCCGCCTTCGCCCCACGCCGGAGCCCAGGCACCGCCCATGGGCGTCGACCCCCACTACTACCCGAACAGCAACTACTTCCCCCCGCCACCGGGCGACTCAACTCACAACTTGAACACCACCCCTGCACCCTATCACCCAGCTGACTACCCTCCCCCGCCTGGTGCTGCACCCCAGCCCCAGCCTTACAGCTATGGCGCCGTACCACCAGGCCCGGGAATGGGGCCAGAAACTTACGCTCCTCGACCACGTAGGGCAGATGAGAATGTGAGCCGCCCTCCCTCCTCTAATAAGAACACCGTGCACGATGGTGGGTTCTGTGAACTCAAGGGTCCAAGTCCAAGTCCAGGACTGGGCTGATCCCACCGACACAATGGAAACCATGCTAACCTTTTATTTTTTAGGTCTAAAGAGCCATAATCCGTATCCATCTTCTCCAGCTCGGTCTAGGTCGAATAGTCAGCCGGCGCAGGCTTCGAGCTCGAAGTCTGTTGCGTTTGACTTGACGCCTGACAAGGGTTACGAGACGGATGATAGTGATGATACCGTTGGCCCTGATTCGCAAAGAGGTGGCAGATCCCATCGCCACCATCATCGACGTCGCTCTTCATCTGTTCCTCATTCGCCCGTGTCTCATCATCGCCCTAGCTCTGGTTCCCGTTTTTCAGATAATCACCCCGATTCTCATTCTTCTCGCCATCATGATCACCGGCACTCTATCCACGGCAAAGATAAGGCCTCTGAACCGGACTCCGACTCAACTGAGGATTTACCTGACCGCTTTGATTCCCACGGTCGTCTCATCCAAGAGCGTGATCCTGCTCTTGAGAAGTTCGAGGATCTGGTAAATCGCTTCAGCAAGGTTCTTTTCTGATCCTGGGTTTGACTCAAACTTCGCTGGCTCGAGAATCGATGACTTCATGCTGGTATTCTTTCTTATCCCCAGTTCCCTGAGTCTCCTTGGTTGCTGTTCCCCTTCCCCTCTTCCCCCTCCTGCCCTTCCCCTTTCACTAGCTTCAGGCGGGTCTTGTGCTTTGATTCCCTTTTATGCCTCTACGTCCCTTGTACTCCTTGATTTCCATTTCCTTGGTACATTATTATCTATTTACAGTTCTCCTTTTCTTTTGATGTGCTCATTCATCTTCGTTATGGATGGTACTTATGCCCATTATTATGACTTATGACTTCTACGTTCTCAGATGCTCAGATAGTTCAATGATTTTTGTTATCATTTTTACTCCCCAATGTTATATGAACACCTTTAAATGGTACATCTTCCGTATGTTATTTGCGGTCAAGGTGGAGATCGGGACTACTATGTCTTCGTCCTCGCAAGCCCTTGAGTTGCTTTCTAAATGCGCAGCTAGATAGTGATGGTTGACTTAACGTCTACCTGGAAGGGAAGGAAAAGCTCTGTTCCTCGACGTGTGAATTTCTACTGTAATGGGCACCATTCTCTCATTTGAAGGTCATATCATTCATTCATAAAAGTCTAGTAGGCACTGAGCAAAAGAATAAAGACACAGGGGGAGTATTTTGTACAACACGAACAGCCAGTTCAACGCTCTCGTATTTCAATAATCGAGGCTAAGAATAACTACCCGGATCAATGAGGCCACGACATACAGAGGCAGAAAAAGGCGAGTCCGAGATCAGCGAAGAGCCAAGGAAAACAAAATACACAGTATAGATACAAGGTGTGCTTCTTCAAGACACGACACGACAACAGCACTCAAAAAGTATTCCGATGATAATAGTAAAAAGTAGGCGGCTCGCCATACAAGGAATGGAACAGATCCCAGATCCGGGTGTAATCATCAAAAAGACAAGGGAGAAGAAAAAAGACGACGGAGGAAACAGGGTAGGTTGGAAAGGGTTGAACCAGACCTATCTAATACACGCAACAATATCGAGGCTGAAACAAGAAATCCAAGTCGGTGTTAAGACAGAGGGCTTGCAAATGGGTATACAGCGGAAAGGGAGAGAAATCTCAAGCCATGAAAGGGGCGGTCCAATCTGTTGTCCTAGTTTCCCCCGGGGTACCAGGGTAAAGTAGGTAGTTGGGACTCTTTGCTTTTCGTCTCGTTACATGACAAATAATAAAAAAATAATAAAAAAAAAGATAAGAAAAGGAACAGGGCTGTCGTAAGTCAATGATATCAATCTATCGCTAAATGGGTTATTGTTATGCCGTAAAAGGTCGTCTCGCCCCGGGCCCGGGTGCGGAGGAAGGATTTTCAAGGGGTAGAAGGCGGACAGGTGGCGTGGTTCTTTTCGCCAGCGTAATGCGGGCTGTGTCGTTGCTGGGTGGTTGTTCAGGGTCCGTATCCTCATTATCTGGGACATACTTGACGCTGGAGCTGATAGACGCTGACAGGTAATGGGAGCTCAGCGGGAGCTGATATTTGACGACGCCACGAACGATCAGTTCAAAGGGGTGTTGTAGGACGCGCTCCCAGCGCTCCGTGCCTCCTTCCTCGGTTTTGTTCCCGGGCCGAGCTAAGCGAATCTGTCCTTTCGAGCTGGAGGTGAGATGGTTCCATGGCGAGGACTCGAAAGATAGTGGCGAGTCGAAGTGGAACACACGACCAAGGAGCATAGTCTGGGAGTCGCCTTCTGGGTCTTTTGGCGGATCGGTTCCTTTGTCAACACCATCGTTGGTATGCGGTGATGAGTGGCCTGGCATGGCTTCCTTAATGCACTCCACACTTCCAAGGCAGCGCACGGTCTGCGACAGCTGCCAGCGACGCCGACTTTGCTCCACACGTGGGAAGTTATCCAAGTCATCATGCTCACGCCAGAGCTTGTCAGTACCGACAAAGCGGCTCTTGGCGAAGATGTTGATATCTGTATCCTCGATAGTGACAGGGAACAGATTTGGATTGACTGATTCCACGTTCAGATCCAACATGATCTCTTGCTCTGATGCAAGGACGTTTTGAATAGCAACGACTTGGACATCCAATAGAGGCTGGGTTGCCGCTACAATAAACGATGTGGCACCACCAGCCACAATAACCAATAAAAGAAGTATCATGGCGCATGAGCCGTATCGGGAGAAATATCCGCGTTGGCGCTGCGCCATATACTCCATCTGCCGCAGGCTTGCGCTGTTTGGTCTTCGGCCATGACGGCTGCGAACTGCACGTGGCGTGCCAACCAAGGGGGTGCGCTCATCGTCTGCGCCTTCTGCGTCAAAGTCATAGCCGTAAAGCTCACCGGCCTTCTTCGTACCATTAATGGTTTTATAGTTGGGAGACGAGCGAGTATTGCTGTGGCGCGAGTGCCGATATCCATTCCCAATGAAATGTCTTGGGGATTTAGGTTGAGCCTGTGATTGGGGGAAAGGTGTGTTGTCATTATCGAAGAGACCTGGGTGGACGCCGTTGCGTCCGTGGCGGCCGATATTGTGATGCCGTGGAGTGATGGTTCCGCTTCCACTGACTCTGGAACCATTGCGACTCCCCTCAATCTCGGGAGCATCACCGTCAATACTGCTATTGTAGGTGTTGTTGGTGAACTTCATGCTCCGCTTGCTAGTCACGCTATGAGCACCGTCCCGCAATCCTCGTGCACGGCCAGCCAGCTGATCCACTTGGCTTGCCATGGATGTTGCACTCGGCGTCCGGGAGTGATAACGAGAGGGTCGGGAAGGATAGGGGTCAGGTGGGTTAGATTCGTAAACGAAGGTTTCGTCGGAATCCGAGACATCAGCCTCGTCAACTGCATTAGCCACTTTGGCTTCAAATATATCCGCTTTGCTGGTTGCAGGCCCCGTTTGGATGGTATTGGGGCGGCGGTTTTTCTTCTTCTCTTTGCGCGGGCGAATTGTTTCGGTAGAAGGCTTCATGCGAAGGGTGCCCTGGTCAGCACGAGAAGCGTTGCCTCGCTCTCCAGCGCCCACACCCAGAGAGACCTGCGGAATGGAGCTGACTGTCTCCGTTTCCACGGTCATATTGCGGACGGAGCCATCAGCAGGCTTTCCGCGAGCACCGGCACTAAGGGATGTTGTTGATTGCTTTGGCATAAGAGTTCCGGGGGGTTTCGCCGCCCCGGATGCTTGAGAACGAGGCTCTTCCTTTGTTCCAGAGCTCCGGTTCTCTCCACTGTCACTGCCACTCCCTGTATTTTGCTGTGAGGGACGCGGAGTTGGGTTCTCGTCGATCCGGTGCAACCGTGATTCCTCCGGGGTGACCGGCTTAGCGGCGCTTTCACTGGATGGGGTCGAAGGATTGCTAGCCATCTCTTCGACTGTTTCCAAGGAGGACCCTTGTCCACTGCCCCCCCTAGTGACAGCCCGAGGCGTGCTTCGATCGACCTTTGTGACCTGATCCTCAGTCGGCGATGATCTCTTATGTGAAGTATTCGCAAGAGTTGGATCCAAATCTGCGCGACGGCTCCCGGCCCACGATGGCATGTTGGACTTTTCTGGACTGGCAACATTGGCCAGCGACTCGGGAGGGGCGGAGAGGACAAGAGGTTTCACCGGAGAAGACGATGATCGCTGGTTATTGAAAGTTGTAGAATATCCGAGCGGGACAGATGTTGGACCGTTCGAGGTTCGAGTTGGGCTTGATCGGTCTTGACTAGCCTTTCGGGATTGAGAGGACACTCGGGTCGGGGAGTGATTAACGGGACGTGAGGAAAATCGGACCGGAGAGGAATCGCGGGAGGAGACAGCGGAGTTCGTAGCAGACGCAGGCGCGGAAGGGTTCGTAATACTTGGAGAAAGCCTGGGCACCTGGGACATGGGCTGGGACTGGGATTTAACAGACGAGCGCTCAGTTGCCGCATCTTCGCTGGTCGACCGATGCACAGCATCCGATGCCTCCTCTGCATTCTTGGCACCTCTGGATGATCCGGAGGCACCATTAAGGTGAGGCGGCCTCTCGGATTCCGCAGCCATGGTCTTTGTCGAGTCAGAATGGGCTGACACAACGTAGACAAAGTCAGGAGACCCGAGAGGAAGCCGGGTAGTTGGGCAGAAACAGGTCTCAAAGGGGATCAGAAAAAGCAAGGCACGGCGCCAGGCAGGGAACGGTCGACGGTGAAGAGATGAGTTGTAGACAAGAGCGAATGAGATATCACGAGTTGTCGAATGAGATGTTGCGCAGAATACGGGTCGTTACACATGCGAGGGTGTAGCAGAACAAATAGCCGAACACCACATGCTGTTGGAAATGGGGTTGCTGTACAGAAGAACCGGGAAAACGAAGGGCTGCAGCAGTTGCAGGGGGGTTGGGGAAACTGGAGATAGATGGAGTTTGTTTAGAATACTAAGTGGGCCGTCAGAGTATTGCAAAGAGAGACACAAATGCCGTTTGGCTTTGTTTCGGGCAAGAACAAGAGCGTCTAGAACGATTGAATCGAAGACGGCTTATGGTTGGCGGATTTGCGCAGACGGGGGTCCGCCGATCCGGCTCAACGTTTTGGCTTGACTGGTTTTTTGTGAAAGAGGGTGATTTGGCTGCCGAATGCGCCAGAGATGTCGGTGACCAAAACCTCGGTGAAAGTGGCTGAGAGGGTCAGGTCCGCGCTCGGCAGAGGCCAATGACAATAGCCCACGTCAAGAAGGGGGTCCTCGCACTGCAGCAAAGAGCACGCGGATGGTCTAGAACGCAATGTGCGAATCTTAGAATGTGAGGATGGGAGTTTTTGAGATGAAAAACGTTAGAAGACGGAGGAAGAGAAACAAGAGTCCGGGGTTGACGATGAGGTAACGACGGGAGCCTCCGTACATAAGGTAATAAAAACGTGGGAAATAATAAATTACGGTAAGGGGAATACCAGCCACAATGACCTCATCGCCTCAAAAGTTACTGTACCTTCAGGATACGTAACTTAGGTACAACAAGGTGATACAGCTGAAGGTTCTATAATTCCTTGAATCCCTTGAGATTCTGTGGGTTTATTTTCAAGTTACTGTATTCCAGATAAAGGTGCAGGCGCCACTGCAAGGGAGGAAACATTGGATATAGAACCAGCAATGAGTTATAGCTTGTAACGCGTCATTAATAATGTACAGTTCTATCCTACCTGCAAACCAGCTATGTACAACACCATATTAGAAAAAGGAGCCCAAGATACATACACCGTTTATCGTTAATATCGTTTGGGCTCTGAACCAAAGACAGAGGCCGCAAGTGGGATCGAAAAACATAATAGAGAAACAAATTCCTGGGTATCGATCCGTCGACGCGTAAAAATTATAACACGCAAGAACACAAGAAGCTTTTGTCCATTTACACAATTTTGTAGACTCGTTTAGCAATCCAAACAGACGCAAAAGCAAACACAAATAGTCCGCCAGTAACTATACTGTGTCAGTGATAGAACCAGCAAAAAAAACGGGCCATGGGAAGACTTACTGCACCAAAACCAGTTCAAGTTGTCGATTTCCTGACCAGGTACCTTGACGTTCATACCCCACATGCCGCAAATGATGTTCATCGGTAGGACGATCGTACCAAGAACAGTCAGCTTACCCAAGACATCGGCAGTATGTTCCTGGCGCTCGTTCATCAGAATGTTGATCTGCGCGAGATAATTGGAATGGGCGCGAGAGAGTATCCTGGGAAATAGTCAGCCAGCTGCAACATCTTGCAGAATCAGGGAACGGAATGCTTACGTTTCGTAATGCGTCAAATTGCCGGTCATCGTCATAATGTGATCTTGAATATCACCCAGGTAGAGACCAATCTCGGACTTGGGGGCTACCTCCCACTGCTCATTGCAACGTTTGGCAAAGCCCTTGACAACATCTGCCTTGTTGCTGAGTAGCCGGTATAATCCCATGACCTTCTTGCGGCATTCTCCTACTCGCCGGAGCATTTCTCCTGGTGCAAATGAAGGAAGCACGCTGTCATTGGACGACGCTTCCTTGTTAGATGAGTGCATTTGCATGATCATCTCGTCGATCTCATCTACCTCGTCTTCAATGGCTTGAATCAGTGGGCCGAAAACGTCGGTAATGTCGTCAATCAGGGCGTATGAGATCCAGTCGGAGCTCAAGATCAGGTAATCCATCAATTGACGAACGCGCCGCCGCACGTTGGCTGGATGAGGCGTTTGCGAGAAATGGAAGGATATCACGCCTTCACGGAAAACCACAACATACATGTTGACTGGCTCAAGATAGTCCTCACTATTGATGTCTTGCTCGAAAGTCCGGTAGTTGACGAAATAGTAGCTTCGGAACAGTTCCACTTTCTCTCGGGCTTCTTGCATCATGATATCCTCTGCCGTCAGCGCGTGGATTCCAAATGCCTTGGCGATTGTACGCATCTCTGCATCTGTCGGAGAGAGAACATCTAACCAAAAGGTAGGCCTGGGGCCGTAGCGTTTAGGTTTGGGTTTCGGAGCAAGGTTTGACTGCGCGGGCGAGAGATCTCGGTGAGGGTCGGGATGTCCTTCGCTTATGACAGACAACCGTGACGGAACTCTCACTGGAGGAGCGTTGCCGGCGAGAAGATCACTGGTTTTCTTTTCACTGGGTATCTGACCGGTACCGCCTGTCATATTTGGATTGACGTTTGTTTGATGGCCTTGACCTTCCGGTACAGGCACCCCTATCCGCGGACCGGTATTAACGGGATAAGCTGAATGGGTGGCAGCTGCAGTCTCCATAAAAGACCCTCCGTCCGAGTCTTCGTCATCAGATGAATCTTCTAATTCTGGGGGATTTGGAATAAACAATTCGCGGAAGCTGCCTCCTGGTTGTACCAGCTCGGAGATCGTTTGAGCGTGAATAGTACTTGGGAACTCCTCGTTGAAGTATGTAAACCGGTAAGGTGCCTCATCCTCTTCGCGCCGCCAAAATTTATACTGAGGACGCAATCTGCCCTCGATGAGCATCGGTTCATTAATCTTCTTGACTCGAAGGTCCCCGTTGCGTTCCTCTTTCTCCTCGCGACTCCATTCTTCCAGCACGGAGAGATCGGGCCACCGCCGATGTCTGCGGCGTCGACGCTCACCAGCCTCATCCCGTTGTCTGGTACCCTCGTCCCCGAGTTCCGATATCGTTTCGGTAGGGAAGCACACATCCTCCTCTGCTGGTAATGCCACAGTTCGGCGGCGCCGCAGTTCCTGATGCGGCGAAAGTAATGGCGAACCAGGAGAAGAGGGTGCCGAATGAGGATGTGCCCCGTTACCATCCATATCAATCAATGTTTCGTTCATGTTTAGAGAGTCCCTGTGCATTTCCAAGGACCGGGCCAAGGAAAAGTCCCAATCAGCCCCAGTTACCACAGCATCATCATAATTCATCTCTGGTCCTAACTTCGGCGACCCGGGGATTGACGGTGGATTATTCACATCGTAGTCACGTTCGATAGCGGGAGAATCAAGTGGGCTGCGGTTATCTCGTGGAGAGTATCCTGATGATACGGTCTGAACGGATGGTTGGCGAGCACGAGATGAAAACAGGTTGGGGCGGGAGTCTGCGCCATAGCGAGCGGTATTGGAGGTGTGCCCCGAGGTAGCCCGCATCAATGGAGTTCGGTCGTTTGCTTCTTCGTCGCTATCACCATCGCGATGTTGCTGGTTCCGACCTGCTTTCGGAGTGCTGCGGGATTGTCCGTCATTCGACCGGAAGACATTGGATAGGATAGAGGTCGGACGCAGTGATGAAGCAAGGCGGCTGTCACGACGAGGTCGCATCATCGGCTGGTCCCTATTTGACACCTTCGATTAGCATCAACCCCAGGAGCTAGATATCGCTCACATCGAAAGAACATACCGATGATCCAACAATGCATCACTCTCCAAGCTCGTAGTACTTAAATTCCTCCCCAATTTGAAGAACGAAGTGTCCCTCGAGGTTGGCCGATCGGCCTCCATTGAATCTCGGGCACCTCCACCAGCACCTGAATGCTCTTCGGCGCTATCATGGGCCTCCTCGCGCGAGGGTGTAAAAAAAGATTGGTGCCGATTGCGACGTTTGCGATTGCGGTTCTTCCTGCGTTTGGAGGACTTGGAGGGTTTTCCGGCACCACTATCGGCGGGGTGTTCTGAGCGGGTCTCTCCAGCTGGCGTAGCCTCGGAGACGGGAATCGGACCTGTCCCTGGGGCCCGACCGCCCATTGGACTGTAACTAGCCTTGTTATCAGAGGGTGGGTAATCGCTGCTGCGTTGGGGACGGTTTTTGGGGCTAGAATGCGAGGTAGGAGGCGGTCGAGAAGCCGCGCTGCCTGGTGTCGGAGTCATTGGTGGATCCATGGCAGTGAACACGTCAAGTGGATGGCCGCTGCGTTCAAAACAAAAGCTCCGAGTGACCCAAGGAGTGTTCCGCGAAAGGAGATTCGATTCAAGAGCCTATCAGCAAATTAAGACCCAAATTAAGACCGGCTGGACAGGGTTCTCGAATTCCGGAAGGTCTCGCAGCATGCAGGGTTTGTCCCATGCGATCTAATTAGCGCTGTTGATCACGGGAGAAGCGACATTGGCATCTTTGACAGGCATCCAGCGCCTAGGCACCGTAGTGGAAAATGCGCGAGAGCTGCTGCAGCTTAGCGTGGGGATGACGCGGGTGGCAAAGCAAAGTGGAACTTCAGGCTAAGCGGGAATTTAAAGCAAGAAATGCGAACCCAGCGATCTTAGCGCGATGATCACGATACTTGAACAGATAAATATGAGTAGGCCCGATAAGTTACAAAGAAGGAGAGAAGTTCCAAGGCAACCCAATACGGATATGGGAGGCGGACAGAGCTCTCACAGGAGCTGGCCAGACTCATGGAGAGGTTCATTAGTCATCTGTGACTGGGACTCGATGAACGCATAAATCTCTTTTTTTGGTTACACAGTGTATTGTTCATTGGTCTCATTTTAGTTGTTGCATATATTCACCTCCAATACGATACATTTATCTGGAAGGGATTGCTTTTAACGTATACGTCCAGATATAGATCTGCCATTATCACGAGTAACCTAGACACTATCAATCTTCCCTGCCACTTCCTTCAACTGTCCCTGCAAGACAACTTCAGACTGTTCATGTATACCAAATTTCCGAAGGCTAATCTTCTCACGAAACATCTGATCAATCTCTTCAAATGACCTTCCATGACATTCCGGCACGCAAAAGTACACAAAAACAATCGAGGCAACAGAAATACTCCCATATATAAAACCAACCTTTGACTGTAGGTTGGCATAGTCAGAATCCATGAGATATGGCATACTAAATGCAACCACAAAGCTACACGAGTGGATGTTAGCTCATTAACGTGTAAAGTTATATGTAGTCCGCGGAACGCCCACTTACAACGTTAGCACATTTGCAACAGATGCAATGCGCTGTGAGTTATCTCGCAATCGGAGAGCTGGAATCTCAGTGGTCACGACGTATGTCAAAGCAGCCCAGCCTATGTTAAATCCAACCATGAACAAGGACAACATCGCGACAATGGCTGACTTTTCGGTACAGTTTGGAGTATGCACCCCAAGCGCTCCCATAGTCATGAGAGCTGCCGTTTGGACTACCGCACCGACCAAAAGTAAAGGCCTATCTATATTAGCATGATTCAACAACATGTTGTCTGATTGCAAGGTGGCTACCATACCTTCTGCCAACCCTATCGTTGAGGAACAAGCATACTATAATCACACAGAGTCCGATGAAACCATTGATCACGTTGAAGTTAAAACTGTTGATCGTTTGCAGAGACTTGACGTATAAAGTTCCATATTGTGAAGCGAATGCCTGCCCAGTCGCTTGCTGAAAAAAGTTGAGTCCTACAACGATTGCTGTTCGTTTTCGGTTGACGTTCGAAAATAGCTCTTTGAAATGGCCTTGTTCCGGTTCTTCTTCCAGCCCTTTCTGTAGTAATGAGAACTCTTCCTCGATCTCGTCTGATGTGAAAGTCCCTTGCCGTAATTTCTGCAAGTTTGTTCGAGCCTCTTCCGTGCGGCCTCTGATAAGAAGCCACCGAGGAGACTGAATACAGTTAGCTTCTTGCAGAGAATGTCATATGAGAAAAGCTTCCAACCTCTGGAATAAACCAAATGAGAGATATGATGATGCTAGGTATAATGAAGAAAAGTCCCAATGGAATCCTCCAGGCGCGGTCATCATATATCTTACTAGTGCCATTGCAAACCCAACCAATCACCATCCCTCCAAACTGGCAGTCTTTATCAGTATGCTATCAGACTGTCATTTGGGGAAGACTAACACTCACAGCAATGGTCAATTGATAAGTCCCCACCATGAACCCACGGACTTGAGTTGGAGCAATCTCGGACTGGAACACTGGCACCACGGAGAGCTCCATGCCAATATAGATATCTGACTGAGTCAGAAATGGGTTTATAGCATATAGTAAAGGGCTCACAATTGAGGATCCTTGAAGCCAGGATCTGTTCTTTGGTTTGAGAAGTTGCAACAATGATAGCAGTAGCCAGAGCATAGATGCTCATTATGAACATGCACCACCGGCGACCAAATTGAGCGCTTATCAAACTTCCAATAATAACACCTGATACCTAATTAGCTGTGAAAATACTGTGATCCTCTTGTATCATACCGCAGGCGAATGTCAGATAAGGCAAACCATTGAAATATGACTTCCAGTGGGTATCGAGAGTCCAGGTATTTGTTTCAGTGCTGTATACACCAAATTTCCTGGCGAAGGCATCCATAGCTTGTGTTTGGGCAAAGCCCTGGTTATCAAAAGCATAATTGAAGCTTGAAAGAGCAATCAGGCTGCATGACAATGCTAGTCTCTGGTTGAAGTATCTTCGGACATTATATTGACCCAACATATTTGTTATAGTCGGCTCACACTCACCGATTATACATCGTGGTGCTATGTGTCAATACTTTATATCTAAATGTGAAAGCTCTAAAAAAGTATTGGTCTAGTAGCCGTTAGCCGTGAAGGCACAGCCGGAGCTCGACAAGGTGTGCCAAAACACGCAATCCTCATAGACTAGACTAAGCAAGAAGAAGCTAGTAAAGCCACACTATCAAAAGCAAAGCCAAGAATCAACATACATCCGGACGTATGGCCGGAAGAGCGGGGGCTTAGTCACAAATCTGGGGAAGCGCCATCCATGCTCTAGAGCACGCAATGGCTATAACGGCCCGGTGTTCTCCCATCATCCTACTTGCCGCCTAATAGCCGTGATATGCTTCAACATTGGACATACCGTTCCACGCGTTGCATATTGGTTGTCAAATGGACCAAGCTTCTGGATATGTGCCCAGCGATCAGCTCACCCAGGCTGGGACAGAGCGCAAGCGAACTAGGCGCGCCTGTAAGCCGTGTCACGCTCTTAAGGCAAAATGTTCAGGTACCCTGCCATCTTGCCAGAGATGCAGTCAAAAGGGATACACATGTGAATATGCCACCTCCAAACCGGGGCATAGGACACGAAAACGAAGAACCGTTCCACCAAGATCGCATCGAAATCACTCGCCATTAGCTCTTGAGGAAGAGTCGACTGAAAGCAATACCGTCATCAGCATACCGCCAAGCACTACACCCCTCACGAGTACGGAACGTACTAGAAGTGATGGGAGAACGCCCAGTTGTGATCCGAATCTGGATATTAGCAAGGAACTCGGATGCGAGCGCTCCATAACCAAGCCTTACATCGATGCCTATTTCGAGCATATCGCCCCAAGACCCGAAAATGGATTCATTCACCGTGCCATCTTCCTACGGGCCTGGACGAGCGGGGCAGTTGACCCGACGCTACTAAAAGCAATCTGTAGTGCCTCAGCAGCATTTGTGTCTACAGAGACCGCCATTCTAGAACAGGCAGAGCAGTGGCGCACCGAGGCCGAAGCATACGTGTGGGCGAATATTGGACGACCATCCATAACTGTCCTTCAAATTCTTGTCCTAGTAATCTCCCAAAACTGCGCCTTGTTCCGATTTTTGACGTTACAGCCGCTTCTCGGTATTGCGTCCAAGATGGCTTACATGCTTCGTCTGAATCATGAAAATAACATGTTGTCTACCACAGCCCGTGAGATTCGACGGCGGATTATGTGGTCTATATTCTTTTTTGACAGGAAGCTTGCCGCTGGACAGTCTGATTTGTCTACCTGTCCTGTCAAATCGATGCATATACAGTTACCGGTTGATGAGAAGGGATTTGATCTAGCAATAGCCGGAAAGACGGGTAGGTTGATTCCTGGGCCTGGTGACGAAAATCACTCTGCACATATGGGCACCAGAGCATATTTCTGCAGACTTTCTCATATCCGCCATGAGATCCTCCAGTGAGTGTTACGAACCACACCTACTCAGAAATATACTTACACCTATTTCCGGCCCAGATACACTAGAAAAGTGATCGCAGAAGGTTCTAGCGCGCATGATTCCCGAAGTGAGCTCTTTCAACTAGAACACGATCTGCAAGATCTGCGCAGCTCTCTATCAGAATCATTGGCGCTCAACGAAAGCAACCTCTACCTCCGTGCCTACTCTTCTCACATGCAGCGGTATGTAATGCTACATACAATGTGGCACCAGTGCCACTGTGATTTATACAGGTTCATGCTCCCCGGAATCCGTGAATCCCTCCCCGATGAGGCTCTCAAGGCGACAATACCAGACTACGCGCTATACTGTCAGATCCGAGTCGTTGAGCATGCAAAGGCTCTCGTACAACTCTTTCAAATGGTGCAGAAAGTTGGTGATCAGACGCCGCTGGATCCTGGAATCAGTGTTTGCGTATTTCAGTGCACAAGGATTATCATTCGAGCCTATCAGATTGGTCTTCTCGGCAGCAATGAGGATGGGTATGAGATAATATGCCAACTACGATCTGCTGTAGATATACTGTCAGTCATCAGCACAGTGAGCCAGTTCGCAAATCAGATCGTAAGTGATGTGTTTATTACAAGCGGCTGGGTGTCGTATTATTTCGCTTGCTCCATTGGTCTATATAAGCTCATATCTTCCTGCAGTACAAGGAGATAAAAAGTCTCATCGACAAGGCTACTGCCCATGCAGCAGACTACAACCCTAATGTCAGAACAAGAGAAACACCAAACGAGGATCGGCTACGCGATCACAATATACTCGACATTCTTGCTCGCATTCGAAATCGTGATATAGAAAGAGGAGAGGAAGTTTTGCAATGCTACCCGGCAAGCCCAACGGCGACTACACCCGCAGAAATAGGAAGTGCAATGGAAGAGGAATCGTGCGACACTGAAAACGTGCACGCCGATGGAGTTTCAGGAGAAACAAGCCTAGAGGAAACTCTCTGGGATTTAGGATTCGAGCCCCAGCAGATGCTGGATCCGTTTACGGCTGTCTTTGATGATTTCGGGGGACCAAGAGTGAATTTCCTGTCCCCCGATCTCAACCAGTTATAACAAAGAATGCTTGAATGGAAAGACACGATACAAGATGAATATCTCAGGCTGCCTGGACCCTCCTATTATACTGCTCCTCCGGACTCTCAAGTTCCACAGGAGGGAATCGAGCATCCTTCTGAAAAGGAAGAAAGTCAGACGTCTGCACCATCCACTGGAACATCTCCCCCTGCATTTCTTGAACGATATGACCATACATCGGATCAGCAGCGAGGTTATGAAGCTCTGCGAGGTCAGTCTTTCTGTTGTACAACTCAGTCGGCTCGTACAGCCGATAGACATACGTCCAATCAACACTCCTCATAGCAACTGCCTTCCCAACAATTTCGGTATCTTCATGCTGCAGAAGTGACTTGATATCGTACGGATACGGCGCTTGTTCGAGGAGTGGTTCTTCCGACTTGAGGAACCCTCCTTCGGTATATGCATACTGTTTAGGATGCTTTGATTTGCGAAGGAGGGTCGGGAGCAGGGATACACCGTTATGTGGGAACGATTCTTGGACTTTGCACAATTCAAGGATTGTGGGAAGAAGATCCACCATCTCGCAGATATCATCGTTTGTTTCCCCTGCTGGCAACCCAGCACCGCCGATAATGAGAGGCTCACGAGCAAGGACTTCCGATACTCCGCTGGGCCATTTCTCGATCATGCCATGGTCTCCCAGGTACTCCCCATGATCCGTGTAGAACATGGTGACCGTGTTCGAAGACAATCCCGAGCTTGTCAACGCTTCCATGACCCGCCCAAACTGCTCATCAAGACGGGAAATCATGCCGTAGTACGTGGCAATAATCTCAGCCCAAATTTCATCCGTCGCCCGCTCTGTACCATATCGCTTCCGATTCTCTTCAAAATACCGTGGCTCGTAGCCTGTCTTGTTCTTCGGCTTGGATGGCACTGGCATCTTCGCCCGATCGTACATTGAGAAGAATGGTTCCTCAACTTGGAACGGACAATGCGGGAATATCAATGGCAGATAGAGCACCCACGGGCCCTGGGGAGGATGCTCCAACCATTTGATGGCAGACTGCACTGCAGCCTCATCATAGTCAACAGCCTTGTCCTGGCCTCGCAGACCTCTGTAGAACAACCGGTCCCAGATATTCTCGGAAACTATTGGTGCGCTCCCTGCTGCAAATTGTGGCATGTCCTCTGGCGGTACCAAAAAGCCGTACTCGGTCACACTCAGCTCTGTGACTGTGGGTGCGAATGTATCCCCCCTAGGCGCCAGACATGCAACGTGGTAGCCGCTTTCCTTGAGCGCACGGAACATATTAGGCTCCCAGGGTTTGATCAGATTATTTAGACTGCGATGGCCTGATACATGCGGGTACTGTCCGGTATATAGGGAGCAACGGCTCTGTGAACAGACTGTGGCTTGTAGGTAGCAATTGGTGAATTTGGTCCCGCGAGTGGCGAAAGCGTCGATGTTGGGTGTGTGAACATGGGGATTTCCGAAACAGCTCAGCGAGTCGTAGCGTAGCTGGTCTGGCATGAAGATTACCAGATTTGGGCGAGAGGTTTCGGTAGCACTGCTACTACTGTTGTCGTCAACTTGTTCCAACATGCTGAAGTAAATGAACGGGAAACGGAAGCTGTTAGTGAATTATTTGCGTCTTCCATTATAGGAATTCCAAGCATTTTGACTTGTCTATTGCATCTTATACCTACGTAAATGTTGAATTACCCGTTGCCGTGGTCTGCTAGCCGGCGACGGCCCGTAAGGTAACCGGACTGCCAAATAGTTCAACTTGGCGCAAAGGACAGGCAAACTAATAAGTTGAGCAAATTTGAGTGATAGCCGAGGTAGCCTAGTTGCTGTAGTCATTGCCCTTATCGACTGAGCCGGTCTCAAGTATAAAAATGCCAATCATCCAAGTAAAATCACGGAGTAACCCACAATCCAATAGAGGAGCAAATAGAGGAGCGAAACTAACAAGATACCAACTTCTCCCTCATTAGTAGAGCATGTCCCTGGATACAGCCACACGAACCGACCTCCCCACGATTCAAGAATAGAGAATCGGAGAAGGTCCTGACTTTCTTGAAGGCCATACAGAAAATAGAAAAAATGGAAATCCCAATTTGGAATACAAACGGATTTCGATAAACGCAGAAACTAAATTAGTTTCGGGCTTAGGCGGGAAGCGAGGTCGAATGGAACTGGGGAAGAGTTTTCCCACCAGGTTGTAGATGGAAGTGAAGCTATATGCCGTCCAGTACCAATCCATGCATGCTCCAAGATCTTATTGTGAAGCTTGGCAGATAGCTGAGGGTCAAAACAAGGCTGTATTGTGGTAAGATGAGTAGGGAGTAGAGAAGGAGGAAAGGGGAGCTTCTGAAAAGCGGGACTCTTTTGGCGACGCAGCTGCACTACTCGAATTTATGGCGAGAATGCTTAAGATAATTTATTTTCAACACGATATCATTTTAGTAGCAAGCTACACGTTTAAATCGCACCAGCCTCCTTCAACACTGCCTTCAACTGAGCAGTATTCAACTTCTGCAAATCGGAGTTACCACCAATATGCTTGTGGTTGATAAAGATGTTAGGAACAGTGCGCTGCTTGGTGAGCTCTTGCAACGCATCTTGGATCTCGCCACCGTCCTCTTTGTAGAGTGTTAGTATCGCTCTTGGCAAGAGGTAAGATAAACCGTCAGAACGAATGGCACCACTAATTACTTACCCATCTTATCCAGTTCGAGACATTCGAAGGTGGCATCCAAGCTCCGAAGTGTGCTCTTAGTCGCACTGCAGTAGGGGCAGTAGGACTTGGAGAAGACGACTGGGATATATTAGCTTTGTATGACTTCGGATTTGCCGGGCACATACCAACTCCATTGTCGTCGATAATCTTTTGAACCTTGGCAACCGACATGATGACTTGTAAATAGGATATGAGTAGGAGATGTGCTTTGCCTTTGGCTTTTGCGGCTTTTGATGGATACGGTCACGTGATCGAGTCACTGTATCGTTCTGACGTCATATCAAACTACAATAGACTCTCTTCATTGTTGTTCATTCTTTTCCACAGTACCTACCTATCAATTATGTACTTGGCAGAATAACTTTGTTTATTTTTCTACGGTATATTTGAGTATCTGCCCTAGCAAGCACTAGTTTAACCACAATTGTGCTTTTCAACGGAGTTCTCAAAGAGGCAATGTCTCAATGGGGCTCCTTGGTGGTATCCCGATGGTGTATATCGATGATTCTAAAACCACCTATCCTGATAGACAAATGGAACGTTAGAGACCAGATCAGTCCCGGGTATGCTCGTTAGCCTAAGGACATCTGTCTCAAAAAGGACAGAATAGTCAGGGGTGTGCTCGTTGGATTGGAAAGTACAATTAGCAACGAGGTAGGATAGAATCTGACAGAGTTAGGGGAAAGAGTGGAAGACTGTATGTTTGTGAAACTGTGGAAAATGCAGAGAATAAAGAATGGGGGAGAGGTAGGTACAAACCTGGTAGTCTCTATGAAGCAAGCAGAGCACAGGAAAAGATGTTCAGCTTCAAAAAGACGTAAGCCTTAGAGTGCCCAAGGGGCTTGTAGTATCAAACGTGCACTTGACGCCTTGCTATAGCGTATATTCTCACCTTAGATCAAGGAATCAGGATTGTCCTGAGCTAAATCTTAGTAGGTAATCTCTTAGGCGTAGACTAAAAATTGCGTAGTTAATAGATCTCCAATTGATCCCTAAGTAATACGTGAACAGCCAAATTATTAAGCACCAACTGATTTTAAAATCAAGCCAATCTAAGCGTCTGAAAGTGGCATTTAAGACTAAAAGACCAACAGACAATCTACTTAGGCGTTCGGAAGGTCAGATGAGGGGCGATGCTTTGTTTTGATTCACTTCTCTCTCAGCTTCTGGTTAAAAACATCTCTCACGGGCTCTCGCAATTGATTAACCCCCGTGAGTTTACCCCTCCGATTGCCCTCACCGCACTCTTCACTCCTGGTTCTAAGAACCAGCCACACGGGAGCCCTCAGCATGAGGACTCGACCCGGCCCGCGTGAAACTGAACCCAGCAAACTGCTGTTGCTGGGCCCGGGAAAGGGCAGGGCCCGAGGGAACCGAGTCGCGTGGACTCTGACCAGTCCACTGCTGGTCAATGGCCCCGGTGTCGTTGGTGCCGGTCTAGAGAAATGAGGCTTATTAGCATTTACTTAAAGATAGAATAGACTTTGGATAACGTACCACATTCGGCTTGAAGGCCGGCTCATATCGGCGCTGGGCAAGCTTGCGCCAGTCAATCCCCTTGAAGAAGGGGTGGGCCTTGATCTCGCCCGCACCCTTGGCACCAAGGCGCTGGGCGGGGCCCCGGTGCAGCAGTCCCTGGAGCAGGCTCTTTGCAGCAGGGAAGATCATGGCAGTCGAGAAGTACAGGTCGCCGAAGACGATCTTTCGGTACATCTCGCCCTTATCCTCGTCGTAGAAGGGCGGCAGGCCGGTGAGCATCTCGTACAGCAGCACGCCCAGGGTCCACCAGTCGACCGTCTTGTTGTAGGGCGAGTGGGTGATGATCTCTGGAGCCATGTACCCGGGGGTACCGCAGAAAGTGTCGGTCTTGTCCTCGTCCTTCATCGCAAGTTTGCAAAGACCGAAGTCGCAGAGGGCGATGTGGCCCTCGTAGTCGAGGAGGATGTTTTCGGGCTTGAGGTCGCGGTAGATGACACCGAAGTCGTGGAGGCACTCGAGGGCGCAGAGCAGTTCCGCAGTGTAGAAGCGGGCGCGGTTGATGTCGAAGGCCTTCGCGCGGTTAAGATGAGTGAACAATTCTCCGCCGTTAACAAAAGCGAGGACGAAATAGAGCTTGGTCTCGGATTGGAAGCTGAACTTCAATGGAACAATGAAAGCGTGGTTGACTTGAGCAAGAACGGATCGCTCGGTCATGGTGTGGAGAACCTCGTTGTGAGCAATGATCTTCGCCTTGCGAACGGACTTCATGGCATAGACGCGCTGGGTGTCGTTCTTGCGGACCTGCAGGACTTTGCCGAAGCTTCCCTGACCAATAACCTTGAGGAGGGTGAAGTCAGACACAGTGAGCTTCTCATCCATGGTTTCGGCATATTGGAAACCGATCTTGAGCTGGCCTGGTCCGTTGTCGAAGTCCAGCCACGAGATGAACTCGTCGCCGTTTTTCATGCCTTGTTTATTGATGGGAGGAATGACGTGAGCAGTGCCGACACAGATATCCTTGGACCTGCCGACCGTGGGGGAATAGGAAGAGCTGCGGATGAAAAGGTGAACGGTGAGCTGGGTCGATTTCCAGACATCGAACATGAATTGGTTGGCGCGACCGGCCCAAAGAGGCTCGGAGGAGGTACCAGAGACAGAGTTGATGAAGACTTGAGTCTTGTCATAATCAATCAGAGCGTAGGGCATAACACCCTTTGGCAGGTCGGCATCTCTAGGCAGGCTGATGCATTGAGCTTGATAGAGGCTGACGGCCAGAACGCCAAGTTTGGGCTTATTGACCTCGGGTGAATCATTGGCGACTGTAAAAAAAAACAAGACAAAAAATTAGTAAAAGAGGCTATTATGTAGAGGCAACCGAGGAGGAGGACAACATACCAGCGGAGTTAGGGTTTGGAAGGTTAGGGTCGGGTGGAGCGGAGAAAGTCGAGGCCGCGAGGATTGGCGCGGAGGGAGCGGAGGGAGCGGAGGGAGCGGACGGAGCGGACGGACCGGCAGAACTAGATCCCGAAGTATGAGCCTGGTCCTTGGCCTTCTTCTTGCGCGGCGACAACATCAACAACTTCTTGAACATGATTGAAGATTTGGGAGAGATCAAATTAAGATGGGGCAGAAATCCTTCGAGGCAAAGAATTCCGGAGAGTCGACGAGGAGGAGATCGAAAACGTCAACGCCGGGCTTTTGTAGCCAACGCCAGCAACCACCACCTCCCACGTCTTAAAAGAGCGAGTGCACACGGTGCCTTGGAATGACACTACCATTTAAAAGAATAGTTACTGCCTATATTGGAATTGTATTAACGACGTTAAGATATATTAAATTGTCTTGCCAGAAGTACAGGGTCATCACTCATAAGACATCAAGGCCATGATAAACACAGTTGACTGACACATTGTCTTAGGAACACATAAATGCAAGAAAAAAACAGGAAAGAAAATAGAACAATATGAAAACAAAACAGAAGCAATAACTCCGAATGCAAATGCCAGCGGTCTAGAGACCGTGACTTCAAGCCGAACTCCATGTGGTTATCCAGCAAAAAGAACAACAAACAAGGCGAGAGACAAAAAAAGATGTGAAGAAGATCGTGTGTTAGATGGGAGAAATCATGACCAGAGTGTGACGCCTCAGATCATATTACTCACGTCCATCATAGACGATGGTGCCATGCTGTGGACCGACTTGGTGGCATCTATCGACATACGATCACCACTTGTCATCCTTGATACTCTCTTGTCTTTGCCAGGACGGGCAATGAGAACCTGAGCGGGACAGACGACAACTTCGTCATCGCCCTCGCCCACATCATTGCCCTTTTTGACGACGAGAGGGAAGAGCACGATGCGAACAACAGACTGCTGGGCTTCCAGCTCGCCATTGTCGTTGGTGAGACCACTGCGCTCATTCATCAATGCAGCATTGAAATACACCTGCCGTGCAAGGTCGCCATTGGTATCGTACTCAGGCTGCAAGGGCGGGAGCATAATGAACTCCGCCAGCTGAGTGCGCATCTCCAGGGACAGGTTAACTGCTACTCGCATGATCTTGCGAAGGCTGTCCAAGAGCTGCGACTCAACGTGGGAGGGGGGAGGGAGGACCTTGGACAGGGTCTTGAAGATCTCCAAGGTGACAGCCTCTGTGTCGCTCTCGCGCTGAGCGGCAAAGGCTGGTCTCCGGGAAAGGAGGGTCAGGGTGGTGGCTCGCCAGCGGTGGACAGCGCGGCTTGGACCAACTTCACCTAGTTGTTTCTCAAGGGACTTGAGCTTTTGACGTTGCTCGCGATCCATACCAAACAGGTAACGAGTGAAAACGTATTCCCAGACCATGGTCATGATCACCGACATGAAGACATCGCGGCGACGAACACGGTCGGAAAGGTATGCATCGGGATCGGAGCCGTCGAGAAGGGCGTTGTCGAACCGGTCTGCGATCTTCTCGTCGTGCAACTCACTGAGCGAGCGGCAGCGACGCTTGTCGTTATGCTTGGAGAAGCGCAGCACCCAAGATTGGACGTGGCCGCAGAGCTTCTGGCAGGCAGCGTCGAAGTATTCTTCGTCTCGGAAGACGAGAGCATTGTCATGAACTGACGCTGAGATTTGTTGTTGTAGCTCCTTGACCTTGTCGCGAGTCTCCTCAAGTTCGGTGCGAAGACGACGCAACTCGATATCTTTTTGCGCAAGAGCTGTTTCAATCTCTTGTCGGACTCGATCATCCACCTGGGACGAAAGCTGAGTGTGTTGCGACCGTAGGTCCTCGAGTTCGCGCGTGGAGGATTCGCGGACATTGTTCACTTCGGCAGCGTGGGCGGCGGCGAGGGCAGCATTGGACGCTGCTAACCCTTCATTCTCCTGGGACAGACGGGTCGTCTCCTTCTGCAGCCACTCCACCGAGCTCTTCAATTGTTCCACTTCGGCTTCCTTGTCGCGCAGGTCACCATCGCGGGTGTTGAGGGCCCGGTCGCTCTTTCGGCGAGCGACGCTGGAGTGTTTTAAGTTGTATTCGGCTTCATCGCGGGCGGCGATGAGCAGACGGTTTTCGGAAATGAGTTGGTCGAGACGGGTTTCGATATCTTGCAAGTGTTGCATGCTGCGGCGACGACGGACACTAGGTGGTCGGCTGGGCGACCGTGGGGAGCTGGGCGTCTCACCCCATCCCTCCTAGAAAAATTAGTAAATAAACAAAACAAAACATGAATTAATTAATTACTCACATAGACATCCGACATATTGCGCACCGGACGTTTGCCCTTGTCAGTGACGGGGTCGTAAGAGGAAGAAGAGGGAAGCTGATCGAGGTCCGAAGGCTGGGAACCTGCAAGACTAGCCGCCCGCAGATCGCCGCTAGTGCTGCGATTTGTCCGACGCAGCTTACCGCTGCTGGTGCTGGGCTTTAAGACCTGCTCAGGCGTTTTTGTAATTTCGCGTTTCAGATCTTCCCGGGAGCCCTTTCGGCTCTCGTTTTCGGGCGTAGGCCATGACTCCCGGTCAAAGGCAGTATCTGTGAACTTGCGAACAGGAGTTTGAGGTCGTGGAAGAACATGTTCGGGTTTGATCTCCAGACGGGGCGTCCCGCGGCGACCCGTGGTTGCTCCATGGCCATCCCTTGGTTCTTGTTCCGCGATTGTATCAAGCGGTGTACGGGGTCGAGCGTAGACATCGTCAGGGCCGAAGAGCGACCGAGGTGGGGATGGAGCGAGAGCTGGTACAGAGGGCTCATCCAAGCTCCACGTCCGAGGTGTCTTTTCGTGTCGTCCATGGATTGATGGTGAGCGACGCAGTCCAGACAGGTCTTCACCGGCTGCCACCTGAGATACAAGGTTCTTGGCAGGAGAAGAAGGCTCCTTAGAGGGCTCTGGCAGCGAGAATGGCGCATCCAAGGACTTCTCGCCATGCACCGAGAAGTCTAGCTCCCTTGATTGTTCTTCCATAGCTGTAGTAACTTCGGCTAGGGGCTCGTCATGCGAGATTGAAGATTCGATTTGCCTTTGGAGACTGCTGGGTACCTCGCCACTGGTATCTTTGGCAACCTCTGTGACTTCAGTCGTCCGTCTGGGTGCTTCCAAGACAGGGATAGCAATGTCGCGACTGGCTCCCGCTGTTGTCTCTTCCTCAGCACTATCTTTTAGCGACGGTGTTTGCTTGTCCGGAGTTGGCCGCTTGAATCCACCGCGCTCCAATCCGGGGAACAGATTAGCAATCTTAGATCCCCCAGGTGTAGTTGTCCGGACAGGGGGTACGATCTCCTTGATCTCAGTAGGTTCTTGTAGACTTTCGGGGGTGGTTTTCTTAACGCCTTTGTCATAGGAGATCTCAGGCAAGGCTTCAGATTCCTCAAGATCTGCTTGCTGCGATTGCTTCTTGTTCTTATTGGCTTTCTTCTTGTCTTTCTTGCTCAGCGGCGCAGACCAAGCGTCTTCTTCGGTAGGTTCTGTAGGCCCCTGCAGATCTTTGGGGGTTGTAGAATCCTCAAATTCCCCAATAATCTCGGGGTTTGGTGGGATCACAGGCTCGGACTCAGGCTCAGGAACTGTGTCCCGAAATTGCTGCCCATGTTCACCTTTTGCATGTTCCCAGTCAATCGCGGGCCAGTTTTCGTCTTCCTGGTTTGCCTTTTCGACAGGTGCATCCGCAAGCTCGGTATCTCGAGGCTTGAGGGCGTCGTCTTCAAAGGGCGCGATGGCAGCTTGGTGATCGGTCTCGTTCTGGACCTCAGTCTGTGGCTCAAGATCCAGTCCTTGGCTGGCCTTTTTAGCCTTCTTCGCCTTCTTCTTGGAAGCTTTGCGTGAAAGAGAAGTTTCTTTCTCGGCAACATGCTCCGGCTCAGTCTGCGTAGGATCAAGTACGGTCTCAGACTCAGCCTCGGGTGCAGGTGCGGGTTGCTCTTCAGTCGCAGATGGAGCATCAATCGGCAGCTCTCGCTCTGCAACTGGTGTAGGCTTTGCGGCAGAGTCAAGTTCGCGTGGAGCTTCGGGCTCAAACACAGGTTCCGCTGGCTGGCTGTCTATCTCTTTGGGCTCGTCGGCAACACCCTTCTTCTTGGCCTTGCGTTTGTCCTTCTTCGACATCTTCTTGGACAAAGCCGGCGTCACTTCAGATTCCGCGGGCTGATCTTCGGGATCAGCTGCTTTTTCGAGTTCTTGCGTGGGAGGCCCAGCAACTTCAACGTCCTCCTCGACATTCTTCTCGATGGGCTCCTCCGCTGCAGCGGGCTGGTCAAAGGTTGTTTGTTCCTGAACCACCGCTTCTGCGGGCTCGGACTCATTGGATAGATCCTGGGAGACAAACTCATGGTCTTTCTCGCTCTCCAGTGGTTGCTTGTCTTCCAATGCGATGCTCTCGGGCTCAACAGGAGTCTCCTGGGAGGTCTCCTGAGAGGTCTCCTGAGCGAGAGACCCCGGCTCCGGAGCAGAGAACTCCTTGGTGCTTTCTTCGGGAACAGCCTCTGTTGTTTCAGGCTCAGGAGCGGGAACAGATTCCTCGGCATGAGAAGTCGACACGATCAGTCCTTGCTGTTCTTGCTTCTTGGCTTTTTTCTTCTCTTTCTTTGACAGTTTGCGAGAAATATGTTCAGCAACAATTGAGTCTTCGGTGGGCTCTTCCATGGGCTGCTCGAGGCTCACCTCTGGCGCGAGAGGCTTCGTGTTTTCGGGAGCCTCGACAGCCTGCTGCTCAGCAGGTTCGTCATCTTTTGGCTCGGAGGCTGCCAGTTCCTGTGCCTCGTCAATGCTCTTTTCTGGCTCGGGCTGGGGCCCATCGTGAGCTTCTGTGGATTGGTGCAGATCAACAGTGGGTTGTTCGGTGGGCTCCTCTGGGGCTTGCGGCACAGAGGACAATGGCTCTTCGGCTGCAGGCAATCCCTTGGCGCTATTCTCCTCCTCGAGCAGAGTGGCGGCGGCTGCGGCGGCGGCTGCCGCCTTCTTCTTCTCCTTCTTGCTCAATTTCTTGGAGGTAGTGGGCGCCTCAGCCTCGGGCTCAATGGCGGGCTCAGCCAAAGCTTGCTCGGAGGGTTGCTCAGCATTCATGTTCTCTGCTGGGGTCTGGGTGGCAGTTTCTTCCACGATCTCCTCTGTCTTCAGATCGCCTGACGGAAGTTCGATTGAGCGCTCTCCGCTTTCGGGCTCTTGAATTGGAACTGGCCCTTCAGCCTCCTGGGCTGACGGCTCAATCTCCTTAGCGGTCTCCTCGGTGACATCACTAGGCTTCACAGTAGTCTCCTCTGCGTCATCAACAGGATCATCCTGCGGCTTTTCATCGGCAGTCGTAGCATCCGTTGCAATTTCAGATTCCGGGACAGCAGCCTCAGTAGCCTCGGGAGCTGGCTGTTCTTCGAGTCGTTGCTTAGCTTCAGCTTCCTGGGCAAGGAGCAATTGGCGCTGCTTCTTCTTGTCTTTCTTGCTCAGTTTGGTGACAGGTGCTGATTCGGGTTCTTCACTAGCAGGGCCAACAGGTTCAGCCTCCGGGACAGTGGGCTCATTGGTAGCTTCAACGGCCTCGATTGGCTGAACCGCGGAAGGTTCTTCGACATCCTTCGGCTGGTCAGTGGATTGCTCCTCGGAGGCTGACACTGCTTCGGTCTCCGCAACAGGCTCAGGCTCGGTTGCTGTCTTCTCCTCTGGCTCCGGTACCGATTCAGGCTCGGCAAAAGTCACGGCTTCAGGCTGTTCCTTTTCCTCTGTGATAGCGGTTTCAAGCTCGGGTGCTGGAGCTTCCTCGACTATGTCCTCCTCTTGCTTTCTGTTCTTTTTCTTGCTTTTCTTTTTCTGCTTCTTTGACAAAGCTGTCTCTGAAGTCTCCTCCGTGGGAGCTTCCCCCGGCTGTACCTCAGGGACAACTTCCTCTGGCACATCCACAGGTGTCTCTTCAATAGCCTTCTCTCCAGAGAGATAGTCTGCTTCCGGCACAGACGACATCTCCTCTGCACTAGGTGCAAGTTCAACCAACTCCTCCTGTGGCTTCTCACCATCTTCCTTCTGACCTTCACCTTCAAGGTCCTCCTCCTTCGTCAACAGTTCAGGCTCATGGATAGCAGGGGTTTCGTCACCCTGCTCCGGAGCAAGTACCTCCTCCAACTCGCCGGAATTAACTGAACGCTCAAGCACGGGCTGGGGAGGATAATCTAAAAAAGGACTCTCTATCTGAGGCTGCTCTACCTGCGAAGACATGAATTCATCAGTCGAAGCCATTTCTTTCGCCGCGGCGTGAGTTACTATGTCGTGGGACTGATGTTCTTTACCGTCATGTTCCGCAGGCGAGGTCGCCGTCACGGCTGAGAGTCCCGGGGTGTCCGTAGAGGTAAGGACTTTTTCGACGCTGTCAGCAGGTTCACCGGGCGTGCCGGGCTCGGTTGGCGGCGCGGAAGAGGCGTCATTATCGGCGTCGGCATTCTTGGACTGGCGTTTCTTGGCCTTCTTTGCTTTGCGGCGCTCCTTGGCTGACATTTCAACTTCTTCCGCTGGCTCGGCTGGTGATGGGGCTGGCTCGGTCTCGGTGGCGGTCTCGGTGGCAGGATGCTGCTCGGTGTTCTCCTCCTTTGGCGCATCTTCGGTTGCGGGCTCAACTGTCGCGGGTTCCTCTATCTTGGGGGTCTCAGCCTCGACGGCCTGCCCATCCTCCGGGCCCGGTGTTGGCTCAGCTGGCGAATCGGCAGGTGTCTCAGCAGGAGTCTCGGGAGCCGCCTCTTTTTCAATGGGGGCGTCGTCGGTCAAGTCAACAGACTTGCCCTTCTTCTTGTTCTTCTTTGCCTTGCGACGCTCCTTTGCTGTCATGCCAGCCTCCTCCTGTGCTTCAGCATCTTGTCCGCTGGGTGACTGAGGATCTGACGTAGGCTTCGATTCCTCTTCGGGCTGAACAGGGGAAGAGGGTTCCTGCTCAGTAATCTCCTTGGCTTCTTCAGATGGAGCAACCTTCTCTGTCTTCTCTGGCTCGCCCGAAGCAGGGGTCTCGAGTACTGAGACGTCCTTGTCAGCGGCAGCTTCGGCCGCTTTTTCGGCAACGGGAAGTTCCTTGGCGTCATCTTCAGAAGTGACAGTAGGTTCGGCCGAAGTATCCTGCGAATAGGGCTTTTCTTCGGGTACAGAAGAGTCCTGTTCGCGCGCCTGCGAAGCAGTTTCCTCATCACCCCAAGCGACAGACTTGCGATTCTTTTTCTTGTCTTTCTTGGCCTTGCGCTTTTGAGCGGGGGTCATTGCTTCCTCCTCCACAGCCTCCGGTGTGGCAGTGTCAGCGGGGAGATCCTGCTGGGTGCTTTCTTCTGGCGAGGGCTCCTCTGGGTTTGTCGCTTCATCTGTGGCTACAGGAGCCTCAACATCCTCAGCCAAAGCAGGTTGCTCATTGTCCTGGCTTTGTGCAGGCTCGGCGGACACATCTTCGGCGGGTGCAGCCTTGGTCTCCTCCTCAGTAGCTGCAGGCAGCTCCTCAGATGGCGCAGGCTGCTGTTCTTCAGCAGCAAGTGACTGGCGCTTCTTCTTGTCTTTCTTGGCCTTGCGCTTCTGAGCGGGAGTCATGGTAGCTTCTTCGGCAGCCTCGGCGGCTGTTGTATCCGCAGGAGCATCTTGCGGAGTGCTCTCCTCTGGTGAAGGCTTCTCGGCCTTAGGGGCTTCTTCGGAAACAACAGGGGGCTCGGCATCTTTCTCAGAAGTGGGCTGTTCAATCTCCTGAGCTGGCGCAAGCTCTGTCGTTTCTGCTGCATTAGCCTCCGTGGCTTCTGCAGTGGACACACCCTTTAAACCTTCTTCAACAGGCGTGTCCTTTACCTCTTCCTCGGCGGCTACGGGCTGCTGTTCCTCAACGGCAAGAGACAGGCGCTTCTTTTTGTCTTTCTTGGCCTTCCGCTTTTGGGCGGATGTCATCCCAGCTTCTTCAGCGGCCTCAATTGCCGCTTCATCGGGAGGGGCATCATTTTGGGTGTTCTCAGGTAACGGTTCCTCGGGCTTCGCTTCCTCTACCACGGTAGGAGGTTCAATCTCCTTGTCACCCGCAGGTTGCTCAACATCCTGGGGTGGCGCAGGCTCTGTTGACTCTGCCGGAGGTGTAGGCTCGACCATTTTTTCAGCAGGCACAGACTTTGGCTCTTCCTCTATAGGTGTAGCTTGTAGCTCTTCAGCGGCAAGTGACTGTCGCTTCTTCTTGTCTTTCTTGGCCTTGCGCTTTTGAGCTGGAGTCATCGCGGCCTCTTCAGCGGCCTCAGCTGCGGCTGCATCGGCAGAGGCATCCTGTTGCAAAGTCTCTGGGGATGCCTCCTCGGGTCTCGCTTCCTCTGTCGGGACAGGGGGCTCAACCTCTTTGTCAGTGGAGGGTGGTTCGCTGGTAGGCTCCGCAGGCTCCTCGGCAGGAGTAGGCGTGGGTTCTTCCTCAGTAGGAACGGCCACGGTCTCTTCCTCCACAGGCATAGGCTTTGACTCCTCTTCAGCGGGTGCAGGCTGCTGTTCTTCAGGGGTAGCTGAGAGTCCCTTGTTCTTTTTCTTGTCCTTCTTAGCCTTTCGCTTCTGAGCTGGAGTTAGGGCGGCCTCCTCTGGTGCTGCAGCCTCGATAGATTCTGCGATTGGAGTCTCCTCGGCGACTGGCTCCTTGTCATCCGGGGACTTCTCCTCCGAAGGCTGTTCCAAAGCAGCATCGGCTTTCTGCTCTTCCTGGAGATTTTCCATAGGGGCATCCGGTTCGGCCGCGCCCTCTGGAGCAGCGTCTTGAGCCACATCTTGAACGTCGGTAGCCTCTTCAGAAGGTTCGGGAGCAGCAACAGTCCCATCGGAGACCGGCTCTGTCGGAGCTTCTTTGTCGAGAGCGGGAGTATCCTGGGTTTGCTCCTCTTGGGCTGTGGTCTCGGTTTCAACTTCGGGCGCTGCCTCAGTCGGAGATGGCACAGGGGCGGTGGCTTCTTCGGTGGCCTTTGTCTCCTCGACTAAAGGGGCAGCTTCCTCTGCGGGAGCAGACTCAGACTCTGTTTGCTGCTTCTTCTTGTTCTTCTTGGCTTGTTTCTTCTCGGCGGCAGTCATTGGCACCTCGGGCTCTGCTGGTGCCTCTGGTTCTTGAGGAGTTTCAGTCTCAACTGCTGCGGGTGTGGCTTCTTCAGCAGGTGCTAGGGTTGCATCTTCGGGCTTTGGCTCCTCAGATTGGGGTACATCAGCGGAGACAGGAGCTTCCTCCGATGCAGGAACAACATCAGCACTAGCCTCAGCAGGCTCGACGTCGGCTACCGCGGGCACATCCTCGGTGGGGGGCTCAAGGTCTTGGCTTGACTCGGCGACCTCAGTGTCCGCTGGCAAGGGTGTTTCCTCGGTGGTAGGAGCCTCAATTTCAGCCGCAGGCGCAGCGTCTTGTTTAATCTCAGCAGGCTTATCTTCCACCACTGCGGGATCCTCCACCGGAGCAGGAGTCTCAGTAGATTCAGCCTCGGGTACGGGCTCAGGCTCGGCAGGGTTGGCATTGTCAGAAGCAGCAGCGAGGGCCGCTTCTTCCTCCTGCTTCTTTTTCGCAGCCTTCTTGGCCTTCTTTCTCTGGGCTGCAGTCATGGGGACCTCGGGCTCGACAGGGGCTTCTTCTGCTTGGACCTGTTCCTCCAGTACTGCGGGCTCTTCCTTCGGAGTCTCTGCGGTTGTCTCCTCTACAGTGGGCTCCGGGATAGAAGTGGGCGCTCCTTCTTCTTGAGGCTGCTCTGGCTCAACAATCTTTTCGAGCTCGGCGGGTTGCTCAGGCTCGACGGACTGCTCAGACTCAATGCGCACCCCCTTCTCAGTATCTTGAGGCACCACACCAGCCGACACCTCTTCGGGCACCGAAGGGACCTCCTTAGCAGTAGGCTCGGCCGCAGGTACAGTCTCAGTTGCCGGCGAAGAAGGCTCAGTAGGTGCAGACTCAGCAGGCTGTTCTTCATCAGGAACAGAAAATTGGCTCTGCTTGTTCTTCTTTTTCTTGTCCTTCCTGGCCTTCTTCTTCTGCGCAGCAGTCAAGGCAACCTCGGGCTCGGCCCCATCCTCTGCTTCAGCTTCGTATTGAGGTTGAGATTCAGGTTCAAGTTCAGCGGCGGTCTCAGCCTGGACTTCCTGAGTCTCAACGGCAGCTGGCTGGGCTATTTCATGAGCAGTCTCTTCTGTAGGGCCCTCTACGTCAACTAGAGCAGGGGCAACATCGACGGTAGACTCAGCTGGAGGGACATCCTGCTGCTCTGGTGCAGCAGCAGGTTCTTCGGTGGCTGTCTCAGAAGGCAGCTCGAGATCCTTGGCAGGCTGTTCAGGATCAGAAGGCAAGGCTTCACCGCGAGTTTCAGAAATCTGGGTATCTGCAGGCTCGGTCGAAGCAGATTTGAACTCTGCGGTTTCGCCCTCAGGGGCAGGTGTTGGCTCTTCCTCGGTGGGAACTAAGATCTCTTCGACAGCGGCAGATTTGCGGTTCTTCTTCTTGTTCTTCTTTTTCTGGGCCTTTGTCTCCTGGGGCTCTGCGGGGGCTTCTGCGGGCACATTGGCTGGAACTTCAGAGGCCGGCTCAGCGGCAGGCTCAGCGGGGGGCTCGGAGACAAGCTCTGCTGTGGGCTCCGGTACAATCTCGGGCTCCTTCTCTTCGATGGGCTGAGGGTCTTGCTCTTCAACGGCTTCCTGGAAGTTGTCCTCCCCTTCGGAGTCTTCTTTGGTTGGTTCGGTGACCGCAGGGGCGGTGAGATCCTCCGAAGCTACGAGGGTTGCTTCTTCAACTGGCTTCTCGATGTCTTCCAGGGTTCGAGATACTCCCTCATCTTCCGGTCGCGTAGTTTCAGGAACGGCAGTCTCATTGGCATCGGTGAAGACAGGCTCTGTGGCTTCCTGCTCCTCGATGTTCTTGTCCGAGCCCTCTGCTTGTAGGACAGGCTCTTCGGCGCTGGGTACAGCCTCCTCTTGCTTGGCTGTCTCGGTAGAAGCAATAACCTCATCCTGAGGTTGAGAAGTAGCCACATCATCAGCAGGCTCTTCAGCAGAAGTGTCCTTGGACTTGTTCTTCTTCTTCTTGTCCTTCTTAGCCTTCTTCTTCTGGGCAGCCGTCAAAGCAACTTCGGGCTCGGCCACAGGTTCGGGCGCACTAACAGGCTCGGAAGTCTCAGCAACAGCTGCAGAAGAATCAAGTCCGAGGTCGCGAGATGCTCCAGCGGGCTCAGTTCCGGCATGCTCAGTTTCGGTGGGCTGTTGAGCGGTAGCATCTTCCTCCGCAGAGGGCGCAGGAACTTCAGGCTCAGGTGAGATCTCTGGCTCCGCCACAATCTCGCGGGGCGCTTCAACGGGCTCAGCTTCAGCTTGGGGTTGAGCAGTCTCGGGAATATCTTCCTGGGCAGGAGCAACGGCCTCGGACTTAACCGGAGTAGTGTCAACCTCAACGGAAGCATCTTGAACAGCAGGCGTCTCGGCAACAGGGGCTTGCTTAACCTCCTTAGAAGCATCCTCTTGAACAACAGAAGCAGTCTCTTCAGGAACAAAGTCAACACTCTGACCCTGACTCTTGTTCTTCTTCTTGTTCTTCTTGGCCTTGCGCTTCTGAGCCGGAGTCATGGCAGTCTCTTCGGCAGTCTCAGTGTCAGCGGGCCCAGCAGACTGTTCTATCGGTTCAGGGATGGGTTCTTCTATAATCTCCTTTGTTGCCTCGACTGGCTGTGTAGAGTCGAGTTGGACGGGTGCATTCTCTTCGATTGCAGTGCCCGGCTCTCCGATCTCTTCGTCGACGGGTGCCTTGTCGTGCGAAGCAATTTCTCTTGCAACAGCTGCGTCGACAATATCGCCGAAGCCGTGAATCTTGGGCTCGGCGGCGGCAGCTTCCGTTTCAGCTTCTGGCAGGGCGCGAGGTTCAGAGTCTTCTGCGTGTTCGGCGGAGTGTTGGTACTCCTTGTTCTTCACGGCGGCGATGGCAGCTGCATCCACTATACCAGCGAAGCCAGCGGCCTTGGCAACATCGCCACCACTAGGGAGGGATTCCTTCTCCCGGGTGGGAGTTTCAGGTTCAAGCTGAGCCTCCTGCTCGGCAGGTTCCTCCTCAGCCTCCTTGTCCTTAGGACCAACCACCGACCCCTCGGCAGAAGGAAGAGCCTCCAAAGTAGGCGAGCCAGGCAACGGCTCGAAGTTATCAGGGTTCCGCAAAAGCTCAGAAGGAGAATGGAACTCATACTTGAGCTTCTCCTTCTTAGCGGAGTGGCTAGAACTCTCGAAGTGCTCAGCGGTAGGAGTAGCCTGCTGCGAGTCGAGGAGATCAATCTCGCGATTATGGTTCTCGTTAGCGTGGTCGGTTTCGATTGTCAGACCGGTAGGTCGACGGTTCTCCATAATCGAGTGACTCAGGTCCACCTGCTCCCAGGTCCGAACGCCATCATCGTCATTGAGGGCCTTTAGGTCTTCAATGGATGGGACACGGGAAGAGGTCTTGCTGGACGGGAGCGAGGGCAATCCCTCTTGAGGCTCAGCCTCGCCCTTGACAGAGCTATGGCGCTCAACTAACCACAGCGGCCTGATCTCGCGGGAATTGCGGAACTCGACTGAGCCAGGACGGCGGTGGCGCTGGTGGCTTGGTGAGCCGGGGGATTCAACGTGAGGCGCTTCGACGGGGACAGCGCGGGGCAGACCCGGTGATGTTGGGGGCCGGCGGAAGTGCAGAGGCACGGCTGTTGGAGATTCGGTGATTGACTTGGCCACGGAGCCGCGGCGTGCGTTGGGGGATCGGCTTGTTTCAGGTGAAGCAGGTCTGCTCTGAGACTTGGGCGTGAGGTCGAGGGCTTTCTCGGCGCTTGGAGGAGACGTCGAGCGGCTCCGGGGTCTTTGCTGCAAGATCTTGCCTAAGCCTAAGCCTGCAGCTGCACCGAGAGCAGTTTCTGCTGCCGATGCTGGGAGCCCCGAAGCACCACGTACATCATCATCGCGCTCAGCCGCGGCTGGCGTTTCGGGGCGCTCGTTTAAAAAAGATTGATTGTCGTGGTCGTCATTAAGGTCCTGCACATGGAGTAATACCAGTAAAAGCTTAGTACATTTCTTGTTTGTTCGGGTTTTGTGGTTTTTGTGCAAAGCCGGTGTGACAGAGGCCATCGCCAGCGAAAAAGGGAAACTATATGGCACATGAATGTGTACAATAAAAAATGACAACATGAGTAACAACAAAAAGAAATGTCAGATGCTATACCTTCTCAGAATCACGTTTCCGTCCTGAATCCACAATTTCCTCGTACCGATGCCGACGTCGCTCCTCCTTGCGCTGTCTACTAGACCTGTAATCCTCCAGATTCGTTCCATCCTCAGCATCCTTCTCCTTGTCAGACGCATCTTCCAGTTCATCTCCATTGCTGGAGCTGCGGTGTTTAGAGGAACGCTTCTTGCGGCGACGGCGCTCATCATCGACACCAGCCTCAGACAGGGCTTCGCGGGAGGAACGCTTATCCAGCGAGGATGAGCGGGTACCCTCAGCGGGAGCTGAGACCTGCGAGCCAAAGATGCTTCTCAAGAAGCCACCCGGCTTCTTCTCCTTTTCTTCATCCTTGGCCTTACGTCTCTCGCGGGACTCGCTAATCCTGGCAGGAGAAGACGTTACAGAGGCAGTATCATCGAAGTTGCTGTCGCGCGAGGAGCGATGACGGTGCTTGCGGCGCTCAGACTTGTCGTCCGCAAGATCTGTGACAGCAGAACGAGCATCGTCATCAATGGAGAATGTCTCGCTGCCATGTCTGGAGTGGCGCTTCCGGCGTTTCTTCTTCTCCTCGCCGTCCTCTCCGTCTTCGGGCAGAGGGGTTTCAGTGTCACCGGGAGGATCAAAATCATCACCGCTTCTGCGAGACTTTCTGTGTCTAGAAGACTCAGAAGCAACAGAACGGGATTCAGAAACGTCGCGTGATCGGGAGACGTAATCATCACCGCTTCGGCGCGATGTCCTATGTCTAGCCGACTCCGACGTAACAGAACGAGATTCAGATGGGTCGCGAGAGCGGGAAATGTCAAAGTCATCGCCGCTGCGTCGAGACTGCCTTGCCTTGCTGGTCTCATCCTTGGTAGCCGGAACAGAGAACACAGAGCGAGTATCATCCCGAGACTCAGCCGCATCGCGCGAACGAGAAATGTCAAAGTCGTCACCACTTCGTCTAGATCTCCTAGACTTGCTGGTCTCATCCTTGGTGGCGGGGGAAGAGAAGACAGATCGATCATCACGAGACTCCGAAATATCTCGGGATGAGACAATTTCAAATTCATCGCCGCTTCGTCTGGATGCCTTTGATCTGGGAGACTCATACTCTTTGGGAACGGGAGCAGTAGTGACAGGGGAAGGAGGCTCTCGAGATTCAGGCACTTCTCGCGATCTGTAGATGTCGGAATCGTCACCGCTGCGTCGAGTCTTCCGTGATTTGGATGTTTCATCCTTCGTGGCAGGCACAGAGAAGACAGAGCGGGTGTCATCGCGAGACTCAGTAATGTCCTGCAATGGGGCGATATCGAAGTCACCACCGCTGCGTCTGGATTTTCTAGACTTAGATTTTTCGTCTTTGGTAGCGGGGGCAGAAACAATAGAGCGGTTTTCATCTTGAACCTCGATGACCTCGGGCTCGGGTTCACGCACAGACTCTGGCACAGGCTCAGGTTGACGCTCTGGTTCTGGTGCCGGCTCCTTTGTCTCAATCTCGAAGGCATCAACACTCTTCCTAGACTTCTTCTTGGACTTGGATTTCTTGGACTGAGTCGGCGACTCGGGGTCTTGAGTAACAGGGCCAGGAGCAGAGAAAACGGATCTCTCATCACGGGATTCAACGAGATCTCTCGAATCAGCAGCATCAAAGCCACCAGGCATGGAAAAGGCATCAATATCAACATCACGCTCGCGCTCGCGCTCCGGAGAAGTAGGTTGATCTTGCTTATCACGCTTGCCGTTCAACCGCTCGAGAACCTCCTGGGCAATGGAGGATTTGTCACGGCGTCCCGAGGAGATATCGTCATTTTTCGAGAAGGACTCTGGTTCGTCGAAGAAGAGTTCATCCTTGTCGGTGATGTGCTTGGAAGACGACACATCCTTAATTGTCTTGGGTGCAACTTCTCCGATTTCACCTTGAACGAACCCGTGGGGCTCCTTACGGGCTGACGGCGCCCAGGATGACTTGAAACGTCCTTCATCCTCTGATCCAGGAGGAGAAGTGCGGGTATGGTAGGATGGGTCATCGGTAATCATAGCGGGATCAAATCCAGCAGCGGCGGTCGCGGCAGCAATGGTGGCGGCGAATTCGATGTCGGTTCCGTATTCGGGTTTGCTAGCAATCTCCCTGGTGGAACTGATCTCCGACACTGGCAGTGGGACATCCTTGGGAGGGACCTCCTCATAAGGAGAGACGTCATGCTCCAGGGGATCCTGTTCGGAGGAAGATGGGATCTCGTATTCATGGGTCTTGTCGTCGCCCCAGGAGACGCGGGAGCCAGTGGTTGATCGTTCGCGAGGCTTGGTATCATAGGATGATGTATCTACAGGTGGTTCAATGGGGGAAGTAGCATCGCGAACGGATCCACCATTTACGCTCTGGGGAGGAGTCGGCTCAATGAAGTTGAGGCGGGGAACTGGCCATGGGAGGTGGTCAACATTTTTGTAAGGCTCGTGCGAATAGTCCGGCTCTTCGCGTGGAGGTTCGTCGCGAGCACGGCGCTCACTGGCGGGCTCAATTTCCACAATCGTGGGCATATCGCCAGAGCCGCTGCGCTTCTGGTCATCAGGGCTGTGTCGTAGCTCTTCGGGAGCGAAGAACTCTGCGTAATCTTCGTAAACTTGGGGTTTGCGAGGAGAAGCACGGCGAGGAGAGCGTGGCTTCTTCTCTTCGCGGTGTTCCACCGCTGGCACTTCTTCAATAGGCTGAATAGGCTCGAACCGTGACACAAGTGAGGACTCGGCATCAATGTCACTATCACGGCGACGCTCAGCACGGCGTTTCTCCCGGCGTTCGTTGCGTCGCAGGCTGGCTTCAGAGGCTTCATCGTCGTCCGTCTTGCGAGAAAGAACGGTGCTAGCAGCCGCAGCGCCAAGAGCTCCAGCAGCAGCTACTCCAACCCAAGCTGAGGAGTCCTTCTCCCTTTCAGTAGTGTCTCGGCGCTTCTCCTCCTCGCGCTCCTTGCGACGACGGTCAAGACGTTCAGCCTCCAGGCGATCTTCTTCCTCTCGCTCCCTGCGGCGATGAACAAGACGTTCGGTCTCCTGGCGTTTTTCGTCCTCTCCATCGAGCAATTGAAGAGGCTGCGGGTCGACAAAGTCGTCTCGGGAGTTCCGGTCACGGCGATCAAGGCGGCGTTCCCTTGCTGCTTGCTCCTCCGTCAAGTTGAATTGAACGGAAGCCTGGTCCTTGGCGGTTGACCGGCGCTTCAGGCCAGAAGCAGTTTCCTGAATAGGGAAAACAGGGAAGGAGTCGCTGCGCCGATGGGGTCTGCGACCTTCGGATTGAGGAACTTCGGGAGCCCATATGGCATCCCGAGAGTCGTGGAGCTGAATGTCATGTGGCCCAAATCCGTTGGCGGCAAAGGCAGGAGGAACAACTGGTGCACTGTAGGCAGGGATCGATCCTGGCAGACCTCCTTGGGTAGTGTACACGGCTTGCGAGACAGGGGTGACAGGCTGTGGCTGCTGGAGGGGAATAGGTCCAGGGCGGACGAGGGCCGGGTGGCCACCAGAGACAGAAGGAGACATCTTGGCAACATCGAAGCGAGATGGGTCAGAAGTGGGCATCGGATAGACTTGCTGGAGACTGCCAGAGCTGCTTGGGGGCTCGCTATCACGGTGACGAGCAGAAGAAATGGCAGCGGCTCCGAGAGCACCAGCACCAATTGCGAGAGCAGTGTTGGTGGGACTGGACTTCTTGTCTTTCTTCTTTTTGTCCTTCTTGCTGCCCCATCGCCAGCCCCAACGACTACTTGAGTCGGAGGACGAATCAGCGCTGCTTGCTCCGAATGCTAGCGCGGAGGAGACACTTGAGGCAGACTGGTCCTCGGATTCATCGATCCACTCGTCGTCGTTGGCAGAGGAAGTGTAGTTTGAATGACGAGATTTGGTGTACATCTGGCCTGCACTGCGGCTAGGGATATTAGGCGATGAGCCAGCCAGGCGAGTTGCAGTAGCACCAAGTCCTACCAAAGCGGCATCAACATCTTTGCCTTTCTTGTCCTTCTTCTTGAGCTTAGAAGACTTCTTGGAAAACCCATCTCCAAAGGCAAGATCGTTATCAAGCGAAGAAGATGACGAACCACCTTTGAAGGAGAAGAAACCACTGCGCTTCTTGCTCTGACGCTTCTTCCGGTTCTCCGATGAGGAAGTGAAGAAGGAGCCGATACCACCGGCGACAGACTTCTTCGAGGGGCGAGAGACATTGACAAAGGACGATGAAGAGGATGAATCCTTGCGACGTTGATCTCTTCCAGGAGACCGGCTGCGGGAGCGGTTACGCGACTTGGTAACAGCCAACGCAGCCCCACCAACTGCAGCACCCAGGGCAGCCTCCTTCAAGAATGAATGTCGCTCAGAACGGGATGAAGAACGGGATCGGGAGCGTGTCCGTCGCGAGTATCCGGATGGGCGTTTACTGTCCGACTGGTAATCTCTCTGGGGACTGTGACCAGAACGGCGAGTCACGCCACGAGAAGTGTAGCTCCTGCGGTCATCTTCCTCATGAGAGGAAGCTACTCGGCCAGAGCGGATGCTGTACGAATCATCGAACTCCTTGTTCGAGAAGAGTGACTTCGTCGCATAGCCAGCCAGCATGCCAGGCAGCCATGACGAGGACTTCTTGGACTTGTTACGTCGGCGACCTTCGTCTTCAGATGACTGGTAACGGCTGACCTTGCTCACTCTGGACGAGCTGGCACTGCTGTGCCGATCAGCGGAGTGCCGGCGACGTCTGTCATAGTGATGCTTGCGAGGCGCATCCAGGGAGCTCGTTCCGGGCTGGAAACAGTATTTGCACACGCCAATTGTCTCCGTGTAGTCCTCGAATCTTCCAACGGCCTCGGGGTCCCGCCAGAAATCAACGAATCGTCCGAGGGGCCCACGCTGGCGCTCCTGGAGAGCAAGCGCACCGGGGCCATGAGGATAGAATCCGGGGTTATGAGCAGCATTAGAAGCGTATCCTGCTGCACCTCCAGCATATAGGGCGTTGTTGTGGGTGTGGTTGTGGTTGGGATAACCGGGGGCATACGGTGGGATACCAGCTTGAGACGAGCCCTCGTAGTTCTGGAAGCTGTATTGCGAAGCGTGCTCCGGGCTCGAGGAGTGATGATGGTGACCCATCATGTATCCAGCCGCACCACCAGCAGCTGCGAGGCCGACACCTTCGCTGAAGCTGTGCGAGTGAGGAGGCTTGTGTGTGGGCTTGTGGTTGCTGCTTGCCATCGGCTGGGTCATTGGCTGGCTCATAGATTGGGCCATTGGCTGGTTGTAAGAGCTAGAGTGATGCACCTCAGACGAAGAGTGTTGTTCGTTGTGAGAGTGAGACATCATGCCACTAATCCCATAGGTAGCGGCTCCAACAGCGGCAGCAGGAAGCACGCTCGATGAAGAAGGCTTGCTAGGCTTCGAAGGATTTGAGGGTTTAGAAGGTCTGGATGAAGACGCCGTCGGAGGCTTCGCGGCTTGCGCAGGGACATGGAAATCATCATCGAAATAAGCCGCCGCCGCACCAGTCTGACCCATGCTACTGGGCTCTGGGGGAGGATTGGCCGTGGGGGATGCGGCCATCAAGTGCGCTTGAGTGTTGGGGAGCACAGATGGAGGCGCTGGGCGAACACCGGGCTGCATCTCTACAGACTGACCTTGGTCACCGTAGTAGTCTGCCGCAGCGCCGGCAGGATTCATCGGCAGGTACGGCTGCGCAACACCCTCTGGGAATTGACCAGGGAATTGTTGCTGGACATGAGGATCATAAGGCACCTCATGATCTGGTGAATGGCCGGTAGGAGGCATGCCAGTATCATATTGCATGGGAAACTGTGAGAAGCCGGGTGCCGCAATGTCGGTGGCAAACTGTACGGCGGGGGCGCTAGGCGGCATGCTCGTAGAGACCGGAGGCACATAAGGGTCCCCAGACTGGGTGCGACGACGCTCACGGCGGTCGCGCTCCCGCTCCCGATCCAAGTCATCATCCAGAGTATCTTCCGTCGCCCGTCGGCTTCTTCTCCTCTCACGATCTGGACTCACGGATCGGTCGCGTTCGCGGCGGCGAGAACTCTTGCTATCCCGGTCACTGTCTCTGCGTTTGGGAGTGCGCTCAATGATGTAGCGATCGGAATCATCAATGGGTTCCGGTTCTGCGGTCACATAGCTGGAAGCGATCGAGTCGCCGGCGATGCTAGATGGCCCACGCTTACTGCGGGAGCCCGATGGTGAGTACGAGGACAAATCACCCAGGCCGCGGTCACGGTCGTCACCCCGTGAGGATTTGCGACTTGAGGTGGATTTGGCGTCGGAGTTGTCGGTCTTGCGCCGGCTCTTGGAGCGCACATCGGTAGACGACGATGACCGACTGCCCATCAGAGCCTTGAACATGGTGGGCAATTAATTCGGCCCTCAGGAATCCACCATGTGGGAAGGGAATGAGGAATGTAGGAGTATGGGGAAGGGAAGTTGTCAGATCCCCAGCCTCTGGTTGTTATGGGTTTGTTTGTAAACAAGCTGAACCGTGGATCGGCGGGACTTAACCGCTTATCCTCCCGATCGTTTCCAGCCTTGCTCCAGTACTCCAGTGCTCCAATACTTCAGCACTTTCGCTCAATTCAAGGTCGAGTATGTCGGGTATGTCAAGCATCAATGCACGAATGTGAAAAATGTGAATCACCCATTTCGTTTGTCCTGATGAGCTGTCCGGTGCAACAAGTGGAGCGAATCAAAGTCGCGGTGAAGCATCGTGCACGTGCCATGGGGCTGGGAACTTCGTCACTCGAGATCGGGCATTACTTTATTACAATTCGTACATAGAGAGATATGTATCCTAGCGATATGTGTCGGTATCACTACAAGAATATCTTGTAGCTACACTTGAATGGAGTTGATATGATCGTACTGAACCACGGTTGAAATCTCACTGTGGAGCGTCGGGTCCAGCCAGCCATGTTTGCGATTTGACACCTGAGGCTCCACCGGTCTATACATGTCTCTAGCAGTGTATCGGATTTTAGAATGGGAGAATGGAATTGGAAGGGTAAATGCGGCAAAATTACAAGGTGCTCAACCTGGATTCTGATCCCAGTTTTAACAGATTTCATCTACTCCTTTACAGGTGAAGGACTACAGTAGGATCCATATAGTATCGTTAACGTTACTTGAAGAACCTATTTAAATCGTTTTTTGCAGTATACGACAACTTTCCCAGCACACCTTGTCCATCAGACTCAACCGCTCAGCCTTGTTTACCTTGTCTTTTCTTTTCGTTGTTCAGTTCTTCTTTCGCCGATCGAGGAGGGACGTTCTCTTCATTCCGGTTTGTTGGTTTGGAGGAAGATGACTTCGAGGCCTCGGAAGACTTCGACTTTGCTGATCTCGTATCCGGTGGTGAGGGCCCTGGGTGCTCCAGCTCCCGAGTTCGAGGACTCACACCTTGGGAGGCCGGATTCTTGTCTTGAGGATCACCCTTGTTAACGTCATCCCCATAACCACCAGTCGAGTATGGCAGACTTTTGAGGGCCGGTCGCGGTCGAACGGTATCAAGCTTTCGAAGATATGTTTGATGAGGCAGTAGAAGACTTGGGCGGGTCATCCTGGCCGAAATGGCCTTCGGATAGATCGCTAGATGGTTCGGCATTGCATAAACTGATCCTTGCCCCGTTGAAGAGATAGAATAAGAGCTTGATTGCAAGTGAAGAATAACGCGGGATGTTCCAAAGATGTCTTGGTGAAGAAATACCAATTTGGAATGCTTATGCCAGGTGACGTTGTAGGCCTATTTGATTGATTCATCATGACCTCACACATTAACTTAACATCTTTTAACATCTTTTTGTCGACCAAACTTACCTCTAGCTTCCTCTCAGTTGTGGAAGCGCATTATTAAACCCATGGTAGATTGTTAATTATGTAGCAAACTGGTGCAGATCAGGCACACCGCCGCAACATCGGAAAATTATCTCCTTCACAGTCTACTCGGCCACATCAATCACAAAAGGCTGAATTCATTCAATGTGTAAACTAATCGCCTACCCGAGTATCTTCCACATGAGTACTACGGTTCCCCATCTTTTCACCCCTACCAACCTGAGAAAGTCGCCGTTGTTTATTCAGCTCCATCATGTGCTTTGCAAATGGTGACCGCTCACGAATCTGAGGACCTTTGCGGTAAAAGAAGTAGATCGGTGTCGTAACAAAAATCGAGATAACAGCAAGAATTGTGGACGCATACGCATACGGAAATGTGTGGCCTATGTTCTCGAACATCGGTGTAGAATACATAGCTGCAATTCCCGCAAGAAAGTCGCGAGCGAAGTCGTTGCCTCCTGTAGCAGATGCTGCATATTCTCCGTATGCAGCAATCGTGTAGTCAATAGAAGATTGATAGATGGAATACTGTGCGACATCAGAAGGTTTTTCCGTGTTATGCATTGGATCGGGGGCTCACGTTAGCAATTCCGATTACCAAGGTGAAGATCATAGGCGCGATCCAAGGGACAAATTTTGGACCCAGAGTCGTCCATGCAAAGCCAAATAGGCCAATTGGCAGACAGGGTATGACTGGCCATCGTACATTTTTGTAAGAACAAACAGATTGCCTTTGTGATTGGAAGTCTTGACTCACCATAGAGTAGCCACCACAATCGCGCTTCTGGAGAAACGGATTCGGAGCCATGCTTGCGTCGTCTTTGTCTGAACATGTGGATGGAGGGTAGGAATGAGAGGTATGCGAGGAAATAACCAATGATCAGCCTATAAAATAAGATTTTAGCATGCACCTCCAAAAAGAACATAGGGTTCCACTGACGGTATAAATGCAAGACTAATTTGAATGGTCCCAAAGCCATACTGTTTAAAGACCGGTTGAAATCCTTGAAGAAAGGTAAAGATCAAAGAATCACTGAACCCGCTCAGTAGCGAAAGCCACATAACAATGGGCTCAGTGAGGAGCATCACGAATGGACGTTTCCATACTCTCCAGATATCTCGAGGAGAGAGCGAATACCCGTGAATCTCGTGTGGGCCCCAGATATTGACTTTTCCTGGTCCATCCTTGCGTCTCTTCTTCGCTATCCTATCGAGCAGTATGGTAGCTCGGGTTTCCGGCACCAGGAAGAAATGCATGATCTGAACACAGCCGCCAGCAAGGAGTTGAACCCAGAAGATCCAGGCCAATGGATGACGGTCTTCCACAAACCCACCAACGATGGCGCCGACAACGGAGCCTCCGACAGATGACAGCACGAGGAAAGCAACGGCGTATTCCTGGTCATCGGGCTCCCACATATCTGCGATAACTCCTAGTGTCACCGACCCCCCGGCTGTACTCAACCCCCCAAGCAGGCGAACCACGATATAAGTCGCAAAATTGGGAGCAAGAGCGCACGGTAATTGCCATATGTTGACGAGGAAGAGGCTGAGTTGCTGAGTTGGCCACCGTCCCAGTTCTTCACTCCAAGGGGCCCACAGTTCGCATCCGAAGGCATAGGCGCAAAGAAAGGTCAGCTGGGGGATTCTCGCAACTTGTTCGCTCACATTGTGCTCCTTGGAGATCGCGGCGACACCGTTTGCGTAGAGACTTGCGTTCAGGTTGATGGATATTTGGATACAAAACATCACGCAGAGGATTTGCCATTTTCTCCAAGTGGGAAAGCAGTAGCCCAAGCCGTCGTAGCCAGCAGACTGTGTTAGCTCTATCTTGTTATTCCGGGGGTTTTCGCCTTCATGGTCTGCTAGATCCACTGTTTCTAGACCTGGATCGGGTCCCTCACTTGAACCGATGAATTGATTAGTTGCCATAGTAGGAGCGGTAGCAGTAGATGTAGAAACTCGTACGTACAATTACGTGGGATGAAAGTATCAACCTGGGCATGTACATATATGGGTCTAGCTATGGACACGTCCATGACGTGTGTGGAGGCACTTCACCCACGGGCATTGCACGGCTTGTTTTTTAAGTCCGGGGATGCTTCTGTTATCAGCTGTTCATTTCACTTTCGTATTCTCAGTTATCATACCATGGAACCGAGAAATGAGAAATGGTAAGACATCGGATTCGTAGATGAGCATGCAGTTCTTGGTAACGAGGTCCGCTTGATGCCGCTCCCACCCACATTGAACCAATCAGCCAACCTCATGATCCTTTGGTATTAGCTATACCACCGTGAGTAATGCACATTGGCATACAAAACGATTTGAGGGGTAAATTTAAATAAAGATATTCATTATATTCAGGCGAAAGGTCATGGAAATATACAAATCCTTCACTCGTACACTCCCTTTCCTAATCCGATGATATCATACAGCGCGAACCATATCTACTCAGATTTCTTGCCATGTAACGGGTGCGCAAGCCTCTCCTTTATCTTCTCCATGGTACTTTGCTTGCCACTGTGACCACTGCCCTTAGCTTCAGTCGAATCACCTATAGTCGTATTAGCGTTGTCCAAAGCGAACAAGATATCTTAGTGAAAGCTTACCAGAGCGCGATCCACCGGCTTTGCCAGTCTTCCTTTCTTTCTCGAATTCTTCTGCCGTGTGCGGCGCTTGACCTTGAGGACCCTTCAGTGCTTCTCTGCTGACGTGGTGGTCCTCCATGATCGCAGCAGTGCCGCGACGGCCTTGGTCCATGGTCTTCTCGGCATGCTCTTGGTTCTCGGCACCCCCTGAGTTCTCGGCACCCCCTGAGCTCACTGCACCCCCTGAGCTCACTGCATAGTCCTTGTTCTCGGAGTTCTCAGGCTGGGAAACACGCTGGGAAAGACTCTGGGATGTGCTCTCTTGCTTGGGTACTCCGGGCGCGGTGTTCTCTGAGGAGAGAACCTCGGGTTTTTTATGGGTGAAAGACATTGTAGTTGGGTTTGTAGAATGAATCTGTGGCTAGTTCAGTGCCCAGAAATTTCTTGGCTATATATACTTCGATCCCATACTATGACGTTGATGACATCATTAGTGTATGGGACCTTTTCGGGAAAAATGGCTGACCCGGCCCCACTGGACTGGACAAGAATTGACCTCATCCTGCAACGGAGATTGGTTCTTTGTGCGAGTTGACGTATTCCAGGGTCGCTACATATCGGGGCTTGAACAAGGCCGTCTTTAACCGCTGCGCGTAAAGAGGTCTAATGGCCCTCAACATTTCTGTTAATGCCACTGTCCCATTAAGCTCAAATAACCATATGAAGCCAAATATCCCTTAAATAACCATAATGCCGTCAAAATTAATCCAATTCAATCCATAAATACCCATATCAAGTCCATATAAAACCCACCCCAACCCCACTCACTGAGCCCTCATCAACCTCTCCAACCGACACCTCAAAAGATGCTGAAACCACCCAGGCATCCCCCTCAACCTCTTAGAAAGCCAACCTGCAGACCCCGGAACAAGAACATGCCCACTCTCCCCCTTAAGTACCTGCGCAACAACCCGCTCAGCAACCGTCTCCGGAGCAAGCAACGGATTAAACCAAGTATCCTCAGGCGTGAGATCCCTAATCAACGCCGTCTTCGTAAACCCCTGCGTAACAAGCACAGTACGCACCCTTGGAGCCTGATACCGCGTAACCAACTCCGCAGCAAGGCCCTCATGGAACGCAATCGCCGCCGCCTTGGAGGCGGAGTAATCTACCATATTGGGCGTCACGGCGTACCCCGCCAGCGACGCGACTGTCACGACCATCCCGTGATTGCTGTTGATCATATCCGGCAGAAATTCCCGCGCGAGATAGTAGTGGGATAGAGTGTTGACGTCGAACATGTGACGGGTTTGTTCGGGGGTGGTGGAGAGGATTGTTTTTGCGGTGCAGATTCCGGCGTTGTTTATTAGGATTGTCGGGCGGCCTAGGGTTGTGCGGATTGTCGTTGCTGTTGTTGCGATTGTTGTTGGGTTTGTTACGTCGCATGGGTAGAAACGGACGCTGTTTGGGAGCGGGTTGGTGGTTGTGTCTGGTGGGGTTATGTCTAGGATGGCGACTTTTATGTCTTTTGATCCGAGAAGTTGGGCAATTTGGCGGCCTATGCCTGCGCTGCCGCCTGTTAGGATTATTACTTCTTTGTTCCAGTTGTAGTGGTCTTTTTGGTTGTTGTTTAGGATGCGGTGATCGAGGTAGGTTTGCAGGGTTGAGAGGAGGGATATGGTTGTTAGGGCTTGGAGGGCTTTTTGGAGGTTTGGGCGGGTTGCGCTGAGGTCACGGCCTTTGTTTGTGTATTTAGATAGCGCGAGGAGGGGGAGCATCTTCCAGGGGTCTAGGAGAGTTTTGGAGATGATGTTTCCTAGCACGTCTGCTGTGAAGCCTAGGGTTGGTTGTTAGTTGTTGGATACAAGAGTATCAGGGAGTGTCAAGAGATTGTACCTTCTCTCGAAAGCCAGGGCTTTGTCTGTGCCATATTGCTAGATTGGATGAATTAATGTCTTGAATTAAAGTTGTGGGGTTGATATCGAAAGAGAGATGAAACTATGGGGGACATCTTTCAAGCATAAGCTGACATGGATACTCCGGATCTACATGGAAAATGCGGGGAAGCCGAGGTCCGCAGTTGATAGCTGGCTTGTGTCGGGCATGATACACATGTACTGTAAGGCTGTAGGTTTATGCATACTTGATCGTCGCTTTATCCAAATTTTGGGTTCATATCTTGAAAGTGTCTGGCCCACTCGATATCCACAGCATTCAGCCCCATGCTCACCGCTATTGTGGTGTTGATACAGTACGCAGACCTGGTCAGCTATGATGTTGGATTCAAGATATTCAATTTGTATGAGTCCCTGCTGCGCACCTATCAACTATAAACAATCCACGCCAAAAAAAATACAACCTCAAATGCGCCGGTATTGTCATTGAGGCGGGGGTATCAACGCCAACCAGCCACCAACAAAGGACATAAATGTAAGCCCCACCATATAAGGCGTAGTAGGAACAACCATATCCAAAGCAATATCAATATCCAAATCTGATCCAACATATCAAATCACACAAGTCGGTAGATTGAAAGAACATTCATGAAATAGACGAAAAGAATATTCGATGCAATGTATGCGTAGCCACGCTGGACTGAACTCCCTAAGTATGGAAGTCCGTAGTGTTAATCCAATCGGAGTTGATATGCTTATATCCAAAGCCAAAGAAACAAACACAGCCGTGTCAAGGTATAAATTAATCCAAACCCCAAATCAAGTCCAAGTTGACTCCGATCATCACCAGGATAGATAGGCAGTCCACCCCATTCAACACCTAGATCCCCTAAAAGAATAAAAAGAAATGAAGAAGGCTAAAAAAAAAGGCCTGATGTGATCTGAATCCGAATGCGGTCACAGATACACGAGTGTTGAATTGGATAAGGAGGGGGAATCATCGAAGAGAGTAAGAGTATAGTGCAAAATGTAAGATAACACAGACAGATAAACCAGCTGGAGGAGAAGAAAAAAGTAAAGGCTTAAGTGAGAGGGACATGCATGATGCGTTCATAAGGGGAATAGAGAACAGGGGAGGTCGGACACGGGATCGCAAAAGCGGAACCCGTAAGTTCAAAAGAAAGGAGACAAGGACTCGCACGCTAGATGTAGATGCATAGGCACTGGCGTATGCAAATTCGTAGAGGATCAACGGTAGTTTACGTTAATACCAGGCGGGAGATTCCTCAGATCAGGCTCTTTGTCGAAGATCTTGTGATAAATCTCAGTGAGGATACGGGCGTCGGCGCGGAGGGTGGGAGAGATGTTTTCGTTTTGGGCGAGGAAGCATATTGTCCGTCTGAGTAGGCGGTCGAGGATTTCTGTGTCGACCAGTTCCCTTAGGCTGGACATGTAGGTGGCGGAGAGGACGAGCATGTTGCCGAATTGACTGGGAAAGGGATTAGTAGTTGTTCCACAATTCAAGACAGTGTGGGTACTTACGCGTGTGCTGTGCCAAAGATATTGGTTACCACCAACCGATGCCCACCAACACCATCAAAAGCCTCCGTACTCAGAATCGCAGAGTCGATGCAGACTTTACAGGCGCGGCGAAGCTTTGCTGGAAGGTCCCGGAGTGCGACCTTGGGAGGAACCCAGGCGTGACCGAGGGAGGAACTTGAACCCATGTCACTGGACATTCGGGACATGTTGGGCGCCCGGTTTGAGTGCAGCATAGAGGGAGACATTTGTTGTGTTGAGGTGGGCGAGTCCACCTTGGTAGTTTGGCCAATGGGACCTATGCGGGCACCAGTATGGCCATAGTGCAGGGCATGGTAGAGGAGAGGTCGGTGGATGATATACCGCGCACCGTAATACTTAGCACGCATGCGAGCAGCGTTGATCTCGTTGGATGGTGGGTCCGAGTCTTTCCACAACATACTGACTGGTAGACTTGTGCGCCAGAGGTCAAGGTTCATGCTTAGAGCTTCTTGGACGGTTGACGACCACCGTCTCTGGCCTTGCTTTTCGACCTTGTAAAGGTCGGTGTGTACTCGATTGAGGACTTTGCGGAGATGGATCTGGGCCGAGTAATGCAACATCACCGCGGTAGCAGGGTCGTCGTGGTCGTCAGGGAGGGGTAGCGTGAATCTTCCTTTAGGAAGCGTCATACGGCTTTCGGAACGCGAGATGCCACTCGCTGGAATATCGAGCTCTGCGAGAAGATCACTCTCTAGCTGTAGACAAGTCCAGTATGCAAAATTGTAGAGATCCAGCACAGCCCCTTCTCCAAGTCTCTCATAACGCTTTGTTCTCACCAGCACCTGGCAAGCCCTCGAAGCCTGAGAGATCCAGCTGTGGCTCTGGAACGGATGGGCCAATTGTCCGGCATAAAGACCGGCAAGTAGCGCCGCCTGGACGTGTTCCAGTTCGTTGGCACCTTGCAGGTGACCCAGAATCTCAGTACAAAATCCATAAAGTGTCAGACCAGGAATGACCTGGTAATTCTTCGTATGTCCAGCTTCGTCACGGGTGTGTGACACAGATCGCCGGGAGAGGTTTCTGCGAGGTTCGGCAGTTGTTGTTGATGTTGGCCCGAAGGACTGGCTTGTAGCCTGCATAGGCACCGTGTATAAGGGTGTCGCCATCTGTAAGGCAGAATCAGAATTCGCGGGCGAGAGCACACCATTGACGCCAAATTGCCCGCTTCCGACAGGCATTGGTGGCAGGGGACTGGGAATGTGCTGGCTACGATAATCAATCTTCTGGTCCATGATAGGCCCAGGAATGGGAGCAGGACATTCGCAAATCGCACCAAGAGCCAGACACAGCATGACTACAGCATTGTCGATGTTCCTCCCAACACGTGGTCGTGCCGGTGTAGAACTCGTGCTCAAGAACTCGCCTCGCGCGCCCAAGCTTTCATTAGAACGCTTCCGCTTCGCTGGCCGTGGGCCGTCATTGCCCATCTGGGTGTTCCTTGGCATCGGGGACGGGGTTAGACGGCAGTAGCATCGAATAAAGCTCTCGACCTTTTGATCAAGCTCACCCTGGTCAATGAACGGGTGAAGCTTGTACATGTGGTTCATGTAGCTCTGATAGTAGCGCTGAGCGGTTGCAACATCCAGGTTCAGGTTACCAAACTTGTCAATGTCAACATCCGAATCTACCCCTGCGCCGTCTCCGTCTGGTTGAGCACCGTTCACGCCGCCATCACGCATGCCTGTGCCTCCCGGTAGTTGACTGTCATCCGCAGTGTATGAAATCTCTCCCTGGCCATAGACACTGATAAGACCGCGCTCTTCCTCCAAGCGCATGACATAGTCTTCATCATACACCTCAGGGTACAGCAATTTCTTGATCGAGGGCCACATCAAGAGCTTGTGAGCTGCAGTAGTGTGCTCCACAGGAATCGAAAGCTCGCCCTCCTGATCATTTTTAGCATCCTCAAAAACCTCCACAGGTCCCAGCTTCTGACCGTAATGCGAAGTGCCCACATCCTGACTGCCAGGATCTAAGACTGCCATGCCATTTGAACTCAGCATGGAAGGCGTGGGTGGCTCTTGTTTGAGAACTGGCTCTTGAACAGGCGCCGGTGGGATTGGTGGCAGGTGCGAACGATCTTTGCCAGGCCACGAGGTTGTCGGTTTAGAGTGTTGTAGCCACTCTCTGAGCAGTTGGTCGTGCCCGTGGGTGCCAGCGGTTAGCAAGTCGATCTTCTGAACCAAAGTATCCTCCAGGTGCGTGATTCGATCTATCAAAAGTTGCGTGCTCTTCTCTTGTTTGTGAGGAGGCACTTCCTTGTAGACACAGGTCAGGTTATTCTCTTTACAATGACTGCAACCTGGTCGTCCCTCGTCACACTTCGCTTTCCTAGCGCGGCATTGGTCACAGGCCTACAGCTCGAGAGTCAGCTCTCAATTCACCACGGCACTTCAATCTTATCTGGCCTACCTGCTGGGCACGAGCCGCTTTTCGTTGACGCGCTCCATACGCCTGGTTCTGGTAATAATTCGGATCATAGCCGCCCACCGGGGTCGCTGGGGCCATTGACGGACCGGGGGTCATGAATTGTGATGCTGGGGGCAGCGGGCCCGCAGAAGGTGTATGCTCCGCGCTACTGATCTGATCGGCTGGCGGATAAGACATGCGAGGACGGTATTCTGGTGAAGCCTCGTGCGGGGCACCGTTGATTGGCTGGCGGAAACCATGAGGGGGAGTTGGATCTTGCGGGGAATGTACGGGCGCGTGCGGTTGGAGACCATTGGGACGACCGTAGGGTCCGTCTGGTGATAACCCGGGTAGCTCGCGGCCGGGCATGACTGAATAGCTTGGAATAGGCGCCTGGGTTGAAGAGGGACGGCGGGCATCGGCTGGGTGCGGATCGAAGGATGGAGGATATGGAGGGCGCCATGATGGTTCGTAGCTAGGATGCGTGCCCGGAGGCGCATGCGGCCCTTCGGGAGGAGGCATGCGATTCATTATCGCGAGAGAGAGTAACTACCAGCGCGTTCTTCTCACAAGTCGGTCTGGTTAAGCGCTGTACCGTGTGCTTGGAGTAGTCCGGTACTCAAACCAACATGGCGGGAGAAGAATTTGGGAAAAGCAGAAACAGGATAGAGACGGGACGATCTGATAGTGTCGGGAGGCGCCAAGTTCAGACAATGAAATGAAATCGGGCGCCGTTAGAGGTGCGAATCAAATCACGCGCCTAAAGCTCCAAAATCCTTAGGTCGTAAAAATGCGGCGAGGTTGACGTCTTCTTGAGTGGGCAGGGTGGAGCTAGGCAAAGAAATAGTCAGATTACAGCGATGATCCGAACAGGGGGGTCCGTTGGACCGAGTTGAAGGTTTGAGGATAGAAGAAAGAGGAAGAAGGGAAGAAAGAAGGCAAGATACAAGATCAAGGCCAAAGCGAAGTCCATCAGATAGATCGAAAGGGCAGAAGTACAAGGTTGGGCAGGAGGGGGTATGGTATGGTAACTTACATTACGAGTGGGGGAGAGGAATCCAGTAAAATAGAAGAAAAAGAAAGAATAATCAGAAGGAATACGGGGGGGCTTATAATTACTGGGGATCGACATGTTGTTTGCCCCTCCCTTGAACTCTGTAAATGGCTGGTTTTCTAATATCTAATCCGATCTCCAGTTGACAGGTCTGCTTCCTTTCTTTTTTTTTCTCTGGTGGGTCAGGCGGCTGGGGAATAATGAGGGAAAACATCTTGCGCGCTTATACTGGGAGGTTGGAGTATACTATATCATGATCGAAGCTAGGATCCAACTCGCACCGCGTGGAACGGGGATCTCAGTTCCCGAAGGTCAACCACTTCACCGGGAAACGCACCATGCAAGTTGGGAAGTTCATCCGGGCCCGGGGAGATATACTGATTCGGACCGGGAGGATTTTAGGATGTAGCCGAGCCTGTAAAAGCCAAAGCTTTTTGTATTGGAAGGCGAAAGTGTTCTCTGATTGTATGTGGTTTCGAGAATCCATCTCACATTGTGACCCGTGTCAGACAGGGATCGTCTTCCAGTACCCAGGACTCGGGTATCCTTAACAAACGTACTCCGTCCCCCGATCAACCTCGTATCCAATCCCATCGATGGAAGTTGTCTTAGTCGTGAAGTCCGCCAAAGTATAAATGTAAAATCGGTAATTAGAACGGTAGACGTATACTCCGAGCCGTCTAAGAGACATTTCTGACCGCCAATGAGGTGCGGACAATGTCCGAATTCGATTCGCAAGGGGAATAACCAAAGTTTATTAGGCTTCGATTCTCAAATCATATACCCCAGATCGAAGTTCGAGGGAGTAGGATCTTTTTTTTTTCCAGGGATAACTCTAACATGTTGACTTCTCGTACTGTACCGTCACGGAAATACTCGGATAGTCCCGCTTCCATCCATGGATAAAGACGGGAATCATCCATGGATGAAGAGTATAGTAAACATCTGCCTACTCTAGAGTACTATGATATCACCTTATTCTTTCGGGTTACCCCTGCCTTGATGAGGCAGCTCAAAGACAGTGCCACTTGGCCACACCGGAGTCTTATGAGCGAGTCAAATGCGGAGCCGAGTGGCACAAGAACACAGAGTTGCTCCATTGCTGATTTTTGCTTCTTTTGACCGTTGTCCTATCTGTGCGGTCACCCGTGAGAGCTGGAAGTAGACCAGCGCTGGCTGAGTAGTGGAGTAGGTATGCCCGAGTTGGGTATACATAGTGGAGAAATGGCTGGTGACCATACAATAGTTCTCGATCACGGAAGGAAGCCAAGCCCCACGATTTTCTTTGTTTTGATTGCTTCAAGATTAAATACCGAAATACATTTGCTAGCTCTTAGCACCTAACACCGGTTTTCCTGGTTTTCCACTATACTAGCAGAGTGGGAATGAAAAGTGACGTGCATAATAATGAACGGGGGCCGGGGTTTGGAACAATCTGAAATTGACATTGACACACCGGGATAAAAGGTGAGGCTCGGCTTGGATTGGGCAATTAGAAATTCCAAGACATCCCACTTCTGGGGTTGACCGTCGTCATTAAGGGGGTGAAATTAGGTTACATGGATGTTAATCCCGCATCTTTCGCTGGTGTCCCAGTTTTAATTTGCCATGTCGATCCGCCGTTCCCACCATCCGGTTCCTTGGGTTCGGTAGGGCGCGTTGGATTTAGATCTTGAATCCTTAATCTACATGTACTGCTTCATATTCCATGCACTACTCCGTACTTATAATGGAGATTTGGAATTGAAAACATAGGGGGAAAACAACCACCACTTGTAAATATCGCCCCGTCACCTCCCACCCCTGATAAGACCAGGATCACCCAGCGTAGCAGTCAAACGACCTACAGATGGCGACTGCACGCCATGCATAGTGCAGAATGTATTCAGAATAGAGTTTGGAGAGCCCTTGGACATCCAATGTCGAATGCAAGGGGTAAAAACAGACATGACAAAGCCCACTATCAATGCATCCTCTACGCCTGGTATAGGGACCCCCATGTCACAGTTCATATCCCCACACCACTTCTATATACCTCAAGAGTCTCGGGGTCTGACATCCCACCACTTCCTTTGCCTATCACCTGTTGCATTGATAGGTAGCTCGATGTGTATAATGTAGGCCTGGAGGACCCAGATTCACATTCGAGCACGTATGCGCCTGGTATACGCAGTAGACACCAGATATGCAGCAGGCCAGCCTGTGTCCAATCAGCGCTGGCATGGCCTTCACGAGACTATTGGAATGGCTCCATATGGGGAAGATGCAGGTGATCTACCCTCCCTTGACGGACATCTCCACACTCTGTGATCAAAGGGGATGCGGGAGGTTGCATTGTTGTGGTTGTTGAATAGGCCTGGTCCTCACTTGGACTGAGACTTGTTTGATTCCTACTTAGTACTGCGGTAGGGGTGTAGAAGACGGGAGGTATGGAATAAAAGTGAATGCACTGCGTACGTAGGATACAGATAACCTGATAATGCACTGTATGAGGGATATGAGACTGGTCACTCTACTCTACCGTACAATCATAAGCAAGTGATAAGTTGCTAACACGCGCCAATATCTAAAGTCAGAAATCCCATTTTGCAACCGCAACCCAAGTCTATCACGGAACATGTGTAAGTACCGCACTAGAATGCGCAGTAATGGTATGTACAATACGACATACGACAACAGTCATTACCTTGGATCGTGAGCTGCATCGGCGATCGAAGCGCCTGATTCGCGCGCCCGCGACCGACCAGTTATGCCAGAGCGCCCGATAAATGACGCTCCCACTGAAATATGATCGCCTCCATCTCTACATGTTGTAGATTTGGCCAAACACCCTGGACTCGCTTAAGTGTATAGTAATTGTGGAAAAGCTAGTATGCAAGCCTCTCAACTACCAACTGCTTCCAGCATAGTATAGCGGTGATTGATCACTTACACAGTACTACAAGTCCAGTCCAGATGTGTCTACTTACTGTACAACTATCCCACGGAAAGCCGCAGAATTGATCGGGCGCACAAGCGATTGCGAATCGATCAGGACGCGTTAAAACCGCGGGTTGATTTGCGCTTTCTGTCCACGCATGGCACAAGACGGCTTGGTTTCATACCTCTAATGTGATACAACATGCGCCGTTTGGCTTTGCTTTGGGCCTGAAACTGATACGTCGAGATTTAATCACTTGCCTCTTCTGTTCCCACGTGGGGTTGGGACCATGTGGGATGGATTGTGGTTGGTTTCTACACTGCCTGGGGTCTTGAGGACTTGTACCCGATCGCATATGATTTTGTGGGTGGCTATTCTCTCGTCTATCCCTCACACAATACTGACCGACTCCTTAACTCCACCTGCGGGCACGCATTCTTCGATCTGGACTACCAGCCCCGCCAGCTTGCGTAAACTGTCGAGCTCAAGGCCTTCGACAATCCTCGATCCGGTCACATGCATAACAACAACCTCCTCACACGGCACCATCCCTTGAAGAGTAACTTCGCACACAGACCTAACAACAAGGTCTATCGAGCTCACATGAACTACTGGTCTGTTCGCCGGATGCAAGGAAAATCATCAACCCAGATCCAAATTCAAATCTACATCCAGTCTAAAGCCTATCTTCTAGAGTCTACGTCAGGGCCAATATCCCCCACTAATTAGGCTTCTCGCAGATATACTAACCTGCATTTTTGCAGTCCATTAAGCACAGTGACATAAGTGTACATATAAGGCAGAAGTTAGATTCCAACCCGGAGCTATAGACAATACTCAGTCCTCACATCCAACATGATCTAGTCATGTTTCCAAATCTACTAGGCCATATCTGAAACATTTGCATATCTCCCGTCAAACTTGAGCTTTGTCCCTCCTAGATTTTATAATATCATATAGAATTGCCGACGAGCCGTCGCGCCGCCTAGCCGCCGAACCTCGTCTGTATATGTAGCGCTGGTATGCTTTGCCGTGAAGGCCGAGGCATTTTAAACGCGACTGCATCCAAGCGCTGTGGTTGAATCCGCCGTTTTGGAGTCACACTCCACTTTATGCACGCCATTCACGTACCGTACTGTAGACACGGCTTGTTGAGCTTTGTTTTTCTTGACTATTGCCTAGTTGGGTAGGTGAAAGGAGATTGGTACAGTGTTATAGGTTGTTATTGTAATTTCATACGTGCGACTGCATACTACACAGTACTTGAGGTCTAGTATATACACTAACTACTAATTCTGAAAGATGTGTGCATGCTTCTAAGATGTGTGAACAAACGACCAGTCGGGTAGTTTAAGTCCAAGCCTAAAGCGATGTGTTACTTTCAATGTTAAGCTCGTCTCACCTCGATTATTCTTACTCTTATTTTACACTCTATCATAATTATCTAAATCATTCTGATCAAAACAAACCCCTTCAGCTATCAAGGGGCACAAAAGTACATGAACACGTAAATCCCTAACCCCCTACCCACATCTATAGCAACCTAATCCAAAGACC